ATTCGTCCGCTGGCTAGGTTCTCTTGTAAGAACTCGTCGAGTTTGACCTGCTCGTTTCTTGATAAGGGGTACACCTTGCAGTCCACTGCTTTGGAGCCTGGTTTGAGCTCGATCGCATGATCCCATGCCCGTCGGTCCGGTAGCGAGTCGAATGATTCCTTGGCGAATACTTTGACGAATTCTCGGTATTGATCTGGAATCTTTCCCTCGGTCATTCTCTCCTTCTCCTTTTCCGCTTCCTCTGCGAATTTCTGCGCCGGCGTTTCCTTCAGCCGTAGGTCCACCTCCTTTCCAAAGTCGATCAACAAGATCGATTCTCCCTCTTCCAGATCTGGTGCACCCGCGTCCAGGTCAATTGCATCCATGTCGATCATCGCTTGGTGCTCCTCGTGACCCCTCATTTGACATTGCTCTGGGCATCGGCTGAATCTCATTGTCTGCTCCTGCCAATCCACCTCGGGGTTGTGTTCCGTCAGCCAATCCAGGCCGATGAAGATCCGGGCTTTTCCCAGGCACGTCAGAAGGAACGTGCGTGTCTCCACATGAGGACCGATTCTCATTCTCAAGTCGACGTAGTGCGTGATCCGACCGCTGATGTTCTCGGTGTTGTCGGCGTTACGAGCCACAATGGGTTGCAGAAGCTCTTGGATATCCAGCTTTTCTGCCCGTGCGTAGTCGGTGTCGATGCAGCAGGTACTGCAGCCACTATCGAGCAGCGCCTTGACTCCACGCGTTTTCCCTGAGTCCAGACCCTTGATCTGGACATATACGTCCATCGAATGCCTCTTTCTTTCGGCTTGGTAACTGCGCAATTCCTGCGCCAATCTGCTGGGCTGGGGGCCCTTCTGTTTCTCGGCCGCCAATTTCCTCTGGATGGCATCTGGCACCCTGGTGCGTTTGGGTGCTTCTGGAACCTCGATTTTGGCAGATTCCTTGGGCGCTTCCTCCTTTTTCAAGGATCGAGCCTTCGGAGCGATGCTCCCCTTTTCGGTCTTTGTTGACGTGGTTCCTTCTCCACGAGCCATAAATACGTAGGAGTCCAAAAATAATTTATCTGCAGTTTTCTGATCCTTTTTATCTTGTAAGTATTTTCTATTTAGAGCTATCTTTTCCTGGCGTTCTTTTTCCATCTCGGCAATAAGAAAATCGTGAATATTTGTACGTAGTGAGTCTGAGATCGTGTATGTAGATGAAATATTGTCCGTATCTTTAATCGAAACAAGTACAGAAAATCGTCCATAGTCCGGACGCTCCACCTCCTTGGCTAGAGGAGTGGAGCGCTTCAAAAACCCTTCTCGCGCAGCTTCTCGGCAATCTCCTTCAGGAACTCGTTGTCCTTGTCCCCGTTCTCGATTTCTTCCAGCATTGTGGCCCGATTGAAGAACGTGCGCTTCTTCTTGGGCTCTGGGCAGTTCCGCGCAATGTGTCCGGGCTGCTGACAGTTGTAGCAGATGATATTGCGGCCGCGGGCGTGGGTACGATCGATTTCCATCGGAACCGGTTCGTTGGCAGCGGGTCGGACCGGAGCGGGTGTGGGCGCCACTGGTGTCGTTTGGGGACGGAACTGGGGAGGTGGTCGTTGTGTGGGGTGCCCATACGACGCTTTGCGCAGCTGGTCACGCAGAGCATTGGCTTCGATGTTGATGCACCAGGCTTTGAACGCTCCATAGGCCTTGGGCAGAGGGACACCGGTGTTGTAGAGACGGCTGGCGATCTCGCTGCTGAGTCCGCGCTCCAGGAACTCGATGAGGATATTATCCTGGTCCCCCTTCTTGTATTTGCCTTTGTCGTCGGTGGTGTCAACCACATTGTAGCCTGCATCCGCGGCCAACATCTCAAAGTCGGAGATGTAGTCCGCGAAGGACCGTTTGTTTTGACGCAGGGCCATAAGCCGAGCAGCGGCGACTTGTTCCGCATTGGAGTCCCCGAACGCCCTCTGAAGCTCCTCCAGGAAGTTCTTTGATGTGACTCCTGCCTTCAGTCCCTGGAAGCCATCGAAGTTGTGCTGCTTCCAGTTCATCGCCCATCTCGAGGCAGCGCAGCTCGTGCCGTTCTCGTTACGGAGGTAGGAGAGGACAAAAAGGATTTTGGTCTCATCTTGTGAGAACTCCGATCGATAGGCACCGATGTAAGTGGTGCACGCGTCCACAAAGCCCAGGTATTTGGACTTGTCGCCATCGAAGTAGGGGGGGTTGGCGGCGAGGGTGATGCGGTGATGCCCTGACATGGTAGGGGCAGGCGTGTGAGGTGGAGGCGAGGGTGGTTGTTCGGAGGGCAGTTCGTCGAGGTCGGGGATCTCGTCTTCAGGCGGTGGGAGGGCGAGGTAGGGGTTGGAGGGCCCGGGTTGGTTTTGATGCGCCAGATCGGGCGACGATGGTACGATGGGGGGAGGGGACGGACTCCCAGACGACGATGGGAATCGGTACGAAATGGTGGAATCGTGTGCTGTACAAGCACTCGAGGGAGGGTTCTTTTGCTAGCAAAAAGATCCCGGGCCTAGCTCTTCACGTGCCCGATGATCCCGAGGTGCGTTTTCCCGAAGGTCTCCGCAGCACTCCTTGTAGCTACCGTAAGGCTTGGGTCGGGCTCAATGTTACCTGTGGCCTGGTGCTGTTTGCTTGATATGAACCCTTCACTGCGATAGTGGAGGACGACTAGATGATTCGGTAAAAGGGTGAGTGGGGTGATAAGGGTTAAGAGGATATAGCGGGCGTAGCGGTGCAAGATGCAGGGTAAGAGGTATGAGGTAGGAGGGTATGAGGGGAGTCTTCGAATTATGTGACAATCAACCCAAAAATAAAGTCGAAAAGAGAAGTGAATTCGAAGACTGGAGAATACAACCAAGTAGCTACAGTATTTATACCCAAGTCCAGTCTGAGTCATATCTACAACTAATGAGTCATAGGGCTATGTACCGCATGGAACACTGGTCATGGGTCGTAGTAGAACCTTCTGGAGCATATGTCGCGCAGCCTCGAATCGATGAAGATAATCCCTGGAACCCCTAGTCCGGACCGTCTGATGCCGTGATCCGTGATAAGATAAGTCGTGCCAAGATAAGATAAGATCGTCGATGATAAAGTGAAAAAGTGGCCGAACTATGACACAGTGGATATCAGAATGTGCAATGAGCATGTCATTGAGGTACACCATAACATTGTCAGAGAGGATGAGGTCCTGAAGGATGTCATTTATCATTGTCTGGAACATTGCAGGGGAATTGGTCAGGCCAAAATACATCACCAACAGCTCAAAGAGCGTGCAGTTTGTTTGAAATGCCGCCTTCCATTTATTGCCTTGACAAATGTGCACATTGTTGAAACCCCAGCAAACATCAAGTTTGGTGAAGAACTGAGCTCCCTTGAGCTTGTTGATGAGATCATTGATCAGGGGGAGCAGGTAGCAGTTCTTCACTGTCATTGTGTTCAGTGCTTAGTAGTCTTGGACAAACCGTAAACTGCTGTCCTTCTTCACAAAGAAGACGGGAGACACCATGGGCAACTTTAACAGCTGAATCCTGCCTATAGCCATGCCCACCTTGATGAATTTGTTGAGTTGCTTCTGTTCAAGGAGCCATAGCCCTAGGATTTAGTCAAATCCGTTTGGCTGTAGCCATAGAAATTGCATTCAAATCTTTGGCTGTAGCCATAGCGCATGGCGGTGCTGATGTGAACAACGATCATTATGATCAACAATCTGTGATTGACACCGAACAGCTAGGCGGTGGTTTCAGTGAGGATTGAACGGCTGACCTTCTAAAAATGTAGGTTAAACCAATGCATTATCATACTGAGCTAAAGCGTTGCTAAACAGGTTGCAATTTCCCTCAACTTAGCGTAACCTGCAAGCGGCTTACCCTAAGTGGAGGGAAAGCTTTATCCTAGTACTGGTTATCCCAACCCCTTATCACCCAATAAACATATTTCTTGCCCCAACCAACCCTAATAGAGCCTCTAACAGGATTTTTTTTTTTTTGCTCCCTTGCCCCAACCCTGACTGACAATAAATATATTTCTTACCCTAACCAACCCTTACAGAGCCTGTAATAGGCTTTTTTTTTGCTACCTTGCCCCAGCCATAACTGAGAAAAAATGACGTCTCTGGGGACTAACCTTTAACCCAAACCCAAACCCTACTGAACCACTAACCTCCGCGCCCAGAGGGGCGCGGCTTGTTCAAGACAGTAAGGCCGATCAACACTTTATGTTGAGGGATCATGGTGGTGCTGATGGCAATGATGATCTTGCACATGCCTTGGTGATGCCAAGAAAAGCAACAGGACCAAAGGCCTGCCACGCTATGGCTGTAGCCATAGCAGTATTAGTCAAAGCTATGACTGTATCCATGCTATGGCTACAGCCATAGATTTGAATGCAATTTTTATGGCTACAGCCATAGACTTGACTAAATCCTAGCACTATGGGTGGTTCAAGAGGGGAGATGGTTAGACCTTACAGTTGGTTGGCTTTGTGTTGGAGACCAGTTCAATGGTGTGATCCCAGGGGTGTTGCTCTGGCAGGTTGTCATAGGTTTCCTTGCTGAAAACATCAAGTGACATTCTGTTTCCGCCCACACTGCTCTCCTGTTCTACAATACAAATGCATGACAAATACTGACTTTCTGGTACCCAATTGAAATATCAGAGTGCATGGGGTCTCATCATTGACATATCAATCCCAAATCACCAGCCTCACCGGATTGGTGACTTATGACATTGGTAATCAGCATGTAGTTTTCAGCCTCCATACCTTCCACCCAGCACAAGTCCAATCTGCACAGCAAGCTTCTTACCTTGCTTTCTCTGTTGAGAGTAGATCCAAGCCCCATTTGCAACTGTAATAGAAAATCATTGTATATCCTCAGATTTTCAAAATGACAAGGATTTCCTGATTGAATTTAACAGCTATTCTCTGATTTAGTTTCATTGATAGATATCTCAGCAACAATTTTATACAATGGTGGAATTTGAGGCAAAAATTGTCAGCCTTCCAGGATCTTACTTGTACTAACATTTCAAATTCAGAGCTCATGTGACAAAGACACGGGTTGTAACGATCGTAAAAATCAAGATGGAAGCAATTAAATAGATCACGTGATCATTTTTGATGAGTCACATATCGATAAGTGAGGCCAGTGTATAACAGTGTCAGGGAAAAATAAACGCGAATGGTATACCCCCTTCCGAGATGAGAGCAACACATCGGAAGTAGCGCAGCAGCATGATGGTTGGATTATCTTGGTCATGAACAAGGCAAATCAAACTTGAACTGCCGCTTATCATGACTCGCCGAAGACCTACTGTGTTTCCAGGGAGCGCAGGTAACTGAAAGATAAGAGTGCAGGGACTCCACAAACATTGCGGGTTTGTGAAGAGGCGGGAAGGTGAATTGTATCAGGATGACCCGAACAAGACCGACCGCGGCCCTAGTTTGTACAGTCCACCTCGGTTGCCTTAGCCATTTTCATCATCCGCTCGCTTATAATTGTATCGTTCGCGGTGATGGTGTGAGGCATCAATCCTGTCCTGCTGGGACCGCATACAGCACACTTGCGGTGTGTCAGGAGATCACTGCACGACCCTGCGCGCCTTCCTGTCCCCGATGTCTTCTTTTTTCCCCTGGTAATAATACCCGGATCTCATGCTTCCCATGATCTCCGGTGCGTAGTGAGTGAGTGAGTGTAAAATTCGGCGGGTTGAGAAGTCCAGTCAATTTATCCCCGGACATACTTGAGGGCATAAGTATCACATGCATCTTATCCGGCTCATAGCTCATCGTGTCCCGCGTTCTTTTCTCTGAAATGTTGGTCTAGCCACTGTCTCGCAAATGCATTGTACACCTCCGGATATTCCATGTGGCACCAGTGCGAACCATCCATGAACTATCAGTGTTGAGAATCAAATGTCACGAGTACACTGTAAACTGACCTCGACATGCCCATTGGGCAGGAACTGTTCGGACTTGAGGATCTTCAATGCCAAGGCCCAGTCAGCAACGGGATCCTATACAAAGAGATGAGATAGGAAGGGATCGTAAAGAGGAGAAAAATCACATGTCTTGGGAGGATCGACAGCACAGGCTGTGGGATCGTGTGATTTCCCTGCTCATGAGCAAATGTCCAAGACCCTTTCCGGTTCTGCATGTCACACCAGTTCCTCACAATTCCGAGCGCCGGGGTTGAAACGTACCTCCTCCATGTAGAACTGTAAGGCTGAAACCGATCAGCTTGGGCCCAGCCGAACAGAGCAGGGGAACGTACTATTTTTGAACCCCTGTATGCTATACTGCTCGACAAAGTAGTCTTCCTCCTCGGGCGAGAAGAACGGCACAGGCGGGATCTAGGACTGTCAAGAAGAGTCTCGGAGGCAAAAGGAAAGTCGAAGCACATCTTGAACCCCGTCCCATGCCTCCAGGAATGAGTCTTTGCTTCCCAAGAACGCGTCGGGAGGTGGTGATGCCGTGTCCCGGAGGATGGCACGGACAGTACGTCGGATATCCTGGTCGAGTTGTTTCACCGCTTTGGTAGTATGATCGTTGAAGAAAAGCTGGTAGCTGAGCTTCGGAAGGGCGACAGCAAGATGCTGCGTAGGGACAAAGTCGCCTGCAGCCGGCAAGTACGGGATCGCAACTCCGATGACCCCCGTGAACAGATCGGGCCGCATACGCGCTGCTTCGTAGCAAACTTGAGCACCCCAGTCGTGTCTTGTATGTCAGTTATCAGCTTCGTAAGTAGGTCTGGGTGATTGACACGCACCCCATGCACACCGCTGAAGACACGCCGGCGCGCTGCAAGACGCATACCATATCTCCCACCATGTCCGGCATGCTTCCTGATTTTCGCGCGTCTCCAGGGTGCGTAGAGCCTCCGAAGCCGCGTAGATCCGGTGCAATGAGCCGGTAGTTGTTCTGGGAAGTGCTCAGCGAGGCGACACGAAGTGTATGCGCGGTTATACATGGAACTCAGTAATTTGACTCGACCAAGTACTCCATAGACTGGGCCATCCATGCACCATGAGTATGGTCGGTTTGGTTCCAGGATTGACATCCACATAACCTGCGCGTCTCAGCATTGTTGCTAAACATTCTGGTACCTTGTGCGGACGTACTGAGCGTGATGGTCGTGTCCTGTTCCTCATTGTTGCCGCGATAGACGGCGGAGCATGTAGCAGTGCTCTTCTTGTAGTCTCTAGGATTGAATACCCCGGCCGTCGCTACAAAGGACACTGCGTATGCAGACCATAGAAGAACGCGCATGGTGGGCGAGAAGAGGTGTGCTAACTGCGGGTTGTGACGATCATGTCCATTGCTCGTGACTATCAATATCCATTCAAGGTAAGATTGGTTTAGTGATTGAACCGGGCATCGCGAAAGCCGATATGAAAGCACCCAACTGACGTCCGGACTCCGGATGATGTCCGGTGATCACCGGTCGCTGACGCCTGGAGCAGGCACTGCTCTGTAAGTAACCATGTCGTGTCCCATCCCATGTCGTGCTGGTATATATCACCATGTGTCGAGCAGAAACTAGCAGTCTCTCACGCATCGTGAAAGGAATTTGAAGCAAGGATTTACGATGAACGTTAACTGTCCACCTTGAGCAAATGCCAGTCTCGAGATCTAATCGATCCCGGCAGTAGCAAGAAGTTGTGAGTAATGTAATATACATCATTAGATGAGAAGTAAGGTAAAGGGAGAGAGCTGCGTCAGTCCACATCATTCAGACCACCAGCCCAGCTTGAGGAACCAGGTTCAGGGCCTCGGTCGGTGGGTGACAGCTCAGGCATATCAACATATTCATCATGCTTCCGCGAGCGGGGGCCAACGGGAGCGGCCTTCTTCGCTTCGCTCCGCCGTTTCCTCTCAGCCCGGGCTGCAATTTTGCGTCGCTGCGTCTTGCAGAAGGCCTGCAGCGCCTCAATCGCATCGGATATATGCGCTTTATGAGGTCTTTCACTGAGTCTGGTTGCAGCGCCATGATGGTTATGATATGATGGACTGAAACGGCATTGGCACGCACCGGTTGAGCATTTCCTCCGCTATATCATTCACCCTGAACAACGGCATGTCCTCGACGATCTTTAGGTACACTCTGGTCAGCAACACATTGCCTCCTTTCATGTCGCGGATGACACTGGTCCATCCCTCGAAGCGATCCCGCAGCCGAGGCCTGAATTCCTCCCGGAGGTCAGCCAAGTCAGGGTCCCGCGAGTCGATGTCTAGATACCCAAGCACTTCTGCGTCGTCCGATTCGTCAAAGCTGCCAGCGAACGGGAACCCCATGACCATGGCCGCAAATGCCATCGGGTTAGCAGGCTGAGAACCGGGAGTCAGCGCCTTCTCGACCCAGGTCTCGACCCGCTGAGAGCGTGTCAAGTGATCGGGCCGAAGCTTCAGAATCTCAGAGAGCGCAGCGACTGAAGTCGGATCATCTATTTGCGAGAATGCCGTTTTGATGCCCATCCGCACACCGGCTGCAGCATCGAGCAGCTCTTTTTCAGCCAGCTCGAGCGCCTGCTCGTGATAGCCATGGAACTCGGAGAGAACAGCGACGGCTGCTTGGTAAACCGAAGCATCCCGAGGCCGGAGTAAGTGAGCATGCTCCTCGAGCAGGCTCATGAGATCGGCCGCCTGTCCTTGTGAGCCATGAATCTCGAGCGCAGCCACAAGTGCGTCCGCTGAAGCCCCTGCGATGTTGGAGATCGTGTCGAATAGGTCCATCTCCGTCAACTCTCTATCAGGGCTGATTGCGACAATACTCGTAAAAAGCTTCAGGGATGGCGCAAGCTCGAAAAGATTTTGAAGATGCTCAGTGACAAGGTCGCGAAGCTCATTGCGTTGGTCGTTGGCATGCTTGTTCCAGTGATTAGCATGATATTTGCAACGGCAGCGCCAGGAACCTCTGCTAGGCTCGTCGTCTTCGCCTTCGCCGCCGTCATTGTCATCATCTTGGCAGACCTGGTCGTTGTCGTCATCGAAATCATCGTCGTCATCATCGGCATCCTCTCGGAATAACGATCGAGCTGGCCGACGTAAGTCTTGAATTTAGGAGGACAAGCAGCGAACACACCGGCAGCTCCACCATACAACAGCCGCTCTAAAGCCTTCCAATTCATGCACTCCTCGATATCGCGAAGCATATCCGGTATACGGTCCGTGTGGATATCTTTCGCGAACATGGAAACGAAGAGGTCCCGCCATATCCACAGGAGCACACGATCGAGGTTGCGTGGACCCTGCAGACTAAACGTCTTGATCGTTTTGCCTTTCTTCCGTATTGTCACTTGTAGAGCGTTGAATGCCAGCGGGCATTTGCATTGCCTGCGTGCTGTGAGAAACAAAACGATGTGGCAGTAGCAGCACACACCCGACTGTACCCGGTGCATCATTCAGAGCGTCCAACACTTCAGAGAGGTAGACCAAACACCGGTGTGCCTCCTGAAAGTGAACGTTGTACTCGTATACGACAGACCATATGCCGTTCAGCCATCCGACGATGCTCTCCACAATCTCGGATAGCAGCTCATCGCGATGCGAGCGTTCGCAGACGATTGCGCGTTTGCTATCCCGCACGAGTTCGTCAATCAGCCCGTTTATCTCTTTCTGCTTTCTTTTGAGGTCCAGCGTGGGGGCAGCCGCGTACTTGGTCTTCAGAGTCGTCGCGGCTCTCAGCACTGCACAAAGTCAGAATGTCTCGAACAAAGCCCATAGTGTACGTGCACGCTCACCTTTGTCGTAGCTCTTCTGAGGCGCAGAGTCCAGCAGCGTCGAAAGCTGCTTCTCCACCAGGGACTCCCTGGCTTCAGGCGGTAGCGAGTTGTAGACCTGCATGAAAGTGCTTCGTTTTGTCAGCCGCGGTGATTGTGAAGAAAAGGAAACTCATACCGGGATCCTGAAGAGTGGTCCGCCATATTCATTGGGCCTGACGCTGATGTGTGCTTTCTTAAGTATTGGACCGGTACTAACAAAATGGTCTGAACTCGGCGGTCGTCAATTGTGGGGTCGGTCACGCAATGATGTGATGTGTCACAACAACACTCGCGGTCACGAGATCGAACTGCAAGCAAGCCATAGATAATTATCAACTACAGGTAAACTCACTGAATAGATAATTGCAGCGTTGGTTCAAAAAACTTTTGTCTAAAACGATAGGCAGAGAAATAATGGTCTTAAGACTTCAAGCGCAGACACCAAACTTCTATGAACTAGGATTGGAGACTTCATTAACATTTCACGCGCGCAGGCGACGCTCACGGAGCGAAAGAAGGATGATCTGCGGGACTCGATTTAAGCAAGTGTCTCTGCTGTCTGAAAGCGTCAACCCGACAGCGAGGACTCCGCGACGCGGTCCAGGTCACTAATTGTGATCAGTCTCAGTCGATTGGAGATTTGTGCCACAAACGGAACACGGTCGGACATGCAAAGCCGGAAGGTTGCGTGTCGAGAACCCAATTTGATTGTGTCCTGGACATCGAAATCCCGAAACACGGCTCCGACACATCATCGGGCTGGAATTCAAGCGGGGAGAGTGACAGGTGATTGACATCAGGTCCATTAGGTGGTGACCGCGGGTGAGTCCAAAGCGAGACAGCCTTCTTCCTGATGGAACTGCCTGGTGTCTGCTTGTGTCTGCCTAGCTCGCACTGAAGACCGGTTCTGGATAGATCACAAGGCGCCCGAGTCCAAGAGTTGAAGGCCTAGCATCAATTCACCATCTGGACATGTCCAACAAGGGGTCCAGGCACCAAGATCGTTACCTCTTAGTACTCGGAGCGCTGCTAAGTTATGGCCACTGCAGCATGCGGAGCAATGGCCAAGCCTTTCCGCTCACCCTCGACCCCCCTGCTGACGACACTTACTCCATGCTATCACATTGCAATCACCCTCATCGGCGGAAAGACGCTTTGGGGCGCGTGTATAAAAGGTCGGACGGAGCCACACCCATATTTTAGTACAAACAGCCATGTTTTCTCGTCTCGTTATTTCTCTCGCCGTGGCATTGACCTACTCATCCGCTGCGGCCGCCATCTCTTGTGGCGTCTGCGCTCCCACCATCGTCTATGCCGGCGTGACGCGCAAACTGACGCTTTCGCGCGAGGAGGGCGCGGGCAATATCGATGTCCAGTGCAAGTGAGTCCTCGATGGTGTTTCTGATGCCGGCGTAGTGTAGGATGCTGAAACGCTCCAGCTACGACTCGCCTCCGATCCCGAACTTCTCGCCTGGGTGTCTCTACCGGGTATTTATTCTCGTCATCATTCTCTGTCTCCATTGCCGTAACTTTGCTTCAGAATGTGGATGGCGTTCTGATTTTCACGAACGCGGGAAATGCGTGTCCGAGCGTCATTCCGACCGTTTCGAAAACTACCTCCCGCTGTTGAATACTTCAACGTAAACAAATTGAACTTTACTTGTTGCCCTCGCAAAGGACTCAACTCAGAGTGAGGCAGGTCAAGTAGGTGTCTTTGGGCCGTCTTAGTTCCAAGAGTTTCCCGACGGGTACCTTCGCAGAGTCTGTTCTTGGAAAATGAATTGAAATTTAGCTAACATGGAAATGGTATGAATCAAAATCCAGCTAGTCTACACATCTGTGAAAGAGGTTGATGGCAATCAGAGCGCCGGGTCAGGTGATCGCGTCTGCTGCAGTCAATATTCAATTTCAGCCACATTGGGAGATTGATGGCCTGACAACTAGTTGAGCACAGAAATTTTCCTTAATCCTTGAATACCATCGAAATCCGTGCGGCTTGGTTCGAGGTCTTCATCACAGGTTGTGTATGAATTCGAACAAAATCAAAGCCGATCAGAGTCTGGATTGGTCCGATCATGGACGTGGTAAACGACATCGCCACGCGTCTTACGATTCTTTGTTCTCCATCTTACTGTAAGCGCGACGCGATCCACCTTTCAATGGTTGCCCTGCCTCGCGTCCATTTTAGAAGTGTCTCTGAGGCTGTTATCTTTCCTTTTGAACCAAGTTCTCGCACGGACGCAGTCAGCTGCTCGACTCGGAATCTATTTGCAACCCGCCTTTCTGTTTCCAGCCTCAAAAACCAACGTTTGACAGCCATCTATGCCGTGACATCCCGGGCTAGTATCGCTGTACATGCTCTGGAGCGCGCGCTGTGTCAAGAGCAGAAGGGATGAATGGTGGGCGCCGTCTTTGACGGTGGGAAGTTCCGCGCAGAGGGTACTATAAGAGCCTGCACGAGCTGAGACATTCAGTCGGCAGTCCTCACCATGTTCGCGCACCTCGCAGCCATTCTGTCTCTCGCACTGATGTTCGCCTCTGGCGTGTCGGCCGTGCCTTGCGCCGTCTGCCCATCCAGCATCGTTTTCCGCGGCGTCGTTCGCACCCTGACGACTGTCCGCCAGGACAGCGGCAACACCGTCCAATGCAGGTCAGCAGAGACAAAAAAATGCGCTACGAAAAATTAACCCAACCCTAGCTTTAACACTCCGCCCATCGCCGGATTCTCGCCGGCCTGTGTTTTTACGGTAAGCTGAGGCTGCATTACCGCGGACGGACTAAACAACTTTCAATAGAACTCGTTCGGAACTTTGACGTTCGACAACACGGGTGGATCGTGCCCCAGTACGACTACACTCACGACCAAGTCATCATGCTGAGCACATTGGGCTCTGATCTGGATGCCATGCATAGCCCTGAAATGTACTGCCTGCTTTTTTGAATCAAGAGGGGAATGGTGTGAACCATCGTTTTTTACGTCCCATCTTCGATCCAGTGTTTTACGATTATCTTCTCAACAAAAATGACAATCATCCAGAAATGCAGCGAAGTGTCAAGTTTTGAAGTTTGATCGCAGCGAAGCCCCGTGACAGCCTAGCTACCTGACTGTGACTGGACGCGAAGTGATTGGATCAATACACAGCCATGTCGACTCTGCTCGACAACAGTTCACATGCATGCATGCATCCGATCCCTTTCCGCAGGGAGTACTTGGCCAAGATGTCGTCTTGGGACGCCACCAAAGCATCACGGGCAAGATGAACAACCCTTCCAGGTTTCCATGACTGCTACCGGCAAAGCACCGCCTCTATCTGCCGTATACTAAGAAAGAATCCGCAGTCATAGGAATGGCCTTCTACGATGCATGCTCAGTTCTCACACTGACACGGTACGATATCCGCTTGACTGACCCGGTCCCGAATCCAGCAACCCCACCTCAGTGATCAGTAACTGATCACGATCCTGTCCAGCCTCGTCCGGATGCATATCCTTTCGATTTACAGTGGCTGTCCTGAATTCGGACCCGCCTTTTCACTATTCCCATGCACATCGTACGCCTCCCAGAACTGCTGGCCCTGGCTCTTGTTATCAGCGACATTCCATTCAGGTGAGGCATTTCTGTTCGTTCGAACAAGTCAACTGGGACCAACGGGAAATTCGCACAGCGTTTGTGCCGCTCGCTGTCTTGGAAGAGGATGCTTGAGCTCAGATGACACACCTCAACGCAGGGTGCGTGCAGTCTTATCTTCGGTTGTGAGCATACAACTGACCCCCCGCGTAGGACAGCACCCTCCACTCCAGATCGCTCTCCCACCCAAACATGATCGCTGTCGTTGCCGGTGTGGTCGCCGGAGTCTCGGTCTTCCTTTTCGCTATCCTCGTGGTTATTCTCGTTGTTCAGAGTCGCCGCGATAAGATTCAGAAAGTGGACACTGAAGGCGCAGTTCAGTTAGAAACCGCCAAACCCGAATTTGCGACCCTCGTTCCACAAGCGAAGCCATCGACTGCGGTCGAGCATGCCGCATCTCGGCTGCCTCAATCTGTTCCTTTCGTTTCAGAGTGGTATCCGAATGAGCCTGCGGCCGGCACAAACTCGGGACTGCCACTCTCCAGCGCCACGATGAGCTCCTCCAAAGAGACACAGGCTCAAAGCACGTTGTCCGAACCCCGCCGAAAGGCCACCCACTCTCGTTCTCTCACAATTCAGCTTCCTCCTCGCACGAGACCGACGTTTTGGGCATGCCAAACGGGCATTCGCCCGCGCAAACGGGCATTTGATGGGCATTTGACAGGTTTGGCGTGAAATTGATGCAATCAGGCATGCATGCCCGTTTGCGGGCATGCCAAGCCAACATTTTGGCATGCCTCAGGCCATAGATAATTTGTATTTACTCGTTGTAGGCTTCTCTATGGGCTGTATTTAAGCATGTCAGGCCTACCAATGCCCTTGGCAATGATGTCTCGCGAGATTTGCCACGCACTACGTTACTGATGCTGCTTCGACGCGGGCTTTCACCAAATCGGACCGCGTGGGAGTGTTATAACTTGATTCAGATACAAAATTATGTGGGCTTTTCGCGCCGTGATTGTTCTACGGGGCTCTGCGGAGATGTGATTGACCTCACCGCTGAGCTTTCCTCTATGCAGTCAATGATAACTGACACTTGGGAGAAAGGAAGCATTTCAAAGTCACGGAAAGGTCTCAGATTCATGGCTTAGGACTACACCTCACCCCTACACCTCCATCGTTCAATGCACACGAGGCTACAATGTGTGCTGGTCGGGCTCGAAGTCCAAATTGATCCCATCCGACAAACGGGCATGCGTCCGCATCTCGATTGCTTAAATTCCAAGCTTATATGTTGCAGCGCTGCCGTGATCTAAGTTTCTAGGACACATTATTTCGTCCTTATAACTCCCTTACTAGCCCACAAGCTCATGAAGTGCGCAGAATCGAGCACATGCCCGTTTGCTTGATGGCATGCCTGATTGCTTGATGCAATCAGGCAAGCAGGCCTGTGATCCATCCATACTATCATGCGTCAGGTTCTGCTAATTTGGAAGCCGAGTATCCCATCTATCCAATTCCTGTGGCTCTGCTCCCCCGCGACGCAAAGGACAGAGAACAGGTTGGGGAATAACAGTCGAAGCCGAGAACAAAACCCCAAGCTCGGAATGCGGCGGCACGCGCACAATAGATCAATAGCAACTTGGGCGCTGGCGCAGAGCAAAGCACCGCTGGCCAAAAAAGCAAAGATAATGTGTGGAGTGGAAACAATAGCGACGAAGGGAAAAGGGAAGGCAGGGCGTGGTAATGGAAAGAAATAGGTTGTTATATTGTTCATTGACTCGTACAATATCTCATATTAGTCTATTAACAATTCAACATTCCTCTGAGGCCACCCGACGGCGACGACGAAGGTTGATTAGCGTGGGAAGCCTTACATCACCACCAGTGCCGATCTGGACTTGACCGATCGCAGAACGACCAACACGGCAACAGCGCGATGTCCGCAGCGTCCGTCCGACACCAAACCATGTCCTAAGATTAAAAAAGTTGGGCACAAGCCATGCCCATGCCCATGCCCGCCATCAAATGCCCGCCAAGCCAAATTCAAACTCCGCTTGGCGGGACATGCCCGTTTGACACGCCCATATAATAAGTCTGCTCCTCGCACCCCTCCCCACGGCCGTTCTATAGGCCTACCCAGGAACCCCTCGCCCGCCGCGGCTCGTTCCTCTCCAGCGCTGCGCTCGAGGAGATCGGACTCAGACTTCCACCGGAGAGGCGACTCCGGGCGGTCTACGCCGCGGGCCGGGCGTCGGCCTCCGCCGCTTCCGCTCTCGGCGAGAGGACGGGCATCGAGTCTACCCCGGAACCCATATCCCAGGCGACCGAGCATCTCTGTGTCCGTCCCACCTAGTCCCGTGCGGACACACGTACTGTCGGTGTCGGACGACGTGACCTCCACTCGCAGCCGGTTCAGTATTTCCCCTGTCAGGACTGGTGGCTTCTTGCTCCCCAGCTTGAGTACGTCCACGAGGAGCTCGCCTGGTCGGCCGAGGGCGCAGAGGTTGGGTTCCTTCTCAGATAGCGTGGCCGCTTCAAATTGAGGAGTATGTATGTTTCTTTCTACTGGCTTTTTGGACTATCATTACAACCTCACTGTACAACTCGCACGGACACTCTCCATTGTTCTAGAGCACACACTCTCTACTTACGTTTCGCCCCCAAGAAAGACTGCGGATTCCCGCTTCGGAAGAGCGCAGCAGATCCGATCAAAACCGGGATGATGCAGTGACCAAGTAGCGCTATCGAGTGCGATGTGAGATGAGAGAGCAGCACTCAAGAGGAACATTCCGTGGCAATACACACATGTCAACAATATTTCCAACCTGGCGCAAACGCATGTCATCAATCTATCTTTCATACCCTAACCCGAGGCAGAAACCGTGAGATCGACAACAATGCTATCGCTCGCTTTGTCCATGAACAACACGTTCTCGCTGTCCCTCAAGTCCATTAAGTGTCGTTCCATGATTATAGACGTAGGGAGCACAATGAACTGACCGAGTTTGGCCATGCAGGTCTTGAGCCGGTGGCTCCTCAGTCAGGTTCAGCTAAGAAGTGGATTCTCGCTGAGAGATTCGTGAAGTGTTTCTTGTTCGCTGGTAAACTCTCAGCATGCCTATCCGATGGTAAGTTTAGGTGCTAACACAGACTCGAAATCATGATGCTTGGGGGCGGTCGTTATTATTAGGCTGCTGAATCATGTTTTGGACGAGGTCGGCATATGACGTTTACCTGCAAGATTTCTCTCTGGCTCGTGATGGATGCCTACTCAGCACAAGACAATACATAAGTATTTTCAATGACTGTTAGAACGATCCTCTTCTCTGCTTTCTCACTTGGTCACATATCTCATTGCCTAGTCTTGGAAAGGGCAGATTTCGGCACTTGCTTCGGACGAAGTACACTGCGTTGAGCTCCTCGCACGCTAAGAATATACGATATTTGCCTGAATCTCATACTATGCCGCAGGCTGGTGTTCCGTGCCGCGACTGTTCATCCAAGTCTCAGGTCCAACGCGGTTTGCCATGCGCTGATTCTTGATTCGGCGGGTGAACCATTCGAGAGACGTGCATCCTGTGTCGAACTTGTTCTTGTCTTCAGCCTGCGCAACCGCAGCTGCGATGATCGGAGAATCTTCGACGAGAGCCCGCAGGATAACGCTGTTCCCAGGTCGCGTGAAAAACACCAGCGACCACCGGGTCTGTGTGGATTGGGTGCTCGGCGCCGGTCTGTTGAGAAGTCAGATGCACCCAGAGATGATTCAAGAAAAAACGCACAACACACGATGCATATTCGAGCGCAGAATACCGCCGCTGAAAAGGGCCAGCGAGTCGCCGATGTTGCAAATGGCGCAGCCCTCCAGTGGCTTGACGTACTGCCAGCCACCGTTCTCCGGATCTGCGCCAGGCACCAGCACCTGCAGTCCGCCCAGCCGATTGTGCAGGAAGCTGAGGCTTCCGAAGTCGGTGTGCGCGCCAATCGCCACTCGCTTCCAATCGGGCGCGGGAGGGTTCTTGATGACACGGGCTTCGCTGCCGGAATGCTCCTCGACAGGGTGCATCCGCGCGAGGGTGCCCACGGGCAGCCCGAGCTTCGCATCGAATATGCGCAGCAGCAGCCCGTTGACGGCCATCGCACGTTCGACAAACGGCCGGATCGTATCGCCCATGCGGTCGTTGACCGGCCCGGGATACGCGCGCCGCGCGATGCGCGGGAACGCCAGGGCGTCGTCCTTGGCGATGTTGATGAACTCAACCGTGTCCGGGACACCGGAAGCGTCGACGGCGTTGGCGCCAGCCGACTTGTACCCGAAGGAGTTGCCCGCGTCGCCTTGCTCGAAGTCCAGCTTCTCGGACATCGGCAGCGCCAGGGTCGTCCGAGCCATAGCGAACATCGATTCGACGAGCGGGGTCGTGCCGTGGTTCTTGAGGCTGTGTGAGTGGTGAGATGCTGTAGAGAACGCATGCCAGGGCGACTCACTACCAGAACCCGAGATTGCGGGCTGCGTCCCACAGACGCTCGATCTCCGCTTCGTCGCCCGCTTCGAGCAACGCGTAGTCAATCACCAGCAGGGGGTGGGTTGAGATATCGGTGGGGAAGTCTGGGAAGGGGGTGGTGGTGGCACTCAACAGGCCAGGCATTGTTGTGGAAGGAAGAGATGGGAGAATGAGAGGCTTGAAGGGCCCCGCACGAGGTCAAGTCTGCTGCTCCGAAAGAGCAGGGTGTCCCACGCGGGATTCGGGCCCACTTACACCCTACGAGGGAAGCCTGAATGACTCTCACAAGATCGTGAATGGAATCATCCGTGTAACGCCGTGGCCCATGCGAGTCGGACAGACGTCTTAGCCCCGGCGGCCAGCAAGATTTGTCGACCACACGACAGATACGAACCGGGGAATGGAATACATTTGGCCCGCCCAAAAGTCATGGGACTTCGTGAGAGAAGGTTGAAAACTGTTGAAAACAGGCCAGGGAGCCGAAGCGTGGGGAAATCGGCAGTTTGACAGCAACTGTCATTAGTCTCACCCAGATCCTCATTCCTCGAGCCACTAATCACTCCTCCGAGGCTCATTCTCTAGTCTGCTTTCCTCACTCAATAACAGTTTCCAGTAATTCGAAACACACGAGACTTGCTGGTTAAATGCAAAAATCTTTCCAGTCATTCTGATCGCAGATGCTTGCCTGGGAACCCAGGATAAAAGTCGGATGAAAGCTTGGCAGGAAGATGCCATAGGCTGCATTCGGAAGATGAACGGATGTGGGGGTACGCTTGTGGGCGTCTTCGCTGTCTGTCCTTTCTTTTCTCTCACACTTTCATCATTCATGGTCTTGGCGCGGAAGGGCGCAAAAGTTCTGGCTTCTGAGCCGACGCGCGTACTGGACTGAGAATGGCGCATCATCGCTTCTCGCTATTGATTTTAATCGATCGCTCGACGGCCAGGAGAATTCGTCAGACTTTTCTTCTGATACACCCTTCCGGGTGCCCAGATTCCGAGCATCAGAGTCTGGGAACCCCAGTGATCAAGGCATTGGTGACATTGGCCGACCTGGGGTCCTCCTCGGTGTCGTTTTCGACGATTCTGCAACCCCAGCTTCTCCGCAAACTCGACTGGCGGCTGCTCCCAATCATCACTCCGCTCCTGGAAAGGACGGAAAGATGGACAATGCACGAATGGCGGGGTGACAGACCTCAACCTCGTCGGAGTGCAGTACGCCACATCTGTTGCGCTGTTCTTCGTCTCGTGCTGTTTCTTCGAGGTGCCGACCAACCTGCTGATGAAACGGTCCTTTGTGTCCCCAGATATCTAGTGTCATTTTCGGCTAAATCTTGCACACACGCAACGATCAGTGGCATTCATCATAGCTGCCTGGGGCTTGATCATGGTCCCGAAGGCCTATGCGACCTCGTTTTTTGGTCTCACGGAAAGCACAGTTTTCACTCGGATTCGCTGAAACGGGTCTCTTGTCGTGCGCGACGTTCCGTCTGTCGCAGTAGTATCCGCGGCGCAGCGCATGAGCAGCGCATGCATGCACCCAGGCCAGTGGCGGGCGCGTTTGGCGTTCTACTGGGTTGAGTGATCGAGAACCTCGATGGAGCGCAGGGAATTAAGCTGAATGTTCCTGATCTAGAGTGCGGTGAAGGTCACGATTGCCGGGCTGGTGGTTGTCGGGATCCCTGATGAGTGAGGCGCGACTGAGATGTTCATGAATGCGACTGATTCACTCTAGAGAGTCTGAACCCAATACTAGATATGTCGTGTAGGCGAGTAGCTTACATGTTCGTCATACCATGGGTATCCAGCTGTTGGTCGCAGGACCTACATGTATCGTGACATCTCGTACATTATCCTTTCCTTTCAAAGGGCGTGCATGCTGGAGAGAAAGGGGAAATTGCAGGCTGATTCGGCCAACTTCTTGAAAGTAAGACGAAATGTTTTCAAGGTCCATGACCACACGATCCAAGTGGCGAGGCGTAGGGAGATGAGGTGAGATCTTCCATAACTACATCCGCCGACATGCAGAGTTATTCGTGGTCGCCTTGGAATTGCCGATTGTATGAACAACTTGAACCCGCATTCATTCATCGTGATTCCTTACAACAAGCAGATATGCATCGGCATCTATGATCCACTTCGTCCATGAAAAGCTATTTTGGTTCAAGGACCTCAATTCAGGCGGGTAGGGATGCGACGATCTCAGAGGGTGCGCAATTTGCATATAGTAGCAGCACCACAGGTCCGCAGTCTCCAAGTACAAATCGCCCAAAGCAACCAGCATCCAGCACAACATGTCCGAAGAAGTTTCAGAACATACACCCACTCTGCCCTCCCTGACATCCTGGTCCAAGTCACGCATCTCTGCGACATTCACCGCGCCGAGCCCCGCGGCGACTCTCGCCGCGCTGGACGCGACGTTTGCCCGGACGCTGCGCGCGCAGGTCAACGGCGACGCGGTGGACTTTGACGGCTTCACGGCGATGATCGCGGGCATGGCGGAGCGGTGCGCGGAGGGAGGGGCGAGGGTCGATTGGGTGTGGGCGGCGGAGGGGGAGGATAAGGGGGACGAAAGCGAATCGGGGGAGGGGGAGCCAGGTAAACGGGCAGGCATCGTGCGAGGAGAGTATTATATACGGGGTACGTTCGGGGTGATACCCGGGACGACTGAACTCGTCGAGCTCGAGGTGCGCAAACGGGTCGTAGCGAGGTGCGTGACACCTGTGTTCCGTTGGGATGGTGCTTCACTCTCTGACGCCGCCCAGAATCGACTCGCTCTCCAAAGACCCAGTGATCGATAGCCGCCGCATTGTCGAACTTGACGCAATCGTGAACCTACTCCCGGTCGGCCCTGCAGCGCCACCGCGCGTTACTGGTTCAAGTTGTCAAGGATGAATGATAAGATCGCAGTTAGCGGTTTGCATTGTACGTCACGAAATGATCATAGGAACACACGGGTTGGGAGCAGATAACAAGCGATTGAGGAGTAATAGACTGGTTACGAGCGAAGATGGGGCACATACGTCGATAATGACTTTCGTAACCGCCGAAGTCCGCTGGAAAAGACAAGATGCAAAATGAGCGACGTAGGGGTCGAACCTACAATCTCCTGATGGGATCCAATCCGGGGGAAGCAATCGTAGTCAGACGCGATGCCATTTCGCCAGTCACCCGTGATGGCTGTCACACTGATGGAGATTCATCAACAAAAGACTTTGTAATGGATCTCTATTGAACCTTAGCAGTGCGGTTTAACACCTGGCCAAGCGGGCAATCTCAGATGGACATTTCTGTGCTTGAATCTTTTGTCAATTGTGTCTATTCAGATTACAGTACACTCTCAACAAAGGGCACCCAGGCCTTGTCTGCCGCGATTACATCCAAAAGCCTGCAAACCTCCACAGCCAATTGTGACGGGTTTTCCTGCACAATCTAATCACAGAGAGAACACATCAATTTCCCAGCTTGCCCTGAGGACGAGAACGCACCATGTGTGACTCTCCTTCCATTCGTGTGACACTCGCAACGTAGCGGCCCTTGTTGTGGTCAGAAATGCTCGCCTTGCCAGCTTCGGGAACGATGTCGTCCTGGGTACCCCAGATCACGTGTAGCGGCATATGCCGGCAGAGGCGTGCGATCCGGTCCACGGCGCTGAAATGCGCTGGTTTGTCGAGGAATGCGTTAGCTTCGTGCAATTTATTGCACTTGAGCGTAATCTGATTCGTTTCGGAGCTAGATTTGAAACCGTGATCCTGGAATTGAGTGAGCTGGAGTGATCCCAGTTGAAGTTCGATGGTTGGAACGCACGACGTGGGCCTTCAACACCCGGGGATCCCAGTCGCTCCACGGAAAACGCGCGCCCATCCACTCGTGCAATGCCTCGGCCGACGGCCACTTGTCCCGCCGCGCCCGGATCGCCCCAGTCAGCATTTCGATACCGCCCTCTCGGTACGGATCAAGCTCCGCACCGACGATTGTGGGCTCGACGAGGATCATGCCGATGTAAGGGCTGCGTCTGAGGTTGAGAAACTGCGCGGTGTTGACCCTGCTCCGTATTTAGTTCGAACGTCGAGCTCTGATCTGAACTCACATGGAAATGGCACCGGCAGAATGCGAAATCGTCACAATCTGGTGATCCCGCATCCGAGGCGAAGAAATGAATGCAGCGATCGCCTCAGACCATTCATCTGAAGCTGCGAACACTAAGAAACGTGGGAAAGGTCGAAGGAACCCGCTTACAAACACCACCCGGGCGACTCTTCTGGATCTCGGCGCCGTTCAGCACTGCCGCATCGCCATGGTCTTGCCGGTCCAATGCCCATGCTTCGCGGACGCGGGGATAGGAGTTTTGCTGGCGAGCAAATATATCGCGCAGCAAGGGCTCCCAGGCCTCTTTGTCTGGTTCGGATTGTGAGCGAGAGAAAGTAGCACCATGCGAAGACTGACGAGAGCCAACACCGTGCCCGAGAACCAGCGTGATGCCTTCAGTATTGGAGGAAGAGTTGCCCGCACGGTACCGTTTGGCGGTCATTTTCAGGGGCCCCGCATCCGCACATGTTGAGTAAGGAGAAGAATAAGAAGAAACTTGAGAAGAGGAAGAAAAAGCAGATGCACTCGGCGAGGAGTGCGTGAAAACAAAGGATTTGACCTGGAGATGCATCTCAAATGCCTCGAGCAGCGGGGGGCCAGTCGGATTCTCATCTTAAGGGCGGGCGGATGTTGCTCTGGGATCAGTCGGGAGGTGCTTGACAACGGAGCGATTGCGACGAGAGGGGTTTCTATAATTACTGAGCCAATGGGGTGAATATGTACTCACAGAGATCGTTGGCACCTCAATCCAGCGTGCAACTTGAACCAAAAAATGATCTCATCAGTATTCAGAACGATGGAATTCATGTTAACCCCACTGGCGTGCTTTGGGACGTTGTCGCATATCGCAACAGCTGTCGAAAAGTAGCCTGAATTAGCTGGACCCGGTTGTCCGTGGTCGAATCGAGAGGCTTCTTGGGAGTAAGTACTAGTGGTAGCCGTATGGGAGCCCTAGCACTGCCACGCACGTTTTCTTCTTCCGCAGACCGGCTTGACTTTCTGACGGTCCAACTGTGTTTCGAGTTTACAATGCAAACCTCTTGATCTCCATCATGCCAGACTTTCAATTCAAATCGCGCGGCGGCTGTTTCCACCTATGACTGTGGCAACCTTCATGATGCACAAGTCAGACCGCACTCGATGCTCAGTACCAAGTATACAGGGACACCGCTTCTTACCCTCTAGAATATGGAGGCCGGGAACTATATGCTGATAAACGGAGGACGTATCACTGATACGCGATAGTTTGCCGACATAGGATCAATTTCATGATGCGCTCCATGTCATGATGCGCTCTATCTGGACGGCTGAAAACGTTATACTAATGACCGATGTCTGAATCGTGGATGGCCGCTCGGCAGATATTGATCAGATGATTGACGCAATGATCAAGACCCCAGGTAGCCGACTATCGCAATATCGCAACATCGTAATATTCGAAAAGCGCAACATTCAAGATAGTGTAATATTCGAGATAGCGTAGTGAGCATGTAATTACTGTAATTCACTAATCATTTTCGCGGGAGTCTTCCTCATCCGAGAACCATGCGTACAGATCAGGACCAACAGCTTGCCGCAGCTGATTGATACGACACGCACCCGAGCGATCCGTTGGCCGAGAAGCCCTCTAGCAGCGGCGACTTGACACTCAAGTTGGTTTCCAGCATGTACCCCCACTCGCGCTCGATCAGATCAATTGCCCGCTCGCCCTTGCCGGCCACAAAATGCGCTTGGATCTGTCGCGCAGGTGACACGCAAACCACAAACCACCAGCGCAACACGCACCTCGAAGCCACGGCCTGATGGGCGTCCAGAACTTCATCAGCCCGGCGCTCACGGCCTTGTTCTGTGCGTCCGATGTCGTGAGGTTGTACAGGACCGCGAGCGCGTTGCCGTCCTGCGGGTGGATGCTCCTCGGCAGGTCGTTGCTGCGGAACCGGCCCGCCGCGGCGTCCCACAGCAGGCTGTTGAACGCAGTTTTGATCTTGGTCGCGTTGGCGAGGTATGTGGCGGGGAGGGAGACATTGCCGAGATGCGTCGCCAGGTCCGCCGTGGTGACGAGCGTCTACGAGCTTGATGAGCGCGGATACATGATGCGAGAGACAGAAATCAATCCTCACGCGATAAAGCAACGCGTTTGCCGCAGAGTTGTGTCCGGCGCCGCTGGCCCTGCCCCAGTCGTTCGAGAGCGCAGACGAGACGTTCATCAGGCCGGTCAAGTCCACCTGGCCCTCAAGGAAGCCAACCGCCTTGGTGTAGTTCGCCCAGACAGACTTGATGAAATCGAGGTCGCCCGTGTACAGGAAGTAGTTGTGCGTCCCAATGAGCGACCACGAGATGTACGTGTCGCTTCCCTGGTTGTTCAGCGGCGGCCCGGAGTACTGCAGCGCGCCAGTCGTCAGGTTTTGCGTGCGGAACATCACCATCAACGAGTTCTTGGTCGGCTCCATGTCGCTCAGCGCGACGAGCTCCGTGTGTGTGGAGATGCCGCAGTCGCCTGATCCGTCGCATGAGTCCGAGGGTTAGATCGCGTCCATGAGCATGAGGGGTTACCTGGCCAGATGTTCCTGACAGTACCAATGTCATCAGCAGGGATTGCACACACAGATCGCGACCGACCATTCCTCACCTGTCGCGTTTTGCACCATCGACGAGGATAGGCCCAGTGGCAGCTCCTCCCAAGGCATCGTTGGACCAGCCACCTACAAATGTGATCGCACAGTTTGAGTCCAAAATTCAGATCCACGCCGACACGAACCTCCTGCTGGGCACGGCTCCTGTCGCGCCGTGTGGGGAGGGATTGTGTTGGTCTGCACCCTATAGTGCCTGCTAGCGGTCAGCCCCCACCCACGCCACGCTCTGCCACATCAGCCAGCAAACAGGCGATGACGCACCGGCGTACCAGATCTTCGTGAGGAAGTCGATGTCGTGGAACCCGGGGTCAGGTGCAAAGAAGTAGCCCGGGTACGCCCTGAGATCATCCCAGTGGGGCATGAACGTGATCGCCAGCGAGATGTTCGAGATCGTCAGCGGGTCCGCGCTCGCACTCACAATCGTCAGGAAGCGGAACCCGCCGCGCTGCTGTCCCACGGTCTGCGTCAGCAGCCCCGTGGCTCGCGGCACGTGGAACGTCTGGATTCTGTCCCAGTTCTGCAGCCGTGCGGGCTGGCACGAGTCGTCCAACTTGAGCGGGCTGATGAACTCCGCGGACTCGGTGAACGACAGTGAGAACTGCGACTGGGCCGTCGCGTTGTTGATCGTCAGCGACAGGATCCCCCCAAGCTACAGTATGGGTGTGTGAATTGACCCTCGACGGCGCTGTATCAGGGAGGCCGCGCACCTCCTTCCCCAGTCGAACACGACGTACGAACCGCTGCCCTGGAATGTCGCCTGGGAGTCCGGACTTGCGACGAGCCTGCTCGCGCCGGCGACCCGGCCGCTGATCCTATCTCGAATGTTGCGCTTTTCGAATATTACGATGTTGCGATATTGCGATAGTCGGCTACCTGGGGTCTTGATCATTGCGTCAATCATCTGATCAATATCTGCCGAGCGGCCATCCACGATTCAGACATCGGTTATTAGTATAACGTTTTCAGCCGTCCAGATAGGCGCATCATGACATGGAGCGCATCATGAAATTGATCCTATGTCGGCAAACTATCGCGTATCAGTGATACGTCCTCCGTTTATCAGCATATAGTTCCCGGCCTCCATACTAGAACATGCAATCCCCCACGACTCCACGCCGCCGGACGGCATACACCCCGCGCGTGACGGACACCTGGTCATTGGAGGAGGAGGGCCTGCCATTGATCGAGGAGAAGCGGGAGCATGAGGAGAAGGCGGATGAGCAGCATGAGAGCTGCGAATACCTGAGCGGGGCAAAGCTGATAGTCCTCATGTTCGCTCTCGGCCTCTCCGTTTTCCTCGTCGCGCTGGATAACACGATAATCGACACTGCCGTGCCCTCCATCACCGACACATTCCACTCACTTTCTGATGTCGGCTGGTACAGCTCATCGTACCTCCTCACGACCGCCTCGACGCAGCTCCTCTTTGGCAAGCTCTACACTCACTTTCCCATCAAATTGACTTACATGCTCTCCATCGCTCTGTTCGAGCTGGGGTCCCTGCTGTGCGGCGCGGCACCGAATTCGGCTCTGTTCATCCTCGGTCGCGCCGTCGCTGGCGTCGGCAACGCGGGGATCTTCTCCGGCGGGCTGGTGATTATCGCACATACCGTCCCGCTCGCGAAGCGGCCTCTGTTCAGCGGCCTCATTGGTGGGCTGGGTGGCGTGGGTAGTGTCGCCGGACCATTGCTGGGCGGTGTGATCACTGCACGGCTGTCGTTTCGTTGGTGTTTCTACCTCTCACTTCCGGTGGGACTGGTCACACTCGTCTTAACGGGCTATCTGCTGCGCGTGCCGGTAGCTGAGAACAACAAGCGACGGGCGGAGCTGGCCGAGTTTGACCCGTGGGGAAACGTCGTGTTTATTCCCGCGATGGTGTCCCTGTTGTTGGCTGTTCAGTGGGGAGGGTCCTCGGTCCCGTGGTCATCGCCACTGATTCTGTCGCTTCTGGCGATGTCGCTCGTCCTGCTTATCGTGTTCGCCCTGATTCAAATCCGCGCTGGAGAACATGCGACCATTCCACCCCGCATCTTGTCACAGCGGTCGATCTGGAGCTGTAGCATCTACGCTTTGTGCATCGGAGGCGCATTCAACATCATCACGATGTGTCTCCCTATCTGGTTCCAGGTCATTCACACGGATTCGCCCGAGACATCGGGGATCCACACATTGCCTGTGATCCTCTCCCTCGTCGCCGGATGCGTTGTCGCCGGTGCCTTGATTGGTGCGATCGGGTTCTATGCGCCGTTCATGATGGCCTCGGCGTTATTCACCGTCGCTGGGTCTAGTCTGCTGGGGGCGCTGCTTACGGTGGAGTCAACGTCTCGAACATGGCTTGTGCCCGAATTACTGTGTGGATTCGGTGTCGGATTGGGGCTCCAGCAGCCGATGCTCGCCGCCCAGACTGTGCTCGAGCTCAGAGACGTTGCGGTCGGTACGGCGGTCGTGATGTTTGCCAACACGCTGGGCGGCGCCCTCTTCGTCGCGGTAGCGCAGAGCGCATTCACGAGCAGTCTCGTCTCAAGGCTTGTTTTGGCTGTTCCCGGCGTCAAACCCGAAGCGGTGCTCCAGGCTGGTGCCACGAATCTGAAAGATACCGTCCGGCCCGGCTTGCTCGCGGATGTTTTGGTGGAATATAACGCCTCGCTGGCGATGTCGTTTTGGGTAGCAATGGTCCTCGGCGCGATTGCATTCCTGGGATCATGTGCTATAGAATGGAAGAGTGTAAAAGCGAGAAAAGTGGCGACTATTTGAACACGCTTGTCTGTACAGTGCCTCTCGTGCGGCCATCCAGAATTCGCCGCGGGACTCCAGCGAAATCCAAGTCTCGTTCTCGACGACGACGGCGAAGTTTGATGTTCTGTCAACCTCGGTATGTAGACAGATATAGTAATAATTACCACCGCACACCGACTGTTGCATCGGGGTCGATCAGCACTTCAAACCCCACAGCCACATTACGATCCTGCTCGTCGTTCACAACGACGACGACAATATTATTGTGCTCTGCTAGCTATTCCAATTGACAGCTCACTGTTGAGCCATTTAGCGTGAATCTCCCCTTAATTGGGAAAATCGCTTCTTCTGAGTAAAGCTCAAGTTCTCTGGAACTTATGTGCATTCACACGAACGATGGTCTGCGCAGGCCATTTTAGGCTGACTTTTCAAATTTAGAACACCAATTTGAGCAGGAGCTTCAAGAGCTCCCGTCCAATTTGAACATCTTTGAGATTTGATCCACCACCGCATTGAGAAAATTCACACAAAGCATCGCCAAAATTCGAAAACATTGAAACAAAATTCCCCCAGATTAGTTCCAGAAGTGCTCAACACAGATTGAGAGTGAACGAAGTAAGGATTGTGATGAGAAGATAACACAGATGCTGCACTCAACTCTGGATCATCAGGCTGATCTTCATTGTTTATAATTTTCACAACGTCAAACTCATATATATATAATTCATGTCTTATAGACTGCATCGTCTACAGAGCGGCTCATTTGAACTTTGGAATCGATCCTGCCGGGTTTGACCCGGGTTGTGCTGCAAGTAGTTTCATGCTCAACGTGTTCAGATGCCCTGCATGCAACCGAATGATTCTAGATCCCGGTTTCTCTGTTATTAACTCACAATATATGGTCTAGAACCCCGAGTTTGGCTCCGTTGAATGAGGGTGATCGCCTGTACTATTCACCTGACATAATCTACCGCAATGCGATCCGGTATGATCAATTGGACAAGTGCACTCTTGAGGGTTAAATTAATCTCAATGAAGTCATTTTGATGATTGAGAAGAATGTATGATTCTCTGGAGCTCGATGCACCTTGGAAGACTTCCTGCACACAACAGTTGTGAGATTTCTTAAAAATGGTGGAATTTTGTTCCATTAACTTGATTGGTACGCAGGAAGGCCGGTAGAGTCCAGCATCGCACGGTTGGGATTCCGCACACTTCAACGCAAGTCTTCATGTCGCAATTGTTGAAAGTGCATGTTCGGTGCTGTGGCTGTGAACTAGTGTTGCCGTGGTCCGGTTCAGAACCTGAGTGAACCCGGTTCGAACCTGAACTGGACCCCAGGTCCGGTTCGCCGAGATGCCCGAAACCGGACTGAACCGATGGTCCGGTTCACGGTTCAGGTGAGGACGAAGAAATCTGGACGCGTCCGAACGCGTCCGAACACGTCCGAACCTGAGTTTTTAGCATGTAAAATCGGCTCAGAAATACACATCCGAGGGTGCTTGTTCCCACGTCCTCGACAACATGTGATCGAGTTTGTCAGCCTGCACAGTTATCCCCCAAAATAACCTCCTCTCGACGCCATTCTCGCTACGAAGCAAATTTTCTGCCCTGAATCTGACGATAAAAGCTTGGTACACTCGGGCGCCAATCTGGGCACCTAAATTCTGCGCTAGTGACGTCGATCTCCATGTGGTGACACCTCTCTGATCAACGATGGCGCTCTGTGGCTGCAGGGTTCACAGTGTGAACCCTGGGAATTCCACGGCTTCCTATCATTGTCGACGCAGGGCAGAGAAAACCAAAGAAATATGTAAAAGGAGGCGCCGTGGAAACAGTCACGCGGCTGAGACTGAATTGTGATTTTACTAGTGTTTGAGACAACTTATTCTACTATCAGAAACATTCGGCAGTGGTGTATGCACAACCAGCGACAGTGTAGGGCATGACTGGCGGTGGTCCCAGTTCGACCTGGGGGAGTCCCAGCGGGACCTGCAGTGGTCCCGCGGTGGTGCAAGTTTGGCCCCGCGGGACCCCAGCGGGACCCACTTGCCCCGCGGCTAATTTATGTGATCCCTCTCGTGCCCCCTTGTCTCCGATTTGGTTTCTACTTCTTCGCTCATTCGCTGAGTCCCAATTTTTTCATGGCGCAAATAACCAGGGAAAAATCAAGGGAATAATCTATGGTAGTGCGAAGCTTTCTAAATGTGTTGTGATTTGCTTACTATCTTTCGTAGTGACGACATGCAGCGGGATTTTTCGTGTTGGCCGCGGCCGCCGGAAATTTCCCGGAAGTTGTTCGTCGACTGACCCCCGAAAGTTACGCCCAACTTAGACTGCTCGAGGCTGAAGACCATCACGGTGATATACTGTACTTCCGCCATAGATACCAAGGATCCAAGTGGAGAAGACCTTGCTATTTTAAGGGCTTCGCGCATCATATTTTTATCTTACACGTCTCACGATCTACCTCCCTGTGCTCATCTTTCCTTTCCGTTCATCCTAAATCCGTCCGAAAATCCACCTAGACCATGCGCTTACAGATGTGACTTGAGTGAGGGATTCACCGGAATCATCTTTGTCGAAGCGAGCAACTTCACGATTCGCCTGCTATCCAGATTCCGTCTGGTTGACTGGGATTCAATCCTGGAAGAGCGCAGTAGCACTCAAAGTGCGGATAGATAAGCGCTCAAACACAGACCTCGCGATCACCTTCTTATGCACCTCGAGCTCCATGGGGACTTTTGATCCAGGCATCGTCCCAATCGTATCCCGGACGATATATTCCGCTCTCACGGTTCCGCTCTGACCGGAGAGATATCAATCGACAAGGTTGAACTCCAGAAGGAATGTCGGTAACACGCACCCGACCTCCGTCCTGCTCGTCCTCCTCGTAGGCAGACACCCACTCAACATGCGGCCCGCCGTTCTTCCCTTGCCCCGACATCGCGGCGATCATGCGACCGAAGCCGTGAAAGTCGACAGGCTTGCCATTCACAGTCGCTTTGAGGGATCGTGAGAAGGTCTGATCGAGCGCGGCGAGCGTTAGCTCATGTGTTGGCGCGGTGAATGTGGAGGTGATGTGCACGCGCGACCACTCGGCGAGCGAAGGGAGGTCCCTCGCTGTGGTTTGCATTTATGGTCGACTTTACAGACGGCGAGATTGGTGTGGAATTCTAGTAGAGTTCGGAACGAGAGGGTATCCTGCCTCTTGGAGCTGGGCTCAGTCTTATGGCTCGCCTGCGGTCCTTCTTCCATTGAGCTGGGAACGTTCCCCGAACCCTGCCCGAGAGCTTCCACATGTTTGACAAAAGTGACGGTCTAGGGCAGCTGTTCGTCCGCTGCACGGGTGGTTCCGTCTGCGCTTCCAGGGTAAAGAAGCCCCGGTGCGAGATTGTGATGTGCGGCGGTGAGATGAATGCCGCGTCTTGAAAACGCTCCGCAGAAGCTGTGGAAGAAGAATTGGACACAAATCTGTCCCTACTTGAATGCCGGTCAGGAATGGGATTCGCACCATCCTCATTCAAAGCATCACTTTAATAGGAGTAATACTGATAGTGGGCCAACGCTGACAATTAGATTGGTCATTGGCACGACATCGGATCATCGTCCAATCGCCGAGCAGCATCAAATTGCTCAAAGGCTAACTGCGCTTTCCGACTGAGGATCTCCTATTGGCATGGAATTCGAAGACGATCACCGGGAGATGGATCAAACGACATGGCTTCGAATGCATCAGTCGAATATTGTGCCATTTTGACGGAAGATTCAGTGATCGGTCACCAGGTGACCATGAGAACTTGATTTACCCGAGGTATACCAAGAGTCGAAAAAAAATCGGGCGCACACATCAACTTCCTCTATGTTGGTTCATAGTCTCGTTGATCATCCTGGTCGCAACGCACCCGAATGCCATGGCCCGGTGACATGAAAAAAAACCGTCACTAGCTTCGGACCTTTTTGGGACTTGGAGCTTGAAGTTTAAACGTAAAAACTCGATCTGGATGAGTAATAGCAGTCAGCCACCCAGTCACCTGCCTTGGAGCCCGGGTTGAAATGGTACAGAACTATTAAAACATATGCTTGCGCGCTTCAAAGTTCATTGCACATGTGCTATCACTATCGGCCTTCTGTCACAGCAGAGAGCTTCGATGGACATCGGACCCTGTCCTTCAGATAGGTCCGGACAATACCATTCAACCACAGGATTGTGACATCGTTCTTTGTTCTTCCTCACGTGGAAAAGCAGGCCCGGATACGGCATCTCATTCGATGCGCGAAAGACCACCCGCTTCGTCGGGCATTCACCAGCAGAAATTGTACCTCGAGTGAGCTTCCCACGCAGCCGGGAGGAGCAAAAAACCGAACGGTAATCCATGTGGTCTATGTGCATCGAGCAATACTTGCCGCCGCACTGACGCCTTAATGTCTCTGCTTCTTCACATTGTTTGTCGGGAAGGAATCATTTGATCAGACCAGATCAGACCCCGATTTCTCAGAAGCAAGATCGCCCAAGAGAATTCTGCATCCGAGAAGCCGGTTTCCTCGGGGAACTTCCCCGCCGTTGTCGTTCTGAGAGAATTTGACTTCTTGGCGAACGAGGGCCCGATAGCCGGGCCATCGTCACACGAAGGGAAGCCGCGCAGACAATGATTTCTCTCCAGTAGCACTTAGCAGTTGTGAGCTTATCATGATCGAGCTACTGTGCGACATAAATGTTATCTCTGAACAGAAACCAAGCCTTACTCCGCTGGAAAACTTGATGCGCCTAATCCGCCATTGATCACGCCTCAGTAGGGCTCATACAGCAGTAAAAGCGGCCCTAGAAGCCGGCATCTCGGCACTAGTCAGTAGTGGTTGATGCCGAGAAGTCCTGAGTGAAAATCTTTTCCGTGAGATCTTCACATGTGAAAACGTTTTACGGCTGAAGGTTCTAATTTTCCCACATCTAAAATGTGAAATTTGTGAGAATACAAACAACGCATAAATATAGGCTTATCCAATTTCAATGCTGTGGTGGGGAACAGGTCCCACATGCGGGTTTGAGCAATTGACTGAGGAGATGGGACTGTGGGCTAGCCATGAACTACCAGGAAGGTGTCTATGGAGGGTAGAACCTAGTACCGTGCTCTTATAGAATTATATTGGCAGACCTGAGCACCGCTGCCTAAATCCTTGGCTAGAGGTCTGGGAGGTTGTAGAGCAGACACCAATGTGACTTGTGGGTGTTTAGCTATTGGGGTTAGTTTGGGACTGATTGGTCCTGTCACAATGAAACTGCCCTGGCCTAATATAGAAACCAATCAGTCCATGTGATCAGATGTGTATCTGCCAATTGATTAGTTTTACTTCAGTCAAATGCTTGATGCTCCTGTTGTTGAAGCTTGTTTGTGCAGTCAAACCCCTCTTAACCCATACCCCTCTAAACCCGTAACCTCTTGTAACCCATAGATTTCTCATGAAACCAAGGGGAAAACCCATAGATTCTCAGAAACGCATAACCCATGACCATTTCCAGGGTCCAAAACCCATACATTATGCCAAAAATGGAAATTCCATGATTGCCAGATTGCAAAAATATACCAAATATAAGCAACCATGGCATCCAATCAACTCAACCTCCCCAAGAAGCGCCTCTGTGCCCTCCAAAAGCACATTGCTGAGCACAAGAAAATTCTTGAGGACCATCTCCAGTGCACAATATATGCTCTAGATCCCCAGTTTTGGAATTCACTCCTCTTATCGACTTGTTTTTGGGTTGATTGTCACATAATTTCAAGACTCCCCTCATACCCTCCTACCTCATACGTCTTACCCTGCATCCCTCATTGCTATGCCTGCTATATCCTCTTCACTCTTTTACCAAATGTCAGGGGAACCCCCGCTTCAGACCGCTCTGCCTTCGATCGGGCATGTGATTGCGCTTGCGTGACCTGTCAGCTGTCATGTGCCGCGGCCCGGACTGCCGTGCCAAGCGCTTCTCTCTGATGGGCACATGGTCAGGTGCCCATTGTTCCTATTGTCTCCGCATCCCATTGTTCTGTCATGGCCATTGTACTTATTGTTCCCATTGTTCCTTGTTTGTCGCTGCACACTCTATTGTTCTTGTATCATATAAATAGTGGCGCTTGGCAAGGAGAATCCCCAACACGGTTTCTCTTTGGATTCTCCCTTGCCAGGTATACCGGTCTTGTACCTAGCTACCACTATTAACACCTTTGGATTCTCCCTTGCCAGAACTCTGAGATCGGGTCTCGAGGTTGCCCTTACAGCAGAAACTGTGTTCCTAGGGATAACTGGTCAAGATTGCGAGGTTTGACGCTGATAGTAACAGCAGAGACGAGTCGATGAGCGACCAAGACCGCCAATCCATCGCCTCTTTTCTTGCCCCCTCCTCCCCTCCACAAGCACACTTGACCAGCATGGAGGACAACAACTCCCAGCATCGACTGTCCACTCTGGAGACCAGCATCCAGAACATCGAAGCCGTACTCAATCGGCTCCTCAACCAACCACAACCCCCTGCCCCTGCCCCTGCACCAGCTCCGGCAGCGGGTCCAGGTGTTTCTGCTGGCTCGCAGTCAAACACTGCGCGCCCCCTCATCCGTCCCAACCCCCCCTTCTTGTTTGATGGGGATCGCACCTTGGGCAAGAGCTTCTTGCACTCGGTGAAGCAGTACTGGCGACTGCTCCCCGAGGCGTTCTTTGTGAATGGGGTGGTCGCTGAGGAGAAGGTAGTCCGCTTTGCCCTCTCCTACATGTCCAAGGACTCGGCGGCCTCCTGGTCCGAGCGCATGTCCGAGCGCACCCCGTTCCTGTTCCCCACTTGGGCTCTGTTCGTCACCGAGTTCAAGCTCCGATTCGTCGAGGAGAACAAGCAAGACCACGCCTTGATGCGACTGGAAATCCATCAGTATTATATTGGCTCCCGTGACGTATTCAAGTACACGGACGAGTACGACGACCTCCTTGACCTCGCTGGTTATACCGACAACTTGGTCAAGGTGACCAAATATAAGACGGGCTTGGACCCGAGGATCGACCAAGCCATCACCACCTCTGGTAACCCTCCCAGCCTCACCGACTATGCCAAATGGCATGTCTGTGTGTTCCGGCAGTACAATGCGGAACTCGCTGCCAGAGCTTCTTGAGGCCACACAGCGCCTCCTCCCCGAGCGCCTGCTGTTGCCCCCCGTCCTTGTGCCACGGTGCTCCCTGCTGTAGCACCGGCCCTCGCTGCCCGCCCGGCGCCCGCCCCCGTCGCCCATCCAATTCCCATGGAGGTAGACCGGGCCCGGCTCCGTGGTGACATTCAACGCACCTGCTTCCACTGCGGCAGTCCGGGTCATCTTGCCCGTGACTGCCCCACCCCAGCTGACATACGTCACGCTGATGTCCTTGATGAGGTCATCAATCAGCTGGGGAGTGATCTGCTTTCCGAGTTGGTTGCTCGGGTCGCGACCACTGCAGCCGTTGCGGATCATGCGTCCAACGTCGCAGCCGAGGAGGAGCAGGGTTTTCTCCCCAGCAACGAGTGAGTAGTACGCCCTCGTTTGCTTCACGTAATTGTTTCTCCTGTTTGTATGATGAATCCAATTCCCTCCACTCTGCAACAGTTGAAGCGATAGACGTACACCCTGCTCCCCCTCTAACCCCACGAGTCCGTAAGGAGAAGTGGGAACGCAAGCTCCCTTCCTGCTATGTTGCTGCCGCCTCTCCCGGGGCCAATTCTCTCCACCTCCCCCTCGAGATCGAGTCCACCGACAACGCAGTGAAGTTATCTCTCAAAGGCCTGGTCGATTGTGGTGCCACATCCGACTTCATCGACTCGGCCTACGTCCTCAAAAATCACCTCCCTGTTCGTCGCCTCACCCAGCCTATCCCCGTTTACAACGTGGACGGCACACCGAACGAGGCCGGTTCCATTCGCGAAGTTGCTGATGTGGTTCTCCGTTACCAGGGCCACAGTGAACGCGTGCAGCTTGCTGTCACCCGTTTAGGCAAGCAGCAGCTCATTCTAGGGTACTCCTGGCTCCGGAAGCACAACCCGGAGATCAACTGGGATACCCAGGAGGTAAAGATGAGCTGTTGCCCTTCTGGTTGCTCCACCTGCCGGGAGGAACTTCATGAAGAACGTCGATCTGCCAGAACCGCAGCCCGGGTGCTCCGCACCATCAGACAAGGTCCGGTTCCATCCATCTGCGCTGTCGACGTTGAGGACCACAAGGACGAAGAGATACCGGAGCTTTCGCCAGACTCGGACGATTATGACCCTGAAGATGTCGAAGAAGATGACGACTCCTTGGAAGCCGGTGACCGTATCTTTTACACCCGCTTCAACCCTTCTGAAAACATCCGAGCCACCAGCACCGTCTCTCAGCGACTTGCCGAGGCGTTCGCTAAGAACTCTGCACCTCCTCGGGATACTATCCCCAAGTGGGCCCGCGAGTTCGAAGATGTTTTCAGCAAGGAGTCCTTCGACAACCTGCCAGAGCGACGCCCCTGGGATCACGCCATTGAACTGGTCCCCAACGCGAAGCCGACCAACTGTAAGGTCTACCCCATCTCTCCTCTCGAAGAGAAGCAGCTCAACAGCTTCATCGAGGAGGGCATGGCTACTGGCAGGATTCGGCCATCAAAATCGCCCATGGCGTCTCCCGTCTTCTTTGTGAAGAAGAAAGATGGCAGCTTACGGTTTGTCCAAGATTACTGAGCACTAAACGCGATGACAGTGAAGAACCGCTACCCGCTCCCCCTGATCAATGATCTCATCAACAAGCTCAAGGGAGCTCGGTTCTTCACCAAACTCGACGTTCGCTGGGGCTTCAACGATGTGCGCATTCGTCAAGGTGACGAGTGGAAGGCAGCGTTTCGGACAAACCGCGGGCTCTTTGAGCCGTTGGTGATGTATTTCGGCCTGACCAACTCCCCCGCAACGTTCCAGACGATGATGAATGACATACTTCAGGACCTCATCCTCTCTGGCAACGTTATGGTGTACCTCGACGACATTCTCATCACACATTCCGATATCCACCGTCACCGGGAAATCGTGAACAAAGTCCTCCGACGTCTCCGCGAGAACAAGCTCTACCTTCGCGCGGAGAAATGCGAGTTCAAGATGCCTTCGATCAAATACCTTGGGGTGATCATTTCCCACAACCATGTGGAGATGGACCCGGTCAAGGTCGCAGGTGTGGCGGAGTGGCCAGCTGCGGCTAACAAGAAGGAAGTGCAGCAGTTCCTCGGCTTCACTAACTTCTACCGGAGGTTCATCCAGGATTTTTTGCACATTGCCCGTCCTCTCTTTGACCTCACCAAGAAGGACGTGGCATGGACTTGGGGCGCCAACGAGGCAGCTGCGTTTCTTGCGCTGAAGAACACTGTTACCTCTACCCCAGTCCTGCAGCTCCCAGTGATAGGCTGGCTACCAGACGCGCTCTGCACCAACTCTATAAGGGCATATTTTTGCGCTTTTTACAGAGTTTACTCTTGAACCATTTGGTGTATCGTGTCGCAGTTGACAGTGTTGTGTTCAGTAGGGCATAAGGGTCTACTGCCCAGTTGACGACTGTGGATAGTGTCGACGATAGCAAGGCAGTCAGACCACTACTGTGTCAGGGGAACCCCTGCTTTCGTCCGATCATCATGGGATCTCGCATGTGACCGCGCACGTGCCATCTGTCAAGCGTCACATGCTTCGGTCCGGACTTCCCTGCCAAGCACGTCCACATGACACTCCGGCCCGGACCCCCATTGTTCCGACGGTCCGGCTCCCATTGTTCCCCCCGATCCGGCCCCTCATCGTTCCCTGGCCCCATTGTCTGGCGCTTCCATTGTGCTTGGTCATCCATTGTTCTGTAGGCTATATATAGTGGGCCCTGACAAGGAGAGTCCCCAACTCGGTTTCTCTTTGGACTCTCCCTTGTCAGGTTTGCCAGTCTCCTGTACTAGTCGATCCTCTTATCTGACGCTTTGGACTCTCCCTTGTCAGGACTCTGAGATCGGGCCTCGAGGTTGCCCTTACATACTGTGGAATTGGTCTTATGAGTCTATACCAGGCTCAGGGCTATTAGTGACGAACGCTTGGACCGCGACAATTCCCCAAAAGGGATCTTTTGTTGCGGCGACTTCTCAAAAGGGTCATTCTCTGCAGATGGGAACTTGGGCTGAAGGGCTGAGCAATGTGCGGCGTTCTCAATATTACAACTACTACTGGACATGACTTGGCGTTACGAGATTGAACCAACCTTGTCGCGGCAACTCCCGGTTTTGGGTTGGACGTTTCCTCAGATCATGCCATGGCGACGACTTGTCACATGTCAGGATCCATTCGATCACGGGACATTGTGGACGCGTCGCGGTGACACTTGCAAGTGTCACGGCGAGTCGCGCCCATACCCAAATACACTAAGACCGACACGGCTAGATCCGTGAACTGAACCATGCGAGAAACGACTGGCGTGCCTAGGACCATATGGCTTCTTGGGGCACCCACGTTGAACTCACCCGCCAAGACATACCCGTCGGCCAATCCAACATGTCGTATTCCAAGGTATGACGCGGTGGGTTGACCCACATCAAAAGTATCATATGGACTATGGGGCGGGGTCCTGATCACTCAGGACCTGTCCAATCGTCCAACTTTTCAATTACTCTAAAAGGCAACCGATCTTAGATAGTGTAGCTACTATGCAGTTGTACAGGACTTTACTAAGCAGCGTCGTAGACAGTATAAGTAGCACGTCGTTTCTTTGTATTAGAAAGCTTTCCCCCGGACTGTGAATCACTCTCATTTCAGATTGTTTTGTACAATTTGCGTGCCGCGTGATTCCACCCTAAGAAGTTCTGCCACCCCTGCCCGGTCGCGACGAGTTGCTCCCTGAGCACTTGTAGCTACTGTGATTTGAGTTTGAGTTGAGATATCAGAAAGTCGGATTCGCCGCATCTGGTTTAGTTGCGGCATTTAGTGTCGTCGCCTTTGGGCTTTGTTGAGATCGTTCCACGCCTCTAGCTTGGCAGTGCGTTGACAAGTTGTGCTCGGGTTTTGGACATTGGATATTGGCTGTTAGTTGGCAGTGCGTCAACACGGCATTTTGGTTTACTAGTTGGCAGTGCGTTGACTCAGTACTTTTGGTTGTGTCGGTTGGCAGTGCGTCGACTCGGTATTTGGGTTTTGCGTCGCCATCTGGACGCTGTCGCTACAAGGGATCTTAATACTTCGTATTAAGCTCTGACTTGTTATATTGTTGGTTGTGATTGGATTAGTGTTGGTTGTGCTCGTATAGAAGATATTGGTTGAGACACCACTGTTTGCTATATATAAATTCTTGTCGTCGACTTCGTCTTCCGCGGCTATTGATCTGCGTCTATTGAGAGTTGTGATACTGGTGCTCTGTCCACCCCGAAGCCCTCGCATCTTTCACACACTGAGAAGCTGATTATGAGGAGTGTGAACGTGTTTATATTTGGGTTTTTTTTCTTAGTAGATTCATCTGTGAGCGCGCCCTCAGCATTTCACCAGCGCACTCAACCGCAAGGCGGATCTCTTATCATGACGAGCGGATCACGATCAGGGCAAGAACGACAACAAGGATGTCACCCTGCTGAAGCCCGAGTTCTTCCGATCACAAGAAGTCACATTCGAGGGGCAAGACCAGCAGCTAATCTGTTGAATTTCAGTAGTATTCCCGGGATGCAGCTCAGCTGTCCCGGAACGTTCCAGATCATTAGATAATTGTCTTTAGTCATATACCGGTAAATAGAAGAATATTCTAGATTACTAGTATTACTACTATATAACTAAGCTTGTATGTAGTGTACGGGCATCAGTTTGCCCTAAAGCAATTCAAGTTTATTCCTCATTTGCTATTGCAAACTACTCTATCATTGCCTAATCAACCCCCTTGACCCATTTTCCCCAACATAATCGATGAGATCAAGGCTACTCGATCAATTGATGGAAGCGTCAAAGCGGCCTTGGAGAAGTCACTCGTCAGATGGAAAAAGGAGGATGGGCTCATCACGTACCATGGGAAGCTCTACGTACCAAGGGACAAGGAACTGCGGGACAGGATCATTGGACTACACCACGACACACCTTTGGTCGGACACGCCGGGATCAACCAAACGCAGGAGATGGTGGAAAGGAACTACTGGTGGCCAAGGATGGGAAACCAAATTCGGAAATACATCCAGACGTGCGAGGTGTGCTAACGAACCAAGACCAGAAGAGCAAGGACGGGAACCCTGCACCCGCATGCAGTTCCAAACGTGCCGTGGGAAATCATCTCCATGGATCAAATCGGACCCTTGCCGGTCAGTAATGGGTATGATGCAATTCATGTGTAGTGTGACACCTTCACCAAAATGATCCATGTCGAACCAATTAGTACTGACATCAGCAGTTAAGGAGTCGCACAATTAACCAGGGACCGAGTCTTTAGCTACCACGGGATCCCTTGCAAGATCATCACCGACAGGGATTCGCATTACATCAAGGGCTTCATGTGTTGAGCACTGGGGAGAGCGTCTAGCAGCTCACCTGTGTGAGTGAGAGCTTAGTGTGGGCACTATGCGGGAGTAGTCAAGAGACTTGTCATTAAAGGGTAATAGAGCCCTCCTTATATACAATACAGGGGGCTATTTGTGTCTATTTAGGGCGAATCGACATGACTCTAGATGACACGTGATGGAGTCATAAGATGTGTATCACGACATCCATCTGGCAGATGATAAGATCATCATTTGATCAACATCATGAAGGAGACGAATCGGATGCTGGGCATAGAAATGAATCCGGGGACCGCGTATCACCCGATCACGGATGGGCAGACAGAATGCATGAATCAGGAGATCGAATATTATCTCTGCATCTACGTCAATTATCATCAGACGGACTGGTCGGAGTGGCTGGGAATGGCGGAGTTCGCATATAACAATAAAATGAACACGTCTACCAAAATATCACCATTCTACGCGAATCACGGATATCACCCATGGAAGGGAGTGGAGCAGCGGATGGAATCAAGAAACGAGTCAGCAGAGGAGTTTGTAAAAAGAATCAAAGAAATACAAGACGAAGCAAAAGCGGCATTGGAAAAAGCAAATGAAAAAATGAAAAAATACTACGATAAACAAAGAAAAGAAGTTCTGGAGTTGAAGGTTGGGATGAAGGTGTACATAGAAGGGGACAATATCGAGACAGACAGGCCTTCGAAGAAGATGAGCGACAAGAGATTGGGGCCATACAAGATACTGGAGAAGATTGGAGCGGCTGCATGGAAGCTGGAGTTGCCGGACACGGATCGAAGACACCCGGTGTTCAACGAGTCACTGTTGACACCCTATCACAAACCACCCCCCCATCGCCAAGAGAAGAGACCCGTAGCCAAGATAATTGGAGGAGCAGAAGAGTGGGAAGTCGAAGAAGTCGTGAAGGAACGAAAAGTCGGCCGAGGAAAGCAATACTTGGTCAAATGGAAGGGATGGCCGCATAGCAAAAATACCTGGGAACCATCACGTCATCTTACCCACGCAAAAAAGATCCTGAGAGATTGGCAGAGGAAACAATCCAACCCAGACACACGCATTCAGCTCCTGCCAACACTCGAAGCCGGACACTGGGATTATCCCATCTATCACTACAAACCCAAAGACAAGCACCTTCCATATCCCCAGCGACAACTCTTCGACCCCGACGAGAACGTCTTCACGCCCATTGGTCTAGTCAATGAGGACATCGACCCTAGAGAGGGGGTAATATCATAGTTCGGCCACTTTTTCATCTTATCATCGACGATCTTATCTTATCTTGGCACAACTTATCTTATCACGGATCACGGCATCAGACAGTCCAGGCTAGGGGTTCCAGGGGTTATCCTTATCAATTCAAGGCTGCGCAACATATGCTCTGGAAGGTTCTACTACAACCCATGACCAGTGCTCCATGCGGTACATAGCCCTATGACTCATTACTTGTAGATATGACTCAGACTGGATTTGGGTATAAATACTGTAGCTACTTGGTTGTATTCTCCAGTCTTCGAATTCACTTCTCTTTTCGACATTATTTCTTGTTGATTGTCACATGCCCATGACCGTCCTGTCTTCATTTGTAAACATATGTACAGTCACAGCCGATTTAAAAGGCCGAATCCAAATTAGGAAGGTACCATCAACCTCAGCTCAAATATATTTACAGTGAGTCTAGCGCACCAAATTCTAGCCAAAACTAATACATTCATCCTAAATCCAAACTAAGTCAGACATGGTACTGTAGACAATGGCCAAATACTATCTAAACTCCTGTGATCAGCCAGTTGATGGCACTTCCCAGGCTCCTTCCTGATTTGGGTTGGGCCTTTTACAGCTGATTCGAAAATGTTAGACAGTGCATGATTATTTCGATGTGATCGCGGAAAATCCCGTAGCACAGCATTGTCATGTCCTCGCGCGGTCTATCCGCCTCCTGCATTTTGGCTGCGACTGGGATCTGCAAACGCAGCATCTATCGGGCTTGGTCCAATGCACGGAACAGTGGAATTACAGGGTTGTCCGTCCCTTCCAGCTAAAAACAAATGTCGCATGGAGTGCGGTGGAGCGAAAAGTACTGAATGAGGAAATATGCTGTGCTACGGGATTTTCCGTGATCACATCAAAATAATCATGCACTATCTAACGTTTTTGAACTAGAAAGTGTTGGCTCCGCCAACATCATGCCTTGCTCACCGATTCCATCCATATAATCCAATTGATACACAATAAAACAAATAAAATACCAGTGCAGCTGTAACTAAGTGCCAGACGCTCTCATCTTCTTCCTCTTTGGGCTCTTGTCCAGGTCAGGCACCACCAGCAGAGACTAGATGAGGCAAGACAACATCATGCGGTGTAAGTGCTTGTGTTTGCAGTGGTGGAATGTGGAGCAGTGTGGTTAGAGAGTGACATGAATGGAAACAAAAACAGCCCACAGGTGGGTGCTCAAAAGAGAGTCATCATTGTGCATGGAACTATAAATTACACTGTTTTGAATGCCAGCCATGGTGGGGAGCGTATGAAAAGAAGAGTAAAGAGTGAATGAGAGCACAACAGACGCGTACACACATAGAAGGGGAAGCATCATTGGTAACGTGACCTGATCGGATCAAGATATGGAACTATTGCATCTGATTTGTAGAATATAGGGTCTGGAGAGTGCCTTGACAAGCAAGGCAATCAGCTGTAAATCGGCCGTGACTGTACATGTGATCGCTAACTATCTTTATTTCCAGCCCGACGTCCATCACTCACGACACGATCCTCTACGCCAACTATGTCCACATTCCTCCAATTCATCACGCTCGTTTACGTTTCTATGCACAATCTTTTGCATCGGCTCTTGGCTAGAATGGGAAGAAGGACACCGCCTGGCGGCAGTGCGTGGTGGATAACCGCATGCAGCTGGACGGCTCATACTGAACCCCTTCGCAGATGCGCAACTGGATAAAACAGAATTTTCCGCTCATGTTCGTGTCTCTCAAGACGCAACCGCAGTGGCCTCAGCTTCCCCCCTATCTTCCCCCTCCCCCGCTGAACTTTTCGCTGCGGCAGCCGCACAACACACCGACCTGCCTTCCCTTCCATCTATCTTGATCTCGCCGTGGACAAGGACTTCGATCGAGCAAATTGACGCATATTGCATCAACTCTACCGAGAAGCAGCACTTTGGCACGCCCATCTCCGACCTGCGCGATTTCGCCTGCAATCCATTGTCGCTCGTATCAAATGCAACACAGACTTTGAATTTCGCATCTGAGAACCAGAGCGAGTTGCGCAAGGAGCGGCTGTTGACGAATAAAGCCGAGGGCAAGCTTACTCGGAGAGGTATCACTCGGTCAAGATCTCTCGGCCGGACACGCAAACACTTCAAGTCTATTGCAATGCCCTCATCTGTCTCTCTGCTTCTTCAGTCCGGAACCAGGGCGCGAGCACGGTCGCGGTCAAGATCCCGTAGACCTCATCTGCGTATCCAGTATCGACGGGCATCACCCCTCGCTTGTGTGACACATGCAGTTCTGCAAGGCCAGTCTCTCAAAAAGTTGCACTGCCATGGTCGTTCTTTGTCCTCTGCCCAGCCGCTGCCTTCCTCCAGAGTCACCAGACACGTCAAGAGGCATACAGCTCCGGGACTCATCGTCGTCGTCCCCCCCTTCGTATCATCTATGTCCATGTCAAATCTTAGTCACTGTCAAGTTTCACGGATGGCCAAGGCTGGCCTCGAGGACATGTTCGACTCGTTGATTGAACATGCGGCAGACACTAATCGTGCCCTCGAAGCGGACGATCTGATGTTCCCAGTCTGTAGTCCGACTGTCTTGGAGGAGGGTCGGACGCTCAAATTCGGCATGCGCGATTCCCCATCCTCGATAACGTTCGTCTCCTCGATTTCTGCATCTCACTCAATGGTGCTGCTGGCAAATGCCTCAGCTCGCTCCCTCACGGATCTCCTGGCGTCGTTTGAAGCGATGATGCGCAGTCCGTCTTGGGGGAAGTTGATGGCTAGAGCAGAGGACATTGTCGGCCGAAGAGATGCTGCAATCTAGTACAAGTGAGATCCATTGTGCTCCTTGTACCACAGTACACTAATTGAAGTCCAGGAATGTCAGTAGCTATGCATGCATACATGTACATACTCGATGCACACTAGAAGATATCAAGTCCAGACAGCTATCTCGTCGAAACAGCCGCGATGTCTGAGAAGGAACCCATTCTCTGTTGCTTCGGTCGGCCGAAAGACCTCAATGGTGAAGCTCTGAATTTGGGGAGAGTGAAGTGAGACGTGCTGACAGGCGAAATGCTGAAACGGCTGCTTGTCGTAACATCGTCCGAAATAGAAACAACATGCGTTCGCACGGGACTCGGGAGAACCGGCGCTGGAATTCGTGTTCGCCTGGGACATGAAACTTGGGGCAGACTGGATGCTCGTGGCCTAGGTAAGATCATTGTCGAGACGGAAGATTTCTGGGAGCCAGTCCCGATCCTTCGTATTGGCGGAAGGTGCGGAAGACGCGGCTGAGTTGCTAAACAACGGGGAAGAACGCTCCTCAGATCTGACTGTGCACCGGATCTCTTCGTCCCCAAAGATGCTGATGAGCCGATGATGCTCGTCGTCGGCACTAGGTCTCTGGTATGAGCAACTGCATGGCCGGAAGAAGGGCTGAAAGATGGGGGTGGCAATGTGAGAGAAGGAAAGTGGGTAGCCTCCAGATGGAGATTTTGAGATTGTAAATTTGATTCGGCCGTCGGTGCCGCCGCTTTCAGGTTCAATGGAAGAAGCCCTAAGCGTGTGCAGGGTGCTGGCTCATCAGGATACCACTCTGAAACGAACGGCATTCGTGCGGGAGTTTGGCTGCTGACTTCATTCTGCGGCTTCGGTTCCGAGACGCCTTCGGATTGAACTCCGTCGGACTCGGCTGCGCTTTCGGCGTCCAGCCCGTGAATCCTGTCGCGTCGACTCCGAACGACGAGAATGAGGATAAGGACAACGACAAGGGTGGCCGACACCGCGCCCACGGCTCCGACGACGATAGCGACAATGGTCGGAGGAGGGAGAGATCTGGAATGAAGGCGCACGGTGTCCTTCACGATGACCATTGATATATAAATCAGAAAACATGGAGAGAACTCGACGCACCCTACGTCCGTCCCCATTATCAAGACTCAAGCGACCGCCAATGAAGCTCTCAGCACAGACACTGTAAGCTCTCTGTCGGTTCCGAAGACTCGCGCTGTAAACAGAGGTTCTCTCACCTGGATGGAATGCCACTGACAGCGAGAGCCAGAGTCAGAACGAGCAGTCTGAGCGATAGGACGACGCGCATGACGAAAGAGAAGAAGGGCCGGCCCAAGTACAGGACATCCACAGTGGATAGAATACATTCTGGCAAGTAGGCAGATCGAGATTTGGGATTAGTACAGATCAAGGATCGTTTTCCGGGGTTGCTCGATTCGGAGCCGGATTGCTCGAACGGACGTACGTGTTGCGCTGTCAAGGTAAGCAGCCGTAGACTGGAGGTCAAAATTTAGCCTACGTGTGCGAATGCACCCTCGATAAATGACAGATGGAGGTGATGCTTCGCCGTTGGCAATGATCGAAACCCCAAAGGATTGTTCATCCTGCCCATGATCCTTCAACAGTGTCCAAACACAGTGTGGTGGTCGTCAGGGTTTACGAAAAGGGATCGAATGCATTCATGTGTGCTGTTGCCGAGTAGGATGGAGCAAAATGTAGATAATGAGACAGTGACGGTACCGCAATGATTCAATCATTTCGCGTCCAGTCACAGTCATGTGTGTGGCTCTACATTCTGTGACAGGAGACACGGAACTCGAATTCGTCCAAAGTCACTTGCTCCGCTGGGATGTTTCTCGTCGTCATATTTTCAACGAAGCAATGAAATCAGGAGTCACCCCGCACCTGCGCGCACTAAATGACATCAGCTTGGACTATGCCCCGCGTTCTAAAGTCCCACTGTTGCCCAACTCCAAGCGTCAAGCTAGTCTTACACTGCTGTGTCGCTTCTTGGACAAGCTTCGAAACATGCACTGAGAATGTGCGGACAACCGCTCATGAGATGACGAGTCCAGGCGCTTGATCCGGCTCGGCTCCTCCAACTCAATCGCAACTCGCCTCTTGCCTTCGAGCTCCGCTTGGATCGACAGGCGTCTTGGATCGACAGGTGTGGTTTCGACCGCTGAATGCAACCAAATGAGCCCCGGAACGATAATTGGTGCTGTAGTGAGATATTTGGCGGTCGATGTGTCGTGGCCGAAGTTCGGCAATAGTCCAGGCCAGCCCGAGACCAGGTCCATACTACATCACATCTTAATTTCTAGACTTTCACTAATCGATTGAAGAGAAGTTGGAATCGGACATGGGGGCTGTCTGGCTCATGTCACGGTAAGAAAAGAAAATGCAGGAGCTCGCCACTATCGAGACTATTCTCCTGGTCGGAAGCATCGAGACAGAACGGACGTCTCGGATGACCCAAATCCAATGAATCCTTTGCCACGAGGTGATGATCACAATGTTTCGAGGTAGTGCAGGATATTTTTAGACACCAATTCAATGACAAATTCTGTGCAAGTAAGACAAGAGTGTGATCCTTGGAGAGCGTTAGCGGCCGCGATCCCCGCCCGTCGAACATCCCGGTTATATCATTCCACCTCTAGCAGCTGCTCTTCGTCACAATGTGGATGGGGTCCGGGCAAGCATTTCCAGCAGTTCCAAAAATCAGGACGCCGTCTGAGTTCTGTGGTATATGTTAAACCCACATCCTCCTGAATCCCAATGGAAACCAGACCCGATACAAACAGCTGGCAGCGAAGCCCGAAATCGCTGGTCCGTCATAGCTGGAAAGTGTGGCTGAGAATCCTCGTCGACATTGTCAGCCACGAGTACTCGCCTGCACTGGAGATCGTTCTTTGCTTCCTGAGTGGCGAGTGTAAGGTGGCGCGTGGTACCTCCAACACTGATCGTGGGTGCGCAGACTCCACAAACCACGGCGGCGACAGCAGAGCAGGAAGCCAAGGCCACAGCGAGAGAGATGGTAAGACGAGAGAGCATTGGTGTGTCTGAAGTTTGCTTCAAGCGTCCGTACGTTTAAATACCACTGGCGGCAGCGACCGGCCCCCGCAAGGCGGAGTGACACACTTTTGCACGTCAGCAGATGAGCGGGCATTCTTCGGGCGAGGCCAAGAGCAGTTTACAACCAATGCCTGGGTGCAGATCATCGCTGCATGTGCGAGCCCCAGCAAAAAGACCTTCGAATCAGAGAACTAGACCTTGCTTGACGGCGAGTGCTGCACGGCTGCACTAAACGCGCACAGGCTCCACTGGATGTACCGACATATGAATGCTCGCCAATGGTTCTAAACTTCTAGAATTCAAGTATTGCTTGCTGAAGTGTCATACGGGATGAGTAGGTCAGTGCAAAGATTCTAGCCGTCGTTCAGGAGGAGATCAGCTGGACTCGCCCAGATCATTTGGACGGGGAGGCTGCGGTCTCTGAACTTCTTCAGATCAAGACACGGGCAGCCTGTGACCGTGAAAGCAGACGTCGATCGATCATCTGCATGGGCGGGAGCGTTCCTGTCGGCCCGGACCGTGCTCTCTTTTGATGACTGCCCATGCTCACGCTCCGCCGTTCATTTCTTTATGGTTGACCCTGGAACTTTCTTCGAGGTGTCTTCTCTGGAGCTCCGCGGCTCCGGACGCCCTCTGTCTGCACAGCCATTGATTGACATCGGCGATCACTGTCAATCTGAGTGACCAACATGTCCATCTACTCCCAATTCTTCGTCCCCAGAGCCAAGTTCCATGTGAATGACATCCCCGATCTCACAGGCAAGGTGATGCTGGTGACGGGCGGGTACAGTGGGATTGGATACGAGACTACGAAGGTGTGCATAGGGGACTAGGATTCTGTCTGTCAGCGCTCTGACGCGCTTAGTAGGCACTGCTGGCACATGGCGCAAAAGTGTACATCGCGGGACGGAGTCGAAAGGGAGCTGAGGATGCGATGCGCCAATTTCGAGCCGAACTGCCTGACGCGCAGGTCGCATTCATCCAGCTTAACCTTGCCGACTTGCCCACGATTAGGAGCGGGGCGGAGGAGTTCCTCAGGTTGGATTTGCGCCTAGTTCTCGGGGAAGACGCTGAAGAATCTCTAGGCTGGAGACCCGGCTGGATGTGCTGTTCAACAACGGGTGAGCCAAACATCTAACGAACTTTCATGTGTCGACCGATACTTCTCAGCGGCGTCATGGACCCGCCTGTGGATCAGCTCACCTCACAAGGCTACGATCTGCAGTTCGGAACAAATGTTCTCGGTGCGCCAGAACTCCACCTCTCGCACTGAGCATGCTTTCATAAACGATAATAGGGCATTTCTATCTCACGCAACTGCTCCTCCCGACGCTCCTCTCCACAGCACAGCTCTCCTCTGACGGCAAAACACGTGTCATTCACACCGCCTCGCTTGGAAACGTATTTGCGCCCGGACTTGACTTCTCAACGTTCCGCGACGATCCGAAGCGTCAGAAAATGGGCTCGACTAAGTTGTACAACCAGAGCAAATTGGTAGCAGGACCTGCTTTTCCCTGTCTACCTCCCCCTTATCTGGCACATAGGGCAACGTCATTTTTTCTGCCGAGCTAGCGCGACGGTACGGTGACCAGGGACTGGTCTCAGTTGCGTTGAATCCCGGTCCGTGTTTGCGTGTTTTCAGAGTTCTTAACACCAATTACGGCAACGTGAATTCTCAGGAAATCTCAAGACGGGTATTGCGAGACACTGGAAGAGTTTCGGACAGCGCGTGATGAAACTTTTTGTGGGCCTGTTTCCTGCGCCGAGTCGAATGCAGCATTGACGGTTTTCAATCAGGGACATCTCATCGTTTATCCAGCACACATGGGAGCGCTGACTCAGTTGTACGCTGGGACAACTGCCTCTGGTGCTGAGCTCAACGGAAAGGTACGAAGCGTATGGTAATTGATTGGAATCAGCTCGATTGAATTGCAATTCTAGTATCTGGTTCCCTGGGCAAGGGCGGGTAAGCCAAATCCACTCGCTGACGATGAGACTTTGGGAAAAGATTTGTGGACTTGGTTGGAGGAACAGATATGAGCCTTGAGCTCCGACTCCTGAACTGTGTTCCCTTTTTGATACGAGTTGTTGAGATCTATTCATGGCAGGGCCTACAGCTATCGCCGATGGATCAGTTTCGGGAGTTGGGACCATCACTTTCAGTCATTGGAGTGAAATGTGATGGAGAATGCCGCGAAAATTCGTACAGAGACTCCTCGGGCGATGACTCTCCCCATGCCATCTTCCGAATTCTCGCATCTCTAACCATAGACGTTCCTTGTGAGACTTTCCTCGCAGCATTGCAAATGGAATGGGTCAGGAGGTTCGTATGTTAGGTGCGTACTGGAGTGTTCGGGTGGCTACCAACGACTAGCTGCCCATCCGGCAGACGGTTTTCGAGCTCAAACGAACGCGCAGGCATCCTCTCTGGCAGCTCCTGCGCAAAGTTCAGCGAGAGGCAACACATCCCTAAGGTAGCTTCCCGAGCCACTGTCCGCTCAGCCGTCGTCATTCGGCAGTGGTATCCGCGCTCCCAGACGCACTGGAGGAGTACCATGTCAGGTTCAGCCCTGCGAGATCAATATTGGGGCAGAGAGCGGCATGTGACAGCGAGCAACTTTCTCAGATAAGCACCGGTGTGAGACCGCACGCGGTACCATTTATCCGACCGGAGGCGGCGTATAGGGACAGAGCCGCTGACTTCAGATCGACAGATGCAAGGCAGGTGCGTCGAAAGTCTCGAATATGATTAGTGCCAAATTCTCCCGATCGACGTTGGGGTCGGATGACGGCTCGGCCAGGAGTTCGGGCGGCTCCACTTGGACGACCTGGAGCTCAGATATTCTCCGCATTCTCACAAATCGTGGTGATACCGCTCTTGATGGGGTATTTAAAAGTATAAACTTCATCGTTGGATCGGGCTTACTAGTCATAGTTTGAGGTTCAGGCGGGGCGACCGCCGACCGGTTCCGTATCCCGGCTCCCGGAAGCGTTATTCCAGCCGGCATTCATTAGGGGCAGTCAAAGTACACGATTCTCGCTTGATTTGAACTTTGATTCAGGTCGCGATTCTGACATCCTGAGAAGCGTGGGAGAATCAAGGAATTCTCGAATCAAGCTGAATCGGTGAAGCAGCTCCGGAGCTGCTTCACGCAACGATTCTGCTTCGACTTCAAGTCCACTTAGTTTTTGAGGCCTCGCACAAAGCTTACATGACATCACTTTAATTTGGTTCTTGTTTGTACTTTTTACACGTAACCTCCGAGTCCCATGCCAAAGCCCAAGAAGGATGGCGCCGCCGCCGCCGCCAAAGCTGGTAACGACAACCCGCTAGCTCCGAAAAAGAAGGGAAAGCCCAGAAAGGACAGGTCTGCCCTGCCACCCGCCGCACCAGACCTTCCCGAGCCCAGCCTTCTCGATGCGGCACTCAAAGCTGCCGCAGACGCCGGAGACATGGAGTATGTGGATTGTGGAATGTGTCATCTTCACTAAATCCTATCCGCCCAACGATGTGGCATTGCACGTGAGACGGATCGTACGGTCCGGGGTCACATGACCATCCACGCGCCCAAAACTCGTCCGACACTGCGATGAAAGTCTCGCAGAGACAGAGACAAATCCCACGGGATTGGACTCCGAATGAATTGGACCAGTCAGGGGGGTGAATTTGAAAGCTTTTTCAGGATCCTGGACCTAAATACATGGGTCATCGAGTTTATACGAGACAAGTAGGAGTGGGACTGGTCAATTGATCCAGTAGGACTGGGCCAGTCCTATTTAAGTTCCGAGTCCTACCCTGGCCAGTCCTATACAGACTCCGAATTATTGACAGATCTGTTAGGATCTGTCCCTCCGTGTTCCAAACTCATGACACGCCTTACGGGGAGAGGTAAGGGACTAGTCGGCGGTCAGGGGGGGAGCGAGTTTGATCCCAGCCCGAGGCATCCGCTGCACGTGAAATAACCTTGATGAGCTCGCTGACAAATCCATACAATATTTTGGTGCACGTGATATGTCAATTGCACTGCCGCATGTCAATCTCGAGGGCTACTTTGTCTGGGGCACAGGGATGAGCAGGCCAATAGACCAAAACGTTTTCCGTAAATAATAACAGGTGAGATGAATAAAATTCGATCAAAGTCGTCGCTTCTTGGACGACACAGATCCTACGTTATCTCCAATGTCATTGTCCCGTGCTCTGTCCCGTGTTCGGCGCACTTGCCGTGTGGACACAATATTACCTACGCTAACATCGGCAAGGTTAAGTTCGCCGATGTGCTCCACTGCAACTGCCAACTGAGGCTGGGGCTGGGGCTGGGGCTGAGGCAGGGGCTGGGGCGACATTGTAACTGGAAGAATGATGTCCTGGTGAGAAGCAGCGGAGAGCGAGGATTCATCGTGAGTCGGATTACCCTGCTCAAGGGATCGCATGAATGCGAAATCAGCTTCTGTAAACTCGTAGTCTTCGAGTGTAAAATCGATGTCCATAGTATCCCAGTTGAAATCTGGGACTGAATCAAACTAGTTAGAACATCTCTGAGAAAGAATACCCAAAAACTTGCCTCTAAACCGGGATGTTTCGGTGTCCCTGGGAGGCGAACGCTCAAATGCTGCTTCATCTTCACTCTGCGCATTTCCTTCGGGACTGTATCTGTGAGTTGGATCCGCAAACTCCGGCTGGTTGCTAACAAGTTCTGAGAATTGCTTTCAGCGACCAAAATTACAAATAAATGTGAAAACTTACCACTAATTGGCCGCAAATCATGGTCTAGAGGCTCATCGTCTACTGAGATTGTGTCAAATGTGTCTCCAGTGTTAGATCGTCGACCATGGACTCGGACGCCGGCCAAAGGACCAGATCTTAGCGCAGCCAATTTAGAATCAATCTCGTCGCGTTTAAACCGGAGCTCCCGCTGATGACTCTCTTCACTTGAAATATCGTCCCGGAGGTTCTTGATAGTCAACTTGTGGTCTGCTCGGCGTCTGTCCAGTTCCAACTCTCGCTGCAGCTTCTTGATCTCCTCCTTAATCTCCTTCTCTCTCTCAAGCGAAGATTTCTGCGCTGACCGGTTCAACTCACGCTGAGCTGTCAAGTGATCGAACGTTGTGAGCTGGTCGGTTCGATCCTGGGTCTGACGCATTTTCCATTCTTTGCCACCCCAGGGACCTCCAATTATTACGTAAAATGGCTTCGAGGCCCCCTCCGGAGGCCATCAAACCACCCCCTACCCCCCCTGATCGGAGGCCATCCTGGAGGCGCCTTCCTAATTGGTACTCTGCCCAGCCATTCATCCACAGCCAGCATGGTAGGCTAGGCATTGACCCGAGTGTTTATATGTGCTGTAGTAGTCAGTATAAAGCCTCATACAATGTCTTAGCTCACAAAAGCTTGTATTTCTTGCTTGCAAATGGCAGACCACTGGGCACACAAAATTCGGGATTTGAGCACATGAGCACTCCTCAGGTGCATAGAGCAGCAGTATATATATTAATTCGATGATGTTGAAGGTCTTCCTTATAATTATGAGGGTCCTTTAGTTAAATGTCTCACCACATGAATCAGATGCTGGAGCAAATGGCAGAACTGGCCTCCGCTGCCTCCACAGGTTATCACTTGAAGAGTCTGAATGAGATGACAATGTAACAGATATATATTCTCCTGGCTGACCACATTCTGTCATTTTCACCTCTACATGCTAGTTTAATTGCTGCAGAATGTTAAAATTAGAGGATGGGAGACCCTGGAGGCACTGGAGGCACATGCAAGATCCAATCAATGTCATCAATATCATCAATGCCATCAATAGCATCAAGAGCATCACCGATCATTGGTATATTGATCAGCCAATCAGATGATGAATAAACATCGAACATCTAGTATATTCACTCCTGAGAGACACAGACTACATGTATGCTCATACTGAAAGTGGATTAGTGGTCCCAGGACATGCCCCAATGACATATTGCATGCTTGTATCAGGGACATATGATTAAAAATCGGAGTTGGCAAATGAGCTGAAAGTCAACTGAAGATGAGTGGTACAGTGGAGTACTTTCAGCTCATTTGCCAACTCCGATTTTTAATCATATGTCCCTGATACAAGCATGCAATATGTCATTGGGGCATGTCCTGGGACCACTAATCCACTTTCAGTATGAGCATACATGTAGTCTGTGTCTCTCAGGAGTGAATATACTAGATGTTCGATGTTTATTCATCATCTGATTGGCTGATCAATATACCAATGATCGGTGATGCTCTTGATGCTATTGATGGCATTGATGATATTGATGACATTGATTGGATCTTGCATGTGCCTCCAGTGCCTCCAGGGTCTCCCATCCTCTAATTTTAACATTCTGCAGCAATTAAACTAGCATGTAGAGGTGAAAATGACAGAATGTGGTCAGCCAGGAGAATATATATCTGTTACATTGTCATCTCATTCAGACTCTTCAAGTGATAACCTGTGGAGGCAGCGGAGGCCAGTTCTGCCATTTGCTCCAGCATCTGATTCATGTGGTGAGACATTTAACTAAAGGACCCTCATAATTATAAGGAAGACCTTCAACATCATCGAATTAATATATATACTGCTGCTCTATGCACCTGAGGAGTGCTCATGTGCTCAAATCCCGAATTTTGTGTGCCCAGTGGTCTGCCATTTGCAAGCAAGAAATACAAGCTTTTGTGAGCTAAGACATTGTATGAGGCTTTATACTGACTACTACAGCACATATAAACACTCGGGTCAATGCCTAGCCTACCATGCTGGCTGTGGATGAATGGCTGGGCAGAGTACCAATTAGGAAGGCGCCTCCAGGATGGCCTCCGATCAGGGGGGGTAGGGGGTGGTTTGATGGCCTCCGGAGGGGGCCTCGAAGCCATTTTACGTAATAATTGGAGGTCCCTGGGGTGTTCTTTGCGCTGCAGACCAAGTTTTTCGCGACTGAACAGGCCATTATTGCGCCTTGGGACAACAGCCTCCTGCTCAATCTGGATGAGCTCCGCAGCTCGGATCCTATCTCGCTCCTCAGCCCTTGAATTAAATCAATTACTTGTTAGTGAACAGATGTGAAGACAATGCACATTTCAATCGCATGAAGTGGTGTCAGCCGGATTGAGGTTTCGGCATTGCGGGCTGCATGAGCAGATTCGACATAATTTGTATCGTCTGGTGTGGTGTTCCAGATTTCGGCTGGAATGTTCGACAGATATTGGTTTACTGCGCGCAAGACAAGTGGATTCCGACGTTTATGTTCGTACCAGTCTGGAATGGCTTTCAATCACATTAACAGTAGAAATAATGCAAGAAGACGCACTCTTTATATGGGAATCAGTCTGAGCTTGCATTTCTGCATGCCAACTATCAAGATAGGCTTGAGATTTGAGCGTCAAAATTGCCTTGATACGGGAAATCGTTGCCAGTGGGATTGTTTTGGGTAGTTCGTCGATATGCCTGTTAGGACGAAGTCAATAAAATCCAGGCACCAATGAACGAGAACATACCGTTTGAAATGTACCGTGCACATCTTGAGACAATAGGACAGAAGTTCGACGGGATCTGTTGTCTGAATCCCGCTGATTTCGGGCTTGTTGTACCGGGACAGAAAAATACCCAATCCCATTGCTTGGGCAATATCGCCGTCTAAAACAATCACTTTGAGCTTGCCGTCAGGATAGAATGGCGCCAGTTTCAGGAAGCATCCTGTTGAACTTTCCACGGAGTCCCAAAACTCGGTGAATAGGTGTACATAGGCATTGGTATCAAGACCATCGCCGTAGATACTTCCGAGTGTGATCCCTGAAAGAATTCTTTAAATGAGCCAAACAGGTATAAGATGTACTCACGCTGACTCAAAAAGTTCGAAAATCCGACTGCTTCGCACTCGTTTATATCACCGTTGACTCGTTTGTATGAATAGTCAAACATGATCGCCCGCATGCGATGAATGTATTGCATAATGGATGAGTTCATCATCACCGCAAGACGAAAATCAGCCTTGCTGATAACTGAATGGATATAGCGCTCATTTGCAGGCAGTTTTCGATCTACAGTATTGTTGCGGAAGACAACACCTAAAATCATTTCAAAAAGAATGTTAAACCCCTGGGATTATTTCTGCTTACCTTCCCACCCAAATCCCATGGGATTCTTCTCGGTTCGCTTCTTGGAAATTGCGTTCCGTACCAAGCGCTTGTCCTGATATGCGGGACTGGATTCGTTGACCCGCTTTCCGCTGTACAGCGCAGTTGTTGTCGAAGCTACGACCGAATTCAGCAGGTCTTCTCATCAGTTACTTTGCACTTACCATTCAGTAATTTTTGCACAGTTAGTCCACCGATTCCTGCTCCGGTGGCATCAATTGCCGCATTGATCCTCTGCCGATCCACGGATCGTGGCTTGGTGCGCGGATAAATGGGATGTGTGTGTGGGTTCCGAACATGGACGATCGCTTTGTGTTCGAGTCCCGGAGGTGGGTTGACAGGTGTGAAAACCAGGATTTCCGTTGGGCAAGGGTGCGGAATCATCTTCCCAACGAAAATCTCGCCATTAATGATGTGTGAGTAGCCTATAATAATTACATGTTCAGATAATTCCAACCGAAGGATTGAATAAACGTACCGCAATTCAAAAGCGAAAACCGAGGGTGTGCTGTGAAGCAGCACAGATTGTTTGTTGTTGGCGAGTTGGGAATGAGACCGCCATGCTCAAGTGCATGCTTTAATAGGATTTCGTCGACATGTGGAGGGATTTTGTGAAAAATATGTCCGCGCCGATCAGTCTGCTGGGGAGACCATTCACTACAGCCAATAAAGTATGTATTGCCACCCTCAATAACCTGAACAATTTAAGTTCCCACAAATACACTCACGATGCAAACGTACCGTCGAATATGCAACCATTTTTGCGATCCCAGGACAAAGTTCCCCTCTCAAGCGTCCTTTACACTTTAATTCGGTTACAAATCGATAGAACCTACAGAAATTATTGAGAATTATGCCAAATGAGAAGTAAAAACGCACCGTGCAATCACACTCCAGACAGATTCACCTTCGCGCTCATTGGCGTCGAGCACCAGATCCCAAAGCTGCTTCATGCCAGCAGGATCCACGTCATATCTCTCACAGTCTTCGAGGATGGATGGATCAAGAAACTCGCATTTCCGTAAGCCGCTGCAACCCCACTGGGCCCGACGGCTTCGAATTTTTTTGCCGGGCAGGAGGGCTAAGACATCGACATCCCCTTCCGGGCGTCCCGCAGAGCCTTTACCTCCCCAGGAATCCTGATCCTAGCAAAATAAAATAAGTATGGTTCGGAATTTTGTCTGCATGACATACCTCAGCCCGGAGAAACGCTTGAAATGGCAGAAAATCACCGCTGGCATCGCGAAGGAGATCGACTGATTCCGACATATCAACCAACCATGCAACCAAATGGTCTGGGCGGGAAACTACCCAAGTCTCAGGGACTTCGGTGATGTTGCAAAGCTCATGAACCCAGAGTTCGCGAGTAATTTGAACCATGCCTTCATGATTTTCACGTTGGCGCTTTCTCTGTTTTATGGCTGGCCGGTGTGCAGGGGATGAATCTATTCGAAAGTGAGCAAAATTTTATTGTGTGTGGCATCGAACAACCGAGTGTAATTTACCATCTGGCAAGCGGGGCGGTGCGTCAGGCATGCCAATTGAACTGGACACACCGGAAACTGTTCCAAAATTCAGATCAATACTTCCAATAAGTGAAACTAAGCCCGGGAAAACTAACGATGTGTAATATTTGATATTTCGGAGTGCACTGATAGCGAACTTGCCGGTCGCGAGATTTCGGACAGAGATCCTGAGCAACATTAGATTTATCGGATGCGGTATGTCTGCACAAACAAACCTGGGTTGTATGACTCATTGTCAGATGGAGGATAGATGCTCCCGGACATTGAACTGGAGGGTCTGGAGCCATATTCCGACTCGTTGGGTTCTATCTCACTGAGGACGCTAGCACAATCATGTTCATTGCGGTCCGAGTTGTCCAGACCCTCGGCCCGGGGGTTGGCCAATGTGCGCAAGAATGTGCCAAAGGGTTTGGGCAAGATCCACAGGTCGACGTTCTCCAGACTGAAGAAATGATGTGTTCGATAGTCCATTTGTAGAACCTGTTTTCCGATTCATTAGATTGTGAATGGACAAGTGAAGTCAGACTTACTGCATCACGGAAACGAACAAGATCCCGGCGCGGCGCTTCTGATGGATCCACATGTGTCAGCTCCGAGTTGTCATCTTGGAGGTAGATCTGGAAGCCGAGCGAAGTCATCCAGACATGTGGAGAGTCGATGGGGAAATACGGGTCATGACCGTAGGTCGCAATCATGGCCGGGAACATCTGTGGGGCAAAAACCTGAGTAAGACTTGAAAACGTGATAAAAAAGAGTTGCCTACATAGTCCCGGTAAGCACGGATGGTTTTTAGAGGCAGATCTTCTAACGTTTGTTCAAAGGCCGACATGATACTGATTTAGCTTGAGTTTGAATTTTTTTTTATTATAACTACAAAACTATTGCAAATTCCCGCTAGCCGGAGGCGGTATACACAGCACTGCACTGTGATGCGCCACCGGTAACAACATGCATAGCTGTTTCATGGCCTCCGGCGGTGCATCGTGGGCGATATCAGAAGCACCATGCTGTCAACGATTCAGATCGGCTTTCCCGAAAGTTGTGCCTGAAAATCTGTCAATCAGGGATCTATCACCAGCCAAGAGTGGGACTGGCACAAAGAATGGTAGGACTGCGTTCCAATGGGACCGGAGATCTGGGAGTAGGATTCATAGCGCAGAATAGGAGTGGGAGTCGGTCCCACTCCTACTCATTTGGTCACTTCTCTCGTCACCTTCCTCCGGCTGGGATTACATAACAAGTGTTCCTGTCAGTGACGACAAGCAGTTTTCGAACTAGGTTCCAATAGATGCACCAAGTTACATGTTTTGTAATCTGTCACTACACCAGCGCATATGCATAAGCAAAAGGTCCCAAATAGATCACTGTAACTGTTCGTGTCGTTCTCTATTCCGTCGCTGATGGCGACGCTCCTTGGCACGGAACAACTGATTCTTGAGATGTTCTCAAAAAGATTTCCCATTCTCTAATCGCGCTCCAGGACGAGCGCTGTTTACAGCTGGTGCTACGAATCTCCCATCAGTAGCATCATCTGAGGCACTGTCGTCAACAAGACCCTCGCCGATGAATGGATCAGGGTCATCCGAATCCGGGTCCTCACCGCCACGTTTGTTCTCCTCAGAACGGAGAGCAAAATTGTGGATGCCGATGCATGCAGCCACCCAGTATGTTGCAAGTTTATGGGTGGCAGCGTCCATGATGCGGACACGAAGGTGCTTCAACGAATGGAAGCGTCCTTTGAGAAACCCAATTGCGTGCTCAGATCGAATCCGTAACATCGAGACATGGTTGTTGAACACCTCGTTGTCTGGCAAATCGCGCTCGGGCTTTTTGTATGGGGCCGTAATCCAGGTATCGATCTCGACACACATGTCAGATCAGTATCGAAGTAAGAGTGCGAAAGAAACATACTGGATATGCGGAATCAGCCCAGATCCATTCTCCCTCCTCCAGCAGGGATTCGTGCTCCAAAGCCATTCGGGTGGTTTGCCAGGCATGAGAATCGTGGGCGCTTCCAGTGTGTCCGTATCCGAAGTCGATGATCTGCAAGTTAGGCAGATTGACGATCTGCGGCAAGAGATGAGATCATATACAAACTCATAGCTGTATGAATACGTACCTGGAAGTTGAGCGAATAGTTGCATTTGCGGTCAAAATATCCAGGACCATACCATGTCGGACGCTCATCAAGAGGGATCAAGGTGCCGTCAACAAAGCACCAGCCATTCCGCCAAGATTTGCATGAATGCTTCTGGACCCATCGTTTTGCTCTCGCCTTCTCGTCCGGTGTTGGCATGCGCACAGCATCCTGCATGAAAGAGGGACGCAGGATAGCAATCATAACACGTCGGGTGTACAGCAATACAGTCCCCTTTCCCAGACCTGCCCAATTGGCAACGGCTTGGAGACTGGCAGCGTTTCCGTCATGTCCAAAACGAAACAGAGCCACAGCCAGTTGCTCGTCGACGGACGCCTGTGGCTGGTTGGACTCATTCCAGAAGATCGGGTCATTCTCGATCTTTGCCGTGAGCTCATCAAATGTTGCGGGATTGACGCGAAGGGCTTCGCGAAAGTGATCGGGGCGGGTCGTTTTCCACGTCGTCAAGACGTGCTTGAGTTGGCCAGGAGGTCGTGGTAGAGCAGACCGATCCCGTGGCTGTTCGTAGCGATGAGTGTACATGTCCCGGATCTCCTGCATAACGGCATTTCGCACTGCAGTCCCAACACATTGTGTCTCCGGGGCCGATTCCACACTTGACGTCTCGTCATCCCCATCATACACATCCCATGCCCAGTCCGAGTCCGAATCCCATCCTGACTCTGAGCCTGAATCAGAAAAATCAGACACTGTGTCGAGACTGGGCATATCGTCATCCACCGAGAACTCCATGCTGCTGAAACCCGTCCCAGAGGTATCGGACATGTCACTAAGACCTCGCCAATCCGAGCCTAAGATGTCTGACCAGCCATCGGAGCTCTCAGCAGAGCTGTTACTGAAGTCGTCCGACCCGGAGGATGCTGAGGTAAAGGATGAGAACTCGAACGATGATAGATCGAGGTCCATGTCAAAGTTGGGTTGCGTGCAAGGCTCTGCGTTGCGCGCTTGACGCACGACTCTCTTGCGCCGTAGCTGCCGCTGGATGTGGGCCCTTCGAAACTGAAAATATGCCTCCAGGAGGGCTTTTTCGCGTGCAGTACGTCGGTTGGCTCGGGGCATGGTAGGTGAAAAGAAAGAAGTGTGTATATGAGACAGTAAGTATGTTCTAGTACATCTTGGGGTGTCAAATCGTCGGTGAATCGAGGGCGGTCAAAGTAAGATGCGATTTGACAGTGATTTGATGGCGATTCTGGGTCCAAAATCTTTTCAAAATCACACCAGAATCACGTATGAATCGAGCATCGAATCACACCAGAATCGCCTACTTTGACTGCCCCTATTGGTCTGGACGCTCCCGGTATCTGCCAGAACATCAGCGTGCTTCTACCGTGTGCAGTGCGCACCACTCATTACATACTGACAAACATCCTGCGGCCTCATCTCCATCTCCAAAATGTGACATCAATATTCGCCGGGTCCAGTCCAAAAATGTCGAGCTGTCTAGTAGTAGCGCAATATTCCCCGATATCGTTGACCGGATGCGCAAAGAGTTGACCACGCTAATGAGGACAGCCAGGGTTACGGCTCCTCCGCAGCGCAACTCAGCCGTTTAGATTAGGTGATATGGCTCGGCTTTCTTCACCACCTGGGAGATCTTGTGTTACTCCGGGCGCAACTATGACGAGACACGCATGAATATCGCTGATTGCGGTGTACGATGCAGCTGCATTGATTTCAGCGGAGCCGCGAGATTTGTGTCATCTGAGCTAGATATCATGAAGGTAGCATCGCAGGGCCCCCTCCGAATTTGTTGCCATTGTAAACCACGGCCCTGATGTCGCAAAAAAAAAATCAGAACATTGATATTCCAATCGAGGTTTTATGACAGTACTGGCCACAATCACGACCTCAGGAATGCGTATCATCGAGTCCTGTCTGTCGTCGGTGGGCGAAGACTTGATAAAGATGCCATTTCTGCGCCGGACGTGGATACCAAGAAGCTGTTAATACTTCCCTACATCGAGGCAGTAGGCACTGAAGATATCATCCGGACGCACAAATCCAGCAGCAACCTCATTTTCAGAAACTGTGAACGCGTCTTGAGCCAAACGAGATAGTGGAATCGAGCGACGGGCTAGGCTTACCCACTGCGACTTCCAAGATCCAGTTCCACAAGCATCTGAGCTGCGTTACTGCAGTAACGCGGAGAGACGGAGACTGGTGAATTTGCGTGAAGGGATGGATCCATGAACACTCTGAAACACAGTTCGAGAAACAAGCCAAGACCGAAAACGGCCCACGGTCTCTTGCTGACAGTGGTTGGCTCAGAAAAACCTTCCCGCTCCTCGAACACGATTGGACACTAGTCGCTCATACTCAACTTGCATGCCTAGCTTCGTCATCGGATCGGTGCCGGGCGGACGGAAAGTAGATAGAGGATCAGTACGAAGGCCTTCTCGCACGACACGTTTGAGAGGTGGAACGTCTACTCGCCGTCCGCATGCGCTCAGCGCACAACTCTGATGGGTCACGGCAGGGAAAGCGAGTGGGCGTGGCTTGCTTGTCACGGACAACTTGAATCGTAGAGCGAACATGCGCAAGCCAGACCATTTCAGGGTCTCGGACGACACAGAACATGGATGATAGTACCGACTTTTAACATTCTTGAGGGTATGGAATGAGCACGAACGATGGTATAAGTAAGTTCAAGTCCGCGAGCCCTCTGCTCGTTTACGACACACGGGACATCCCTGGTCTAGTCGGGCCCGCACAACAGACTCGCTGCGCAGGGTAAGTCAATCGGCCACCGTGTCTAGCTGGCCCACTCACAAGGCAATCTTGGCGCTCATGCCCCTCTCGGAGATGCCTGCGCCCCTCAACAGAGCATCTGGCTGCTCTGGAATGTGCTCAGCACCGCTTGTGCAGTGAGCATGCACAACGTGACGACAGAGAAACAGCAGAAGCAGCGTCTGCGGATTCTCCTGTAGCGAACGATCGCAGATCGAGCACGTCGATTTCGCTGTATCGTGCGGTGTGAGAGGTTGCATAATATATTGCAATTGACACTCACAAGTGAAGAAGAACCCGCTTGTCTGGTCCTTATGCAACTTCCGAGCAAAGTCGGAGCTATCCCCGTTCAAAATCGTCTGACAACCATCCAAGAGCGAAATCTGCAGATGAAAATCTTGCAGAATCTTGATGAGTGACTCTTTGAGGCCAGGAATCTCGAGTCCATTCTTGATCCGTCGAATCAGCCGCACAGGGCTGATCTCAGCACCGACATTCTCCAGAAGACCTTTTATGAATGCTGTGCAGGCCAGTCAGTCAACTGGCTTTGGAGCAAAACAACAGAGCACACCTGGTCGCGCCTCCGAATACTTCAGAAGATCCTCCCAGAGATCATCGTCATTTTGCTCTTTGGCAAAATCGATGGCTTGTTTGACGTCTCCGAGTCGTTCGATGATCAGTGTGAGCGCCTTCTTGTTGTTCCCCATCCTACCCAACAGAAACACCATCTGCGGGACCAGATTGCCCTCTTCACATACTTTGTAGGCCTAGAATGTGTTTAGATTACAGCTGGAGACCTAGGATCCACACTTACATTCTCGGGGTTGTAGTCGTTGCTAGCGCGGAGAAACACGATCAATTGCTGTGTCGCAAACTCGGCATACAGCTTGACCAGGATGTCCGCAAACGCAGCCGCCGTCAATGGGTCCACGGTGTTGAGTGCGTCAAGGTACAAGAACAAGAAATACGGCCGAGCACTCAGTTGCTTGACCACTCGGTCGACCTGCGGTGTGCATTAGCAAGTCCCAGAGATCTGCCGAACAGAGACCGCACAGGGATGGAATGTATGTGATCAACGAGCAACGCAATCGCCTGACTCGGTCCGACTTCCTGCTTGTCCGCTTTCCTTTTCTCCATGAGCTCATGATCGAATTCGACGAGCAGTAGCGCCTGGTCTTGGACATCCGTGAACAGATTGTTGTCCCTGATGAGGTCAAAAACGTTCGGACGCCGTAATCGGAGAAAGAACGTCAGGGCTTTCCCCGGTTGGCGGTTGGCCATGTATCTGGCTATGATGTGAATGGGACCAGGTGGAATTGCGAAACACGTACAGCTCAGCGAGGCATTCCATGAGAACAACCGAGTCGGTTGACGGACTGGTGCGCTCCAGTTCTGCATTCACAGCTACAATCACGGCAGGCAAGTCGTAGATGTCGCGCGGCCACTCCATCACAGTTTGCAGCAGTGTCTGAGTTTCTTGGATTAGAACATTACAATGCCAATAATGATATAGATTACTGACCTTGCGATCGTGGGACAGGAAATGGGCCAGAATCATCTCATACACGAGGTGATCTAATTGTGGTGTTTCCGTCGGCACAAAGGGAATAATCGCCTGCAAGTTTATGTAGTCAGCGACCGAGATGAAAGCATCTGGTGCTTGCCTGTAACTGCTTCTGTTGCTGAAAGGCAAATATCCACTTCTCCCAGCTCTTGGCATTATGGCCACAAACTTTCGGAGTCAACCGTGCAGCACCAACATAATCGCCTGCGTCGCGTCGTGAACAAGAGAATTGCACGCAGAGGTAGACTGACCTTCGCTAAACAAATGCTGGATGTATCGCTGCCCGATTTCCGTTGCATTGACTTCAGCGTGGTGGTTTCCGTCCAGTTCAAGCTTCTCCACCTCCGCAAGGGCCTCTTCGTACCGCTTCCGTTCCACCAGCCATGAAACATGGTCCCGTCTGTCCCTTCGCTTCACAATGACGATGTCTCTTGGACTCAACACCACATAACAACGGGCTTCATCAGCGCCGGACACGTCGTTTCCGACTTCGGCGAGCACATAATCGTTGCACCCCCAAGCCTGATAATTGGTTATGCTGATTGCATCGGCCGCGAGCTCCTCCCCGGCAGGAGATACGATCCGCAGCTCAGGCCGATCCGCAGCCTTTCTCGCCTGTTCAGCCTTCCCTTCAGCACGCTCGATTCTGAAAGATGTATCTGGAGGTGTATATGCCATGACCAGGAAACAAGTCAGTGTCGAATGCGTTCCGTCCGAGCTGCTGCTAGCAGGTGTTACCATCGGGTGGGGTACTAAGCCAGCGATCATACAGTCGACTTTCAGGGCGACCGTGATTTCGGTGAGCAAGGGAGGGAGATTGGCCGAAGCAGCCGATGTGTTTGCTCTGGGCCTCGCGCGAATGCGCGCCACCTTGATATAATCTGCCCATGCAATGATCAGAGTCGAGTCGTCTTGCCAATGCAAGGTGCATTTGAATAGATCAGGCCGCGGGCTATCTGCTGGCCGGTCGATGAATGTGATTCTCGTCTGAGAGACTGTGTCGTAGATTTTGACACCCTGGATCTGTTGGAGAGCGGAACTGAGACCAAGAGAATGGCACTCACCACATCATTGGCCCACGCTATTAGCCTCCCCCTCCATCGGACTTGCCAAATAGGACCCTCTCCCGCGTGTAGCATTGTCTCCTTATGTCCTAACCAGCCTTTCTCATGTAATACCAGGTTACCCGCCATCCCACCGCATACAAATGCTCTACTCGTTTTCTTGGCGAAGCCTGGTTCCAGTGCTATTGTGCGCATCGGCCTCTTCAAATCAAAATTATACGACTCGGATTGAGAGTGAATAACGACTTGTCCTAGACGTAACGCGCGTTAGTCGGTAGTCTCACGTCGGGTAGGATATCTACCGTCCAAAGAGGCAGTCCCGACGTATTCTGCAGTTTCATCCATCACAATGTCAATGATTGACGCCATGTGAGGTTTATAAGATTTGAGTCGGTTGCCGCCAAGATCGAGAACGTGAACAATTCCAGCGTGTGTGCCTAATGCCTGTGGGGTCAGTGAGCGGGAGCACGAGATGGTTCAAATAAGGAGGGCAACACACCATGAGAGACTTGGATACGCACATTGTGGACGCGGTATCTTTCTTGAGCAGGTCGGGTAGTGAGCCAGCTATTCGTTCGTACTTAAGCGCAGGCTCTTCATCGTCCTCTTCATCGTCCTCTTCCTCTTCCTCTTCCCCTTCCTCATCCTCATCCTCTGCCTCATACTCCACTTCTTTCTCTTCGCCCTCATCCTTGGCCTCGTCCTCAGTTTGGTCCTCCTCGCTTTCAGTCTCTACCTCCTCCTCGGACGTTTGATCCGGACTTTCAACGAATTGGTCTCCGTTCGTTGGAACACCATTCCCGCGCGTGCTGGTATCAGGTTGCTTCACGGAGGGGTCCATCCAGGCATCAAGACCGCCAAGCAAAGGGCGGACTGGAGGCGGTCGTGCGTAGGCTATAGTTTGTCACAGAATCACGATCGCGGTCACGGGAAAGTCGATTAGGCCCGACAGCCGTTCGAGTAATAATGTTTAGTACAAGCTCTGTCAGGAGTCCAAAACGCCATACCGCGTTCGCACGCGTTAGACATCAACTGGCGTTCATTCACAAACTGCATGATACAGTACACAAATAGCTCGAGAAGGGCTTGATTGGGGACGCGATCAAGAAATACGGTTCAATTACTGCTGTGGGGCACGTCGGCGTCCACCAGAACGTCTACCACCTCCGTATCCGCCCCATCCGCCAACGTAAGCTCCTGGGCCCATCAATCCGACGCCTCCAGGTTCTCCGAAGGTGGCAACGTTGCGCTCACGCTCCTCCTCTCTTCGACTGAAGCCGTATCCACCTCGTCCTCGACCACGTCCAGGTCCTCCTCCTCCTCCACCCCGGCCACGCTGGGGTCCTACAGGTGCCGGCGAAAGCGAATCAAAGAAGGATCTCCCGGGATTGTATGCGGAACTAGACCCATCCTTGCCTGTTTCCTCCTCGTCACTTGGATTCGTCCGATCGCTCCCTGGCGTCGACGAATTCACCCTTGCACCCACAGCAGCCTTATCGAACTTTGCATTCATGCTCGCAAAATCAAAGTCCGAGGCGGGGACCGAAACAGTGCCTGGAGTAGCGGGAGATCCCTCAGGCCGCCGTGTGCGTTGCCTACGCCCGTTGGGGTTAGCTGTATTGGAAACACGTAGATCAGCCATGGCACGTCCAACAGTCTCGAGAGATGCCGAGGCAGTGTGGATTGGACTTTGAGCTTGTTGCCGGGGACGGCTTTCTTGACCACGCGATGGCGCCGGTTGAGTGGCTACTGTTGCAGAAATGGGACCGGCAGCTTGTTGAGCGTATGAAGGAGGAGGCTGAGAAGTTGGAGCGGATGGAGCGCCTTGCGTTGAGGCCTGGAACTGGTAAGCGAAAGTGAAAGGGATACGACACATCACTAACCCCAATGACAGCAGGATCGTCATGCACGCTATGACGAGCTATGGGCGTCTCGTCGACCGAAAGATCCTTTACTTCGGACGCGCGGAAAATGATGTATTGGTACGGTTCTTGAACGGGTGGAATGTATTCTTCGACGGGTCTGGGGGAAATTGGCAAAGGAACTACGAGGAAGGGCGCAACTGACCGACGAGTCTCGGTGCCCATAGAGAAGACTGAAACAATGATTAGTACTACACACGATGCTACTGCACACAATCACCATTAGAGAGTTGAATGGTGGACGCTTGCGGGTCGATCCCGGCCAGAATACCACGGTAACGAACATCAGAGTGAGAAATGAGAGATATAGGTTTGCTGAAAAGGAAATGTAAGTATAGAAGCGGTTAAGAAGGTGCACGCGTGCCCAATGAAACTGAGAGCCATATTCGAGTGGAGTGAGAGAAGAAAGAGTCGGTTTGGAACTCCGATGATGGCACATCTTCTCATTTTCCACCTTCAAAACATCTCGTTGTCGAGTCAATTTGCCTCGTCGATACTGCTGTGTACTCTAGTTTGAATATATTCTATGTGAAGACAACATTTTGTGAAGCCAAGACTATGCTGTGGTTCCGGCGAAGAGAAAACCGCAATAGCCAATCACGCACGTTCCCCGATCGATTGGATCGCTCGTCATATCTTTCCTCCCCCTTCCATGGCCTAGCAATGCTGAACGGTGCAGGAATCAAGATTTTCTCTGGTTTGTTGTGCTTTCTGTGTTTTGAGACCTTCTCATCCTTCTTCTAGGCACGAGCCATCCCGAACTCGCCGAAGTTATTGCTCGGCGGTGTGTTTCTCTGCATTCGATTTTTGCTCGCGTGCCGCTCTGAACACGGACTCACAGTATCGGTCTTCCCCTCTCCCGCGCTGAGATCACCCGAAACAACATCGGCGAAACCAATGTCCGGATTGAAGGTTGCCCAGCATCATTACTCCACAGCTGGTTGCTGATCACCTCGCCACAGAATCCGTTCGCGAGGACGACGTCTACATCGTCAATACCTGCTGCGGTGCTGTCAACACTTCGCTCATGGAGCTCTGCATCATGATCCATGCCTGCAAGATTGCCAGCGCCAAACGTATCACCGCCGTCATTCCCCTTTTTCCCTATGCTCGCCAGGACAAGAAGGACAAAAGCCGTGCACCCATCACGGCCAAGCTCGTCGCGAATATGCTCCAACACTCCGGATGCGACCATGTCATCGTGCGCTCGTTTCTTTTACGTTGGTCCGGACCTAAAATTGATCCGGTCTCAAGACAATGGACTTGCACGCCTCCCAGATCCAGGGCTTCTTCGATGTCCCAGTGGACAAGTGCGTGCTTTTTCGCAGCCGGTCTATGATACATGCTCATTGATTCATCTCAGCGTGAGTAGTAACTTCTCACCAACGCTGCCTCGTTAACGCATACAATGGCAGCTTTACGCCGAACCATCCGCCATCCTCTACATCCGGACGCATTTTACTATGGACAATGTGGTAATCGTTTCGCCTGACGCTGGAGGCGCCAAGCGGTGTGTGGCTCCGCAGCTTTCTGGCGCGGAAGCATTTACTTACCCGGCGTTTCAGTGCGACTTCCATCGCAGATCGACTGGGTGTCGAATTCGCGCTGTTTCACAAAGAGCGAAAGAAGGCCAATGAAGTCTCGCGAATGGTTCTGGTCGGTCAGGTCACCGGGAAAATCGCAATCCTAGTTGACGACATGGCCGACACATGTGGCACCCTTGTGCTCGCGGCTTCGCATCTCGCAGAAGCTGGGGCCTCGTCGGTCTTTGCAATCGTCACGCACGGCATTCTTAGTGGAAACGCACTGAGTGCCGTGACGGAATCGCATCTGGAAAAGCTGATAGTGACCAACACCATCCCTCAGGCTGCCAACATCGCAGCTTGTCCGAAGATAGAGGTCATTGATATCGGCCCTGTGCTGGGTGAGGTCATCCGGCGCAGTCATTACGGGGAGAGCGTCAGCAAGCTCTTCCATGAAGTGCCCTATTAATCTGTCAGAGGCATGTAGGTTAGGAAAAGTGTATGCATATAGTTTCGACCCTGGTGTTTATCTTGTATTTCCACCGGTATTCCATCGGGAACAAGGGTCGATGGTTGATGTTGACAACGTCTCTCCAACATTACAGTACCGTTACACCTTGGGGTAATTTCAAGTCTGACAAGCAGTGGGCGTGTCCCGGTCTCTAGGACAATAGTATGCCGGCGGGAAGCCTTCCCATACTTACAGTACGCAAGTAAAAAGTAGGTCACTCCTGAGGAGTCAGAACTACGCGCATTGGAGCACGATTCACCCCTGTGAGCAGGAAAATGACAAGGGCGAGATTCGAACCCGCGCCATTTCTGACTAGTAAGATGACACTCCACGAATGTTAGACCTGAAACTAGCGCCTTAGACCGCTCGGCCACCTTGCCCATGCCAGACCCTCTGACATGCACAATCTGTCTACGTCAGACTGGACGTGTTCATCATTGAATCATGATGATATGATCGACAGCGGCGATTCAAGTTACTTATAATGATATGCGGCTGTTCTTGCCAATTTCTTACGGCTCTCTGTTCTGTTTTCACCACTACGGCAAACGGTGAACAATCCCCACCACCAGCCCTTCCATTCGTTCTATATCCACTCTCATATTCTACTTCTCTTTCATTTATCTCACCCGCCACTCCTCTACGCCTTGCTTTCTCCAACGGGTTTCTTGAGATCTCGTCGTCGTCGCTCTCCAATCTCCTGGAGATACGGATTTTGAATTGAAAGTGGAGATCATGTAAGTTATCCTCAAGCACCCTTTGCACCAATGCTCTGCGTCTGTACGCTTGCACGGGCAACTGATCCTTCCGCAGCACTCCCTCGAAGAAGCTCGCCTCCCTGCTTTGAAGATGGCTCCGAATTTTCTATCCAAATTGGTCAAACCGCCTACCGGGCAGCTGACACGGGACCGGTCTCTGAGCTCTCCCACTCCTCCATCCATTTCCGAGCCCACCGCCAGCCGTACCCCCTCCACTTTCGAGTCCTCATCTTCGTCGTCAACAAACGGATCTACTCTAGGGAATTCCCTTCCTGGAAACCATCCACGCAGCAGCACTTTGTTCAACCCCAGTCTTTCTGTCATCCCTCCAACACCGATTGCTCTCGTTACACCGGATGTGTCTCAATCAAGCTCCATCGACGGCTTACCCGCAAGCGGGAATAGGTATCCGTTTGAAAACCGGCGCCCCGCATCTAAATCCCGCCCAACTACCCCGAAAGCCTCACCTCGTTCATCCCCACGCGGCGAAACTCCTCTGCTGCCCCCGTTGCAGACGAGCAAGACGCGGGACACTAGTAAGGCCGTCTCCAGTCTAGCCCCAGCGCTGGAAATCCACCGTGCGGTGACCAGCCCTTCCCCGATGCTGGATGACGACGAGGACGAATACAACGCTCTCACTGAATCTCCGGTTGCCATGCGAGCCATGGAACTCAGTCCGGCGTCATCCCCAGGGAGGTCTTCACCTCGGCGGGACACAGAGCTGCCCAACAACAAGTCGCGTTCCTGGCGGAAGAATACCAGCAAGAAGCCGGTCGGGCTCGCTGGCGCGCTGGCTGCGACAGGTCTGGCGATGGCCAATCACGGGATGTCTGCGCACCATCAGTCGACCCTCAGCCCGCAGGTGATGAACTCCGGGGGCAGTGATAATCGGGACGGTCCGTCGCTCGTGACCTCGCCGAATCCGAATCCGAGTCTTAGCCGGCGAGGGACGAATGTCGTCAGCCCCGACTTAGGGACACGACCCGTTCCGCTTCGAAGCCGAACGACAGGGTCGCTTTTCGAGGAGAGGCATGGCTATTTCTCCGGACTCGAGGACAGCTCGGATGACGATGGGAATTCTGAATCTGACGTGGACAGCGGGAGTGCACTGGATGATCTTGCCGACGATATCCCTGTGACTGGATTTGCTGTTGCCAGCAACAAACGCAATGCTGAATTTCACGAGCTGTTTCCCGGGGTCCCAGAGGGTGACTATCTCATTGATGGTGTGTGGGATCACCATTCATTTTCGATCTATCTCACCGGATACAGACTATGGATGTGCACTGCAGCGTGAGATTCTGATTCAAGGGCGAATCTATGTTTCCGAGAATCATCTATGCTTTCATGCAAACATTCTCGGTTGGGTTACTGATGTGAGTGGGTCACATGCTGTGGATGTTGGAGAAACTCACGCAGCGAATAGTTGTCTATTCCCATCTACGAGATAACCACACTCGAGAAACGCATGACGGCCTTTGTGATTCCCAATGCCATTCGCATCAAGACTGACCGCGCCGACTGCACATTCGCTTCGTTTCTGTCTCGGGACACCACGTTTGACGTGATTCACAACATCTGGAGACTTGTCCGCCCCACCGATGCAGCGTCAGTCGGGTCTGGATCGCTCGAAGCCGGTACTGGAATCGAAGCTGGAATCGAGGCACCCGGCGCGGCGCTCCAGCAGCACAAAGCGACGAACTGTGCTTGCAGCAGAGACGGCGGGCACTTCTCAGAGACGGCGCTGGATATTGTCATCCCAGGAACCCCGGAACGCATATACAATCTGGTCTTTGCGAGCGGATTCATCAAGGATTTCATGGCTGTGAACCAGAAGTTGATGGGTAAGGGACATTTGCCTTTCGGAATGACCACTGCTGACAACAGCAGACATTCAGGTCTCGGATTGGACGCCCATAGAGCCAGATTCCAAGCTGCTTGCGCGTAACATGTCGTATATCAAACCGCTGAATGGCAGCATCGGCCCCAAATCAACTAAATGCGAGATCCGTGACGAAATAGCACACATTGAATTCGACGAATACGTGTCAATGTTGACGACGACGCGCACCCCAGATGTGCCCAGCGGAGGCGTGTTCTCTGTCAAAACGCGGACGTGCATCACGTGGTGCACATCGTTCTCAAGCAAAGTCGTGGTGACGACCCAGGTGGACTGGACTGGGCGCAGTTTCATCAAGGGAATCATCGAAAAGTCGGCTATCGATGGGCAGAAGGTCTATCATTCGGACCTGGACAAGGCGATGCGCGAGTACATCAAGGATCACCAATCAGAGTTTATGCCTCAAGGTGTGGACATTGTCGTCGTTCCAGAGCCGTCGCCAGCCGAAGCTACTGCTGTTTCCGAAAGCGCATCGGCGCTTGCGACTCGGGACCTGGAGCGTCGCGGAAGAGGCCTTCAATGGGCTTGGGACACTTTTGCTGGGGCCTCGCAAGTCACTAAACAAAGCACGAAAGGTGCTTTAGAGCTCCTGCGCGATGCATGGGACAATTCGAACTCGACAAGTATTCTCTACGGGCTCATCTTCGTGCTTGTGATAAGCAATATCTGGACATATCTGCGCATGGGGTCCGCTGTTCACGTCAACCGCAAACTCGAGAAAGCGCGTGCCAAGGCTGAAAAGGAGGAGCAGTTGGTTGCAGGTGTCGTCAATGCGCTTTGGGATGAATTGGCTGCTGGGAGGCTTCCCCAAGCGGTGCCCACCACTGCAGCCAGTCTCAAGCAAGAAGTGACCGCAATTTTGAGTACTCTCGACACACTCGAGCAAAGGGTCAGACTGATTCGAGAGAATTTGGGAACTTTAGACTGAATGTCTCTCTGGGCTTTTCGTGGAATGCTTGTATCATAGACGCGTCTTTTTGTTGCTGACACCCAGCTGGATGTACATCTATAATCTCACCTACTCCAATTGTGGACGACTCATTCATTTGCGGTGTCTGCGCAGCTTGCCTCCTAGCACTGCTCTGTGATCTGTTGACCATTGCAAACAGCTTGAGATATACCATTTTCGCCATCCTTTGGGTTATCACCACCGTCCTCCGTAGATTTACTCGCACGTAGCAGACACCGTCTTCACAGCTGATGTCTTTCTGACTGGAACGTGCGCAATAATTACTCGGGCTGCAATGGTGCGCAGGACGCTCGCACGGGCTGTCGCTCGAGGAGATTCATCATGGGGAATGGGGTTCAAGGTACGGGTAATGGGGACTAATAGCAACAACGTCGACCTCAAATGAGTAACATAACTTGTAGCGCCAACAATGGGCGATCTTGCCTTTCCAGGCTAATTGTTCTTGTTAGTATTTCTCACACTCACATTTCTCCTACTTTGATGCTACGTTCGGCGTGCAAACGCGTTGTGGTTCCCGCTGTCCCTCGACTATGGCGTGGGATAGGTGCTGATGCCGCTCAAACTCTAGAGAATATGGCTCGACCAATTCCTAATATTTTCCCCCCTCCGGCCGAACCTACTTTCCAGCCCTACATGTATCTCCCCGAGCTGACCTCGGCCAAGAGCGGCACACGTATGGCAGACCTCACGAATATCCCTCCCCCACAAGACCCTCTGCTCACTCTCGTCGCGTCACACATCATGGGTCACGGCCAACGCGCCAAAGCCAGCCGTCGGATATCACGCACACTGCTCCATATATTCACGCTCACGCGCGCACCCCCTCTTCCCATCTTCCGTGAAGCCGTCCTCCTCTCCTCTCCTGCTGTTCGCGTGTCCTCTAAAACGGTCGGGGCGAAGGTCGTGCACACGCCCCTGGCCTTGAGCGAGAAGCAGCGGGCACATTACGGCATCAAAATCTTGCTCAAGGCTCAATTGAACAGACCTGGAAAGACCATTGAGGAAAGGCTGGCGCGGGAAATGGTAGACATCGTGCAAAAGATGCATGTAGCAGCCGAAGCACACAGGATGGGCGAAAAATTGCCGGGTGCGCTGGGAGAGAAGGAGGAAGTCCACAGACAAGCCATGCTCAACAGGTGCGTTTGCGAGTTTTCAACCTTTTGCTCGGTTTCTGACCCTCCACCAGAGGGAATATCAAGATCAAATTCGGAGGTTCACCAGTGGCACTTGCGTAGACATTCATCTGGCCACCCTTTGAAAGATGTGGGCAATGCAGCTTGATCTTCTCAATATATAATACTGCGGTCTCGTACATGTAGCATCATCGCTTGCTGGGCGGTCACTGAGCGTACTGCATTGTCCACTCTCGGCTGACCCGCTGGGCATCTTTCTCGTTCTCTTTGTAATGCTTAGCAACGTCTGGAGCAAGTGGGTCGTCTGGATTCGGTGCACTCAGCAGGGCCTGCACAGAGAGCAGAACCGTGCGAATTTGCAGTGCTGGAGACCATTTGTCTATGCCTTCGTTAGCCCGGAGAGATGTGGATGGGCACGCGATCAGACCTTTCAAGATATCAAGACAGATGCGCCCGAGTTTGTCTGCAGCACCGTAAGTAGGTTAGCGATGGGATATAGCAATATACGAGACGCACCAATATTGGGATGGTATATCTTGGTCAGGAACCGTACCTTCGGCGGTGCCATGGGGTACTCCTCGGGAAGAAACAACTCTAATTTAAAGATTCCCTCTTGGAAGGCATTTAGGGTGAGCCTATGAAGCCTGGTCATGCGATAGCTGGACCTACGTTGGAAAGGACTGCCATCTGGACCCTGGATCGTAACATCGAAGTATCGTAGGTTATCGTCATGGGGCGCGGCAGTGATACCAGGTGCCGGATCTGCAACTAAACGTTCGGTTTCCTACGATGCAAGCCTCAGAATAGATCGCGGATGTCACTGGAGCAAGCTGCAATAGACCTTGATTATGCGCTAATCGGATAAGAGACAAGATGTGAGCTCGTAGCTGAAATATGTGCGACAGGCCAAGGGAAACAGTGGGAGCTTACTTGCCTTGGGAAGAGCCATGGGAGAACGCGAGACTGATAAGCGCGGCAGATGGGGAGAGAGTGGAAGCGAGATTTGTTTGCTCGTATGTGCTCTACATCACTTCACGCGACGACGCGTAATCCATCCACTCTGCTCTGCACACCAACATGGAGACTTCATTCGCGATTACAGGCAAGGGATATGTCATTGTCGCTGCGGATACGACTTCTGCGCGCTCTATCGTCAAGATGAAGACGGACGAGGATAAAATCAAGGTCCTGAGCCCGCACTTGCTCATGGCTTACTCTGGCGAACCAGGTATGTCGATCTTTTGCAATGAAGCGCGTCCAAATGCCTGCTCTCCCGTGAAGAGGCTGCTGACGCTGTACTATAGGGGATACTGTGCAATTCGCCGAGTATGTAGAGCGCAACATTCGTCTCTACCACATCAGAAACCTGCACGCGCTCCGCCCCGCCGCCTCGGCTGCCTGGATTCGTCGCTCCCTCGCCACATCTCTTCGTTCCCGCAAACCGTATGCCGTCAATCTCCTCCTTGGAGGTTACGACGAGGCCACGAGCACGCCGCACCTGTACTGGATAGATTATATGGGGACGCAGGCCGAAGTCCCATTTGCAGCCCATGGTTATGGATCTTACTTTGCTCTTAGTTTGCTAGACAGGTTCGTGGAGATATTTTTTGTGATTGATTTATATGTAATCGCCCCTTCTCAGGTACCATGATCCCGAAGCAACGCTGGAAGAAGGTCTGTCAACGCTGCGTCGCTGTATCGATGAGGTATCGAAACGTTTGGTGGTCAGTCCGGGGAAGTACAAAGTGAAGGTTGTGGACAAGGACGGTGTCCGTGAAATTGAGCTCTGATTCAATTGTGTATCTCTAAATTCTAATGTCCTCTTCCGGCCTTTCCTTCCGGTTTCCTTGCTTTGAACAACCCTCTGTCTCCGACAACCTGAGTAATGGCGTCAACGTTTGTAGCCGCTTGCGAGCGATTTTCGAATCTCTTCCTGCCTACGATTTGGCTGAGTTGAAATCGGATGGTCTCACCTGCCGACGTACCAATCAGGGCCCAGTTCCTTGTACTGGGAATTCTCAGCATCTCACATTCGACATCCCATCCGCAATGCTGACTTAGTTGTCCGATCCACGTGCGATACTTGCCGTAAGCTGAGGTGTTTCCTTCTGGTCCTAGATTGAATACCTCCGAGAGATCTGCATCTTCAAGCGGGGCCTTGAATCCCGCTGTCGCTTTTCCGCGCTCGAATTTTGCGTCGAATGCCCAAGGACAACACGGAATGTTCAGAAAGCCGCTTGCACCGACTCGGGTGGCAAGTAATGGAGTCCAGGGAGTGAGCTCGTCCGCGTGATTGGCTATAATAAACACGCCAGGGGGAGATGCGAATGGATTTTCTGGGGAGCTGATGTGAAGCACATCTGGAGTAAACGCGCCGACCCGTAAATGTGCTCGTGTTTCTGCGGGGTACGCTTCCCAGGATACTCTGGCTCGCAAATCGACACCGAAGCCCGGATACCCGCATGAGACGAGAATGTGGGTGAGCAAACCGTTGCCGCAACTGAACATTCTTGAGCGAGCACAATTGGGGAGAGCTGCTGCTGCTCACCCAAAGTCGAGAAACCCACTTGGCGGGCGCCCCCAGCCCTTCCACGGCTCATTCAGGGACGATCCTTCCTCGACGGAAGGGAAAGTATCTTTCCACAGCAGGATCAAAAAAGTCGCAATCCCGATGTCTTCAAAGACATGCTTGAGCGGATCGGTGCTTTCAGCCCATGTGTCGACCATTCCCTTGAACTTTTCGCGCATAACGAGATACAAGTCCTGGTACGCTTCCCTGGGAACGACACGATCGTGGTTGACACGCTTCTGGTAGTTGGTTGCTGTTCCCCACCCGTAACGATGGACCGTGTCAAGCAAAGCAAGTGCGGTGCGGTAAAGACGGGAGTTCGGGTCGATCGGCACGTTGGAGGAGAGTAACACGACTTCGACCCTAAGTGTTGGCGGGGACGTTTTCAGATACCGGAAAGCAAGGTGGGAGACCGGTGGATGATAGTAAGGCATGGCGCTAGAATCAGGTACGACGGGAGTGAGAATCAGTGTATTCGGTGCCGTCTGCGAGCCATAAAAGGTGCAGTGCTGGTCCAGTGGCTCATCTCGACCGGGCCTTCTTGGCAAGAGTCGCCGATGAATATTACGCACCGGCTGCAGATCAGCAGCCTTGAATACAGGGACAAGGAGGGGGAAGTTGGATACGGTCTCCTCGATGAGCTCGGATCTCAAAATCAAGGTCGAGTTGTATTCGGGATGATGAACGAGTTGAGCGGTGGCAGCCTCGAACTAAGTACAGGCAGGAATATACAGATGTTAAAGAAGGCGATGCAACGCACAATATCAGGAGGAAAGTCGGCTGGGGCAGAGATTAACGGTGTCCATGACTCTCCGAGCGTAGGGTTATCAGTTGGACCGATGCAAGGCGTAGGCTCAAAACGCGGGCGTGCAGACATCGGGAGTCGATATTTTCTGCAGATGAACTTGGGCTATTCACCGTTCCAGAAAGATCAAAATTCAAGGAACTGGGCAAGACGTCGTAGCGGGGAAGATGGTCGAAGGTCTTGGAGGAGGAAGAACAAACGCAGGCCAAAGTAGACGACTGTAAATGATCGACTCAAGCCGGTGTGCCAAAGGAATCTGATTGTCGTAAATAGATGCGGAATGTCCGCCGATCATATTTTCTCGCCGAGGTCCTTCGTCATCGCCTGTCATTTGCCGGTCCAGCACGAAATTGCGAGGATTCGTGGGAGCCGGCCCGAAACAACACTTGCCAGATACCTCCAGCCTGTCCCTTGAATGCTCGCATGCGCCTGCCGAACTGGCTTCCGCCCGCTGCACCGTATCGCCTGGTCGCGTGCGCACTCCACACAATCCGAGCTCCACATTAGACCGACTCGTTGGGCACGGTTCCTGAGAGGGACAGCATACATCGGAGTTGGCATAGGCTCGATATACATCGTCGATCGACAGTTTAATGCCTCGGCACTGGAAAGAAACTTGCGGACATTATGGGCAGTCAGTGGGCTACTCTGTTGAGCCTGTTTCCTCTATTGACTGCGTTTCATTAGTGCGGTTTGATAACCTACGAGTACAAGATGAACTTCACCCCAGAAAAGTCTGCTCAGATACCCGAGTTGCATGAGCGAGTTGCGGGCATCATGTTCGACCTATTCACATCGAATGGCGGACTATACATCAAGATCGGTTCGTCGATGTTTATTCTCTAATCCATGAACGTTCTCATATGTTCTCTTTTCTTCAGGACAAGCTATTGGTGCTAACGCTGCTTTTCTCCCGGTTGCCGTGCAGCGCAAGTTTGCCTCCCTCTTCGATGATGCGCCACAAATTTCGTACTCTGAAGTCGTGTCTGTGTTCAAATCCGAGTTCGGCCGCCTTCCCAGTGGACCTGGTGGCGTCTTCGAGTTCTTCGACGAAAACGCTGTTGCAAGTGCCAGTATCGCGCAAGTCCACAAGGCGAGGATGTGGCCTGCGCCAGGTGAGAAGGAAGGTCAGTGGGTTGCTGTCAAGGTGCGAATCCCGCAGTCTCGGCAGTTCCCACTGTTTGAGGGCGTCTCTTAGGTCCAAAAGCCTGCTGTGGCTAAGCAGACAGAGTGGGATTTGGGTGCATATCGGCTGGTGATGTACTTATTCGAAAAAGTGGCGTTTGATCTCCCGGTCTATTTTGTCGTCGGTATGTCCGAGACGATTCATCTCATGGCTTGCAAACTGATTTTTGTTAGACTTTGTATCTGATCATATGCGCCGTGAACTGGATTTCGAGCTCGAGGCTGACAACGCGAGACGGACAGCAGAATTTGTCGCTGCTGATGCACGTCTCTCGAAGACCGTCTACATCCCTCGTGTGTATCCTGAAATCACTACCAAGCGCATCATGTCGGCCGAATGGATTGATGGTACGCGACTCAGCGATCGGGACGGAATTCTTCGTCTTGTCGGGGATCTTCCAGGCCTAGATCAGCCTCTTCGTGGCGGGACGCGGGCCATCTTGGAGCCAATGGTCGAGCTTTTCAGTGCTCAGATGTTCCGATGGGGATGGGTGCACTGTGATCCGCATCCTGGTAACATCATTGTCAGACGACACCCATCCTCTCCGCTCAAACCTCAACTTGTCCTCCTCGACCACGGATTGTACGTGCAGCTGACAGAAGAGTTCCGCCGCGAATGGTGCTCTGTTTGGGAAGGGATGTTGGCAGGAGATTGGAGTGTCGTGGAGAGCGTGACCACGAACTGGGGGGTCGGTCTCCCGGATATGTTTGCCAGTGCCGTTCTTATGCGACCGATACGATTGAGGCGAGGAAGACCAATACCAGCGGCCGATCAACCCACACGGAAGCCCATCGACGAGATGACCAACTATGAACGCAGTGTGCTCATGAAGGCTCAACTGAAGCGTTTCTTGTTGGACACGGATCGGATGCCCAAGGTGCTCATCTTTCTTCTGCGAAACATGCGGTATGTGCCTCATTTTCGCTTCTGTTTCGTCTCTGACTTTTTCCCGCGTAGAATGGTGCAAGGAAACAACAAGACTTTCGGCTCCCCCGTCAACCGTATCAAAATCACTGGCTTCGAGGCATCTCGCGCGCTGGTTCGTTCGCGACACACAACATGGCTGCACAATTACTATCACTACGTGGTTTTCCGGACGGTCATGTTGTCTATAGACGCTGCGTTCTGGATAGGTCGTTTCAAACAGTGGGTTTGGACCACCTTCGGCTGGGGACAGGCAAATAGAGGATTCGAGGACGAGCTCGAACGTAATGTACGAGGCTTAGCCAAAAGCAATCTTGGCATGGATATCTCTCCCGACGTATTCGACGGATAATGTATCGTACTGCACTTTGACTATAATCGACACCATTCACAAAACTTTTCTCCGCTTTTGCCCGCGTACATTCCAGTCCGACGCATCAGAGTCAAGTGTACGAGAAGCAATGGATGAAGGATAGAATATCTTCCTGGACCGATCTCACTGTCTCTTTTTAGGCATACGTTGTTTACTGCAGTTGTCCCCTTCAGACCGATTAATTTCATCGTTGCACTGTACAACAAAATTGCAAGTGATAACCTGTGTTCTCATCACCTTCTCCGCCTGTAATCGCGGTCGCGCGAATCATCCCGGCGGCGATCGTAATCTCCGTTTCGACGAGGTGGGGATTCTGCCCTTCGGCGCGGAGGCGAATCATCGCGACGAGATCCTCGAGGAGGCGATTGACGGCGAGTACGGCTATCATCGCGGTGGTCAGCTTGCCGGCGAGTGGCCTCGCGATGCCGAGGAGGAGTATCATCCTGTCGGCGGCGTGGGCTGTCATCTCGACGCCTCTCCTCTTTGTGCCGAGGAGGAGTATCGTCTCGTCGTGTTTCTCTTCGACTGCCGCGGCGTCTCGAATCATCTGAGTCCGAATCCGAGTCGCTGGAATCCGAGTCCGAGTCCGTGTCCGAATCTGAGGAGTCTGAATCCGAGTCGGACGACTCGGCCTCGAGCATCGCCCGCCGTTGCTCCATGATCATCCGCGGTGCGTTCTTCAGATGTTCACGCATGTCCTCCGTGATCGCGCCGAGTCCGATACTTGTGTAATAGTTGATCGCGAAACGAGTATTTTTTGGCACATCCATCGGGAACATTCCCTGGCAGCCTTGTCGAATCTCCGAATCCTTGAACCGTTCCGCAACAGTCTTCAGACCCATGCTTTCCGTCATCTCCGTCATCATGATTTTCACGAAAATTCGACTGCTGCTGGTCGTGTCATCCTCCGTCATTTTGATGCATCGGAGAACCATCCACGAAATGGCATCGGTGCTGAGCATGTGACCAAACAGCCGAGCTATATTCCGTAGCCGGTTCGTCTCGTAGCGGTGGATCGTGCCGTAGTAGTTTTCGAACGCTTGCTCAAAACAATCCGTCCAGATGCGATTGAGCTTGCTGAAACGTTCCCCGACAAGACCATAGAAACTTGAGTAGGACCGCTCCTGCGAACAACACTCGATCACCATGTTTACCAGCTCGATCTGATTCATCGGGCTGTGGGTAAAGGCAAATGGGGGAATATCAATGAACGCACCTCTTCCCCTTCTTGAAGCTGGATCTTCAACAACTTATGCACAGCTTCCTCGTAGTTCAGTGCATTCATGATCGAAAGGTAGATTGTGCGTCGGAGGTTGACCAGATTGGTCTCGGTACGGTCTTCGATGCCTTCCTTGTTTTCGGGCACTGTGTGGCGACATGAGATGAGAAGTACGATACGGAGGTCGCGCATGCCTTCGTTTTCATCCTCACTGGACTCTTCCGACTCGCTTTCGTCCTCCTCGTCGTCTTCACCCAGGATTTCGGCCTTGATAGCCTTGTATTTTTCTTCGTTTTCAAGATAGTTCGCGTCGAATTTGAAGATGTCTAGAGGGAGGATCAGAGATGCAAGCAACACCGTAGACAGCGCGACAAGACGGACTTAAGCCTTCCTGCACCTGGAGCTCCTCCTCCAACTGGATCTGATGGGTGATTTGATCATCCTCCTCAACAAGATCCAGGCCCTCAGGGATGATAGGGTTGTCTTTGTACTTGTCCTTGCGGACCTGCATGAGAACTTCGATCATGTACTGCACACGCTGGCTAATGCTGCCCTCGTTGAGCACAGCCCGGAACCGCTCAAATACCGTAGCGTTGGCTTTGGGCGAGTTCTCAGCCAAGAAGGCACCAACTTCGCGCATGAAGCCTACCGCGATTTCGATCGAGTCGTCCGTGGGCCGCTCAATGAGCAAGATGATGATTTGCAGCGCAACAAGTTCATGAGCGACAGTCTGGTTGACGAGATGCGCAATGAAGGTCGTGGTGGAATGGCAGATGATCTACAGAGCGAGGATAAGTTCCTGAGAAGGGTGCTGATAACACAGGTCGCACCTTGTCATTCCGCTTGAAAGCTCTGCGAAACTGGCTAATCAAACGGGAGAGCAGCAATTCACCCACTTGAGGCAACTTCGTGTTCACAACAGCCACCAGAGCAGCAAAGACCGGCGTGAAAGGTAAACTGGCCGCTTGCGCCTTCATGATACTACGCGCGAAAAGTCCCCGGCCACGAATGAGATGCTCCGAAAACAGCTCCGGCACGACAGACTTGATGTTCAGGATGTTGACTCGGTTCACAATACCGGTGATCGACTTGCGCAGGGCGTCCCAGGACAGACGTTGGTATTCAGCACTTGACTTGTCTGAAGCCGCAGCCGCTTGGAGAGCCCTCAAACGCGCCGGAGGCATGTACACCCCACCCGAGCGCGATCCTACCAGTTTCGCAAACTCTGCCTGGGCATCCAAATCCGGCTCTTTGGGTTTGACGGGGTTGTCTGCCTTCTCGAGCTCCATCGCAGCAACACGAGCCGCAAGTTGGCGTTCGCGCTCTGCGCGACGTACGGGGTCGACGTCTTGCACTCGGGGTGCGTCGCTCCGAGCGCGAAAAGAAGGTGAGCGCGACCGGCGACGACTTGAGGGGGGGACATCTTGGTGCGGGGAGCCGGACCTGACAGACAATAAGAACGTATTATGAACGTCGAACGCGAGTCTGAGCACCTTTTCCTCTTGTGTTCTCGACCGCTGGGAGAGTCCATTGGTGTTGGCGCTGAGGACGGATGGGATGTCAGTCAATAGACCCAAACAACAATCAATGTCAATTGAGTTGATCGTTCCCGAACTCTCGTTCTATTTTTCTGCCGTTAAAGCGTATTGCACGTAGACCTGCTATTTCCCGCACATTAGGAGCAGACAAGCTCGTATGGCAAGGGAGCTGGCCAGAGTACTGCACTCCTATGGGAGAGATCCACCAACTGTCCTACACTTGAATCGACGCAAGGCAGGACCTAGATGATGGCATGCACCGTCGGGCCTTGAACATCTAGGTCTCTGAAGCGTCGTCCTATATCCAACACTATCCCGCTACCTCGGTGAAGGGTCGGTGGGACAGTACGGCTTTGCTGACTGTAGCCGCGCTGAATGGCTCTGCGCAGGTTTTGTAAGGCTACCTACAAGGTTCTACGCCGACATAACCCGTGCACAAACATACAAAAGTGCAGATATGCTTCCAACCAGTCTATTTAAAAACCGACAGATCCCAGCCAGCAATGTCGCCTCAAAAGCGTTCCATCCTCATCATCGGTGGTAGTGGTGCTCTGGGAAAACCGCTGACAGAGACATTCCTCCGGCGGAAAGATCGTTTCGGTCGCATTGCCATTCTTTCTGAACCTGAAAAGGCCCACAAGCTGGATATTGCCCGAGCATTAGGTGCCGAGTTTGTCTTCGGCTCGTTTCTTGACGCCGAGATCTACCATGGTCTGCCTTCCCAATCTCCCTCTGACGCACATCTCACTCACTCTTTGCAGGGTTCGACATTGTTTTCTCGCTTGTGGGTGATCCCATCATGCGTTTGCAGCCAGCCATGAGCGAGGCTGCCGTCAAAGGTGGCGTGCGCCACTTCTATCCCTCCGAATACGGCACGGATATATCTCAAGAAGGCATTTGGTCGTTCCGATATCTCCGGGACAAGGTGGTGACACGCGATCATCTCCGTGCCACCGCCAAGCGCGTTCCAGGCTTCAAGTACACGCTCGTGCTCGTGGGCCTGTTTACAGAATATGCGTGTTCGCCGTTCAGTGGATTCGATCTGGACAACCATACCGTGGAGGTTTATGGAAATGCGGACGCGGGGTGACTGTTACTGCCTTGAAGGAGTGCGTGGGGACAGTCACATTTCAACGACCAGAGCTAACATGCATCCCAGCGTTGTTCGTTACATCGTTGGCTCAGTGTTCCTTCTCTTCCCAGAGGGCGAGTACTGGCGCGAAATTCGTGCTCGCGGGGACCACCTGCCCTTCAGTGGGCTCATTTCCGCGCTGGAGAAAGCACAAGGAGTTCAGTACACCATCACGTATATCGACCCAGCCGAAGCAGCCAAGAAACAAGAAAAAGCGCGCATTCGAGGGGATGAGAGTGGAGAACTGATGGGGGCAGCAAAGACAGCTGCCGCGACGGGTAAGGCTTTTGTCCCTGGCCCGCTGGATAACGATAAATTCGAATTCACGCCGGAGACTGCGCAAGAGACTCTCAGTCGACTGTTTTCTCTGTAACCGTGACAAAATCAGTTATCTGAATGCGCTTTGTTTCTTGCTTTGAGATCTAGTGTACTTCCGCACGTTGTATAGAGGAGAAAAATGCCATGTTCGGCAGGTTTTGATCGGGGTCCCTGCAAGGCTGCATGTATCCCTTCTGCCGTCACGTGTGAGGTCTTGAGCACGTTCCAGCATTAGCATAGAGGTGTGCGATGCCCTGGAAAATCTGAAAGAAACTCACTCGGGCATGTGTAAGCCAGGTCTATGAGTCACTAGTATGTTGTCCTTGCCAGCCTGATCAGGCAGCCAGCATTCTGATCAATCGGGATTACCAATCATCTGAATAAATACAGGTAAACCGTACAAACCAGTTTCACTTGCAGCACCCTGATTCACTCCCCACTTCGAGACTTGCACTTCTTAGGACTACACACTATCTATCATCTCTAACTCCGGATTCATTCCAACTCCTCCTTCGTCGAGTCATCAAGCAACGAGGACAAGACCAATAATGGCCACTACCATTGCTCGTCCAAATTCTTCTCCCGATGACCTTGAGATCCTGCAAACCCTCAAAGCACGCATCAAAGCCGGCCAACACGAATTCTTTCGCGCGGTACCTCAGCCTGCAGCGTTAGCCGGCGTATGGCTAGGCGATGTGACCAATGTCGTAGAAGGCCGTGATTCTCATGAGGCGGAGCCGGTAGACGTGGAGGTACTGGAAGACGAGTTGGTCAAACAGGTCAATTGCTTGGTGACTGGCTACCGCTGTATCTCTCACCTTTTTTCCTCCCAGATCCCTAAGCCTGTGGCTTCCAGTCACCCTGCTGTCAACGCTGTCGCACCACCTGCTCCAATATCGCATCAATTGCCGCTTCAAATCCCAGCCTCTGTTCCACCAAAACCCGCACCTCAGTCTCAACAAGCGTCCTGGGACCGCCCCACGCCCATTTCTCGTCCCGCTCCCCCTCTCGCTGCGCAAAATCAAAACTCGGCTGCTCTCCCTGCACCAAATACGTCCACTGCTGGTACGAGTCTACGAGATAGGATTGCACCTGCTGGGGCTGTTGTATTGACACCAAGGCCGGACTCTCAAGCTCCCACTGCTCTCCCTGCTTCTGCGACAGGCTCAGTCGCAACGACTACATCGTCTCATGGACTTCCCCCCCACCCTGCTACCAAGTCAAGCAACGGAATCCTGGCGCCGTCTCCGAGCCAACAACCGCCGAACCCACGCTCGCTGGAAGAACGGTTGCGGTATGACGATCGCGACCGTTTGCCTCGTGAACGTGAGCGTGAGCGGTATGAACGACTAACGCCTCCCCCGGCGCCGGCCCTGTTGCCTGCGCGCTACGATCGAGACCGAGAGAGGGAGAGAGAAAGAGAAAGAGACCGATATCCGGCCGGGGATCGCTACCTTCCGGCGGCAAGTGGAGACCGCTACCTTCCGGCGCCCCCGACTGCAACGCCGATGTCGATGTCTGTTGACCGTGGAGAGAGGTATGTTCCGGTCGATCGAGAAAGAGAACGTTATCCACCGTCGTCTTTACCGCCTTTACCGGTTCCAATGTCTGTCGCAGAGCGAGAGAGAGAGCGAGATAGAGAACGGGAACGGGAACGAGAAAGGGAACGGGAACGAGACCGAGAACGAGAACGAGAACGAGAGAGGGACAAGGCTCCATATGTTGCGAGTCTTCAAGCGCAGGCTGCGCCCACAGCACGATATGCATATGACGAAAGGGATCGACAAGCGCCAGAATATTATCGGAGCGAATGGGAAGATCGAGAACGGGACAGACGATATTTCGCAACGCAGCCAGCTACACCAGTGGCTACCGCCTACGAGCGGGAACGAGAGAGAACAGTATCATCTGGGACTTGGCCGCCTCCCCCAGCAGCAGTAGCGACCGAATACGATGTGCCGAGCACCCAGCCAGCGCGGCCGCGATCTCCATTACCTGTTCCGGCGAGTCATCCGCTTCACCCTGCATCTCATCCGTACGCGCCTCATCCCGTGGGCGTTTCTGCTGTTGCCGCCAACTCGATCCACGCTGCCCAGGCTCCGTTGTTCAATCCACCACCCCGGTCATATCGGCCTCCGTCGCCACCACCCTCAGCGTCATCCCGAGTGCGTCCACGAAGTCCAAGTCCCGCGCGTGCTGCCAAAAGGGCGAGGGGAGAAGAATATGTTGCGAGCGGGGCGAGACAACCGATGATGCCGACCGGCACTGCAACCAGCAGGACTCAAGCGCCTCCCTCTTTGCCTATGCCGCCCTCGTCGGCAGCGTTGCCGTCTAAAGCATCTGCTTCCCAGCTTCAGCTTCGAGATGCGCCGCCCCTTTCTTCGTCATCACTATCTTCTCCGATGGGTATGTCTCGGTCTGGTACAGCTCAGATGCTATCGTCTCCGGCCCCTCTGACGAGAGAACGCGATCATTCACCTCGGAGACCGCCCCCTCTACCGATACCGATCTCTGCTGCTGCTTCTGTTACCTCCGGTTACTATGAGCGAGACATGCGGCCGGATCCGAGGCTCGACCCACGGGACATCCGAGACCGGGAGCGGGACTATCGGGATGAGCGGGACCGTGAAAGAGAGCGTGAACGTGACCGCGACAGAGAGCGCGAAAGAGAGCGGGACCGGGAGCGAGAGCGAGATCTCCACCATATACGCTCGGCTAGTGCCAGCTCGTTGGCATTGGCTCCAGCACACCACTCGCTCCCTGCACCCGTCCGCGACCTGCGGGATCCGCCACCACTTAGGTCACGGGATCCGCGGGATGCGCTGCCGATGCCCATGAGGGACCTTCGAGAACGTGACCCCAGAGATCTCAGAGACCCTCGAGAAACGATGCTGATGAGCCGGCTCGAGTATCCGCCGCGGTCGCCACCGCCGTATGCTTCGCTGGCCAGATCGGTCTACAGAGAGGATGATCGAAGGTATCCTCGGTGACAGTGCATTCATCCAAGCATATGGAAAATGTGCCAGATGAAATTTAGCCCATCGGATTTAACTATATCTTGCTTATTTGTGGATCGATCCTATTTCATATGCCTACGCTTCATGTCATCATGTTTTTTGTTCACTTCGCCATAATGACACTCTGAAAATCTGAGCATCGACATCACATCAAACGAGGCGGAATCCAAGCAATATCACTCTACAGTGCAGGATAATCTCCCAATCGGTTTTCCGAGACATTTACTTGCGATCTTGTAAAGCTTAGGACAGCGCCTGGAGAAGCACCGCTTCCACGATGCAGAGAGAATGCCCGGCGTTCACTCTCCAGTGGCACCACTGTAGAAGCTTCGTTGAATCGATTACCTTGCGATATTATTATCATGTCTCGTGAATGACAGTCCTGCAGTCGGGTCCATGTGAAAGCAGCCCGCATATAGTATTCGTCCGGACTCGAAATAATGACGGTGTTACAAACGGTGTTATGAGTCACGGTTCTGTGGGTGATCGAGGCCGGCGCAGTAATGTGATGCTTCACGACGACCTGCAGGCTCTCTCGTGAACGCGAGATTAGCAACATAGCCGTTTGAGGGCCCAGTAGTACAACTACCGCTCTGGTTTTGCCGAAGCGGGTTGTTCAGATCCATAATATCAAATGGTAGGGGGAAAGGCAATCGCGGAGTTTTTCGACGGGTATCAGGGACGGAGGGCAGGGCCCTCCATCCTGCTTGTTCGGTCCAGACTGAGCTCATGCTGTAAATCAGATTATTGCATCCTGTGTATGCAAGAAGCTTGCCATGACCCAGTTTCTGTCGCCTCATGCTGCTCTCTCACTGATTGACAATGGATCTTTCAACTGCCCCATTGATGTCGCACACAGATCTTACAGACCAGTGTGCACTGTCAGCACCGGCGATGCGCAGGTTATCATCCCAAGGAAGTTGCTTTCTAGAGCAGGGAAATTCTTGTCATAATCGCGGACGAAGTAGCAATCGATCTCTGTCTTCTGAGTCTGAGATCTGAGATCGGTCACTGCAACGACATTTGCACGCACTAAGCCACAATCCCATCGGAGGCTCGCGCTCTCGTTGCAGCCTTTCTTCCTCGTGAAATCCATCTTTTCTCGCGGAGGCCTCATGTCGTCGACCTCCTCCGTATCGATGCTTTGCCAGTATATCAGTACCCCAGATTAGTATTTGATTTCAATCCCCTTTACGGTCGGTACGAGAGAGGACAGCGATCAAATTCGTCACTTATATCAGTACAACAATCGAGAGCGCCTGCGGCAGCGTCGGGGCATCCAAGAACGAGGCCGATCTCCTGACGCAGAGCGAGGCATTAATGTGGCCCGATTAGGAAGGTGATTGATTAGAAATAGGTGGGATGCTTTCGGCGTGTAATTGTTTCGTGAAGGGCTCGAGGAGATATTGCCAGACCGGGATAACGGCTAGCGGGCTTCTGATACTCGAGAAATCTGTAGAAATCAACATATGGGGCCAGATCCCTGTCGTACGACGGAGAGTTATACCAGTCCAGGGGCGTGCGAACTTTGGGGGTATGCATCAGATAAATTTTGGGACACTTATATTTTGAGTGCATCTCCCTACCCCACTCCGTTACTTCCCTCATGGCCTCTAAACCCATCCGTGAATTCGACGCGAAACTCCTACTGGCGTACTGGTTGCCCTTGGCGCCTCCGCCATGCGCCAACTACCCCACTGTCAGCGAGAGCTTCAAGTCCCCGAAGCCTCGTGTCGCGCAGTTCGCTTGGACTGAAGAGACCTCCGGCGGTGCGTTTTCTCGCGTCTTTTTACATTGTGCTGAAGATCCTTGCGATCGCAGACGCTTATCTCGCGACGCCTTCATGGGTTGATGCTTCGACCAAACTCGTAGCCAAGCCCGACATGCTTATCAAGCGTCGTGGTAAGGCTGGGCTGCTTAGCCTGAACAAAACCTGGGATGGGCCCGATGGTGCCAAGGCTTGGATTGCCGAGCGCGCCGGAAAGCCCGTCAAGGTCAGTGTTCTTCGCTCGCACTGAGACTTGTATTCCTGAGATCTGTTTCCTAGGTCGAGCACACGACGGGTATCCTCACCAATTTCATCGTCGAACCTTTCCTTCCCCACCCTTCCAACACGGAATACTACGTCTGCATCAACTCCGGCCGTGAGGGTGATACCATCCTCTTCACACATGAAGGTGGTGTCGATATCGGCGATGTTGATTCCAAGGCCGTCCGTCTAGAGCTCCCTGTGTCAGTCCTCTCCGGGTCTGCCTCATTCCCCACACGCGACTCCATCAAGTCGACTCTCCTCGCAGCTGTTCCCCACGGCAGCCAGGATGCGCTTGTGGACTTCATCACCCGTCTCTACGCAGTCTACGTTCACCTTCACTTCACGTATCTAGAAATCAACCCTCTCGTTTGTCTCGAAGGTGGCGAGATCCACTTCTTGGACATGGCGTCCAAGCTCGACCAAACCGCCGACAGTATCTGCGGGCCGATGTGGGCGATCGCGCGTGATGCCTCTGTACTGGAGGAGCTCTTCACTGGAGCCGCTCCCAAGGCTGCCCCCGCTGCCGCTGGCAAGAAGGGTGGCGTGCAGACGGACCGTGGACCCCCGATGGTCTTCCCCGCACCATTCGGTCGTCAATTGACAACCGAGGAGGCATATGTCCAGAAGCTGGATGCGTCGACCGGCGCCTCTCTGAAGCTCACCGTTCTCAACCCTAAAGGTCGTGTTTGGACAATGGTTGCTGGCGGAGGAGGTGTGTAGATATGCTATCCGGTTCGATCTGCATGCTCACTCATTTCGTCAACAGCCAGTGTTGTGTACTCGGATGCGATTGCAGCGCACGGCTTTGCCGGCGAGTTGGCTAACTACGGAGAGTACAGTGGTGCCCCCACGGAAGGCCAAACATACGAGTACGCTCGCACTGTCCGTGAGTCTGATTGTTTACCGCTGTTTTCTCGTATCATGACCGCGTTTCAGTCGGCTTGATCACGCGTGGTGCCCCACACCCCGATGGCAAAATCCTTATCATTGGCGGCGGTATTGCCAACTTCACCAATGTTGCTGCGACTTTCAAGGGTTGGTCCGTCTCTTCAAGGCGAAGATTGCTCTAATAGATCGCTTACAGGTATCATCCGTGCCCTCAAGGAGTTCAAAACTGGTCTAATCACGCATGCCGTCAAGATCTATGTTCGTCGTGGCGGTCCCAACTACCAGGAAGGTCTCCGTGCTATGCGGTCAGTGTGCCTTTTCATCTCTGTGTCGAGTTCTCACTCCTGTGCAGCCTCCTCGGAGAGAGCTTGGGTGTGCCCATCAAGGTGTATGGGCCTGACACTCACATCACCGATATTGTGCCCATCGCCCTGGGCGTTGACCTCGAGAACAAGCCCAACACTGTGCCCAGCACGGGAACGACGACTCCGACCGCCGTTTCTGTCGAAACGGTTCCTCCAAAGAGCAGCTCGCCTGCCGTCGGAGAAATTCATCCGTCTGGCTCTCGCACGCAGCCTGACGACCAGATCGTGCGCTTCACCACGGAGGAAGTTGCCGGTTCTCGACCGACTTACCGGCCTTTCGATGAGATGACGCGTAGCTTTGTGTACGGTCTCCAGCCCCGGGCGATCCAGGGCATGCTCGACTTCGACTTTTCTTGCGGTCGCAAGAACCCGAGTGTCGCGGCAATGGTGTATCCCTTCGGTGGACACCACATGCAGAAGTTCTATTGGGGCACCAAGGAGACACTATTGCCCGTCTACACTTCGGTCGCCGAGGCCGTCAAGAAGCACCCCGACGTCGATGTGGTCGTCAACTTTGCCTCGTCGCGGTCTGTGTATTCGAGCACGGTGGACATCCTGAAGTACACCCAGATCCGCAGCATTGCGTTGATCGCTGAGGGTGTCCCTGAGCGTCATGCTCGCGAGCTGCTCTGGCTGGCGCACGAGCGTGGTGTGTTGATCATTGGCCCCGCCACTGTCGGTGGAATCAAACCTGGCTGCTTCCGTATCGGAAACTCTGGCGGAATGATGGATAACATCATCGCATCTAAGCTGTACCGCGCCGGATCAGTCGGTTATGTGTCCAAGTCTGGAGGCATGTCGAACGAGCTGAACAACATCCTGTCGCTGGTGACCGACGGAACATACGAGGGTATCGCCATCGGTGGCGATCGTTACCCGGGATCGACCTTCATCGACCATCTGTTGCGCTATGAGGCTGACCCGAACTGCAAGATGCTCGTTTTGCTGGGTGAGGTCGGTGGTGTCGAGGAGTACCGTGTGATCGAGGCGGTTAAGAGTGGACGTATCACCAAGCCGATCGTCGCATGGGCCATTGGAACCTGCGCGAAGATGTTTGACACTGAGGTCCAGTTCGGTCACGCTGGCTCGATGGCCGACTCAGAGATGGAGACGGCCGATGCGAAGAACAAGGCGATGCGGGCTGCTGGTTTCGTTGTCCCGGAGACCTTCGAAGAGCTTCCGCGCGTTTTGAGAGAGACGTACCAGAGTCTCGTTTCCCGGGGCGTCATCTCGGAGAAGAGCGAGCCAGATCCACCAGTCATCCCGATGGATTACAAGTGGGCCTCCGAGCTCGGACTGATCCGAAAGCCCGCTGCATTCATCTCGACCATCAGTGACGAGCGTGGACAAGAGCTGCTGTACGCTGGTATGCGTATCTCGGATGTCTTCAAGGAAGATATTGGACTGGGTGGTGTTGTGTCGCTGCTGTGGTTCAAGCGCCGTGCGTCATTTTGTTTCTTCTGCTGTTGACCGATACTCAATACGCTCCAGGCCTTCCTCCTTGGGCGACCAAGTTCATCGAGATGGTGCTCATGCTCACTGCCGACCACGGTCCTGCCGTGTCTGGTGCGATGAACACCATCGTCGCGACTCGTGCCGGCAAAGACCTGATCTCTTCGCTCGCTTCGGGTCTGTTGACCATCGGCTCCCGATTTGGCGGTGCGCTCGACGAAGCGGCATCGATGTTCTCGCAGGCACGGGATACGGGTCTTACTCCCCGCGAGTTCGTCGACAACTCGCGCAAGGCCAACAAGCTCATCTCCGGCATCGGACACAAGATCAAGAGTGTCAACAACCCAGACCTCCGTGTCGAGCTCGTGAAGGAGTTTGTGCGCAAGAACTTCCCTGCCCACAGCCTGCTCGACTACGCGCTCGCCGTCGAGAAGGTCACCACAGCCAAGAAGGACACGCTCATCCTGAACGTCGATGGATGCATCGCCGTTTGCTTTGTCGATCTTCTTCGGGACTCGGGTGCGTTCACACCCGAGGAGGCGGATGAGTATGTCAGGATTGGCACGCTCAATGGCTTGTTCGTGCTGGGTCGCAGCATTGGATTCATCGGCCACCATCTCGATCAGAAACGCCTCCGCGAGCCGTTGTACCGTCACCCAGCCGATGATATCTTCATTAACATGGCTGATGTCAACCAGCCTCGGGTTTTGGGTCGCATGCAGTAGCTGGTCATCTTTAGATATAATGCAATCATACTTTCTTTTCTCTTCTCTGTACAAGGGCTGTCTGTGAGTGGTCCAGATAGCGAAGCAAGTACCACCACGTCACAATGCAGATGATACCCAGCCAAAGATTTAGTAAAAGCTTGTGTTTGTAGGCTCATACATGTTTAAATAGCTCCCTCATCGCTCGTCTCCGGCCAAAGAATCAATCCGTGTCCATAGATTGTATCAACCAATGCACCCTGCTCGTTATCAAGTTGAAAAAGCGGCATAGAGGGTGGCCGGACGCGCATCCAGATCTGACGATGGGTGTCGGTCATGGCGTATCCGTCGCCGATGAGGAACTGTGCGACCTCCGTTTGATCGGAAGTAATCTTGAACCAAGCTGACCATGGACTCGATCCTGTGATGGGCACCCCTTTGTCGTTGACGATGATCACTCGATAGGACAGGTGGGAGCCCACGGGAACCCTGCCTTTTATACCCATGCGGACTTTTCCCTGGAAGTATCAGTTCTCGTGAGCGAAACCGTCAGTGTCACAGTGGAGATGAAAAAACTCACAACGCGCACAGGTGGAAATTGAGGAGTGGCAGGCTTGTTTTGCGTGATGAAGTCACTGAACAGTCCTTGGAGTTTGTTCCAAGCGCTGCGAGCAGGCTGGATGTCCCTGTCCAACCGGGTCCCTAGATGCTTGATATAGTCCGGTTTATTGAGATTCCCAAACTCCCCCAGCTCTCGGTCATTGTCGTCACTCTTATTTCCCATTCCGTCCGAGTAATCCCTGCCACCCGACCTACCCACCAGGCCAGCCACCTCTAATCGTTGCCCCGTCTTGTTATCTTTGATAAATACCCTCTCGCGAACACTCTCCTTGTCAGCAGAGCCAAAAGCTCGATCGTACCAAGCGGTATCAAAATGGTCGAACTCGATAGAGATGCTGTTGATACGATCCTGTCTGGCCCAGTGGATGTGGCCCTCGGTCTGTTTGAGCAGATCCGGAAGATGGGCTTGACATCCTTCGTAGGCGATGCGCAGTGCGCCGAGGCGAGCGTTGTATTCGTGAAAGTTGTTCTGGCGACGATGATAGCGAGCCATGTGAGCGTAAGCAGTGCAACGAATCCAGTAAGCCTGGAAGATGCAGAGGACGGCAGCGACGAGCCATTGGAGCTCATTGCCATGGTCATGCCCGTCAAGCTGGACCCCGTCACGGAGGGTGTCGAATGCGTGTTGGAGGGAACCACCTGACTGAGTCGATCTCGACAAGTTGTCCAGTGTGGTCTGATGACTGATTTCAGTCGCGAAAAGGTGTAAAATAAGTTGTGAAGCAGCTTACATCAAGAGCACGAAAATCGTCGCTGGACATGGTGTTCGTCATAGCCTGCAGCGTCTTCAAATCCTCCTGGAAATCTCGCAGATCATTGATAGCTTTTTTGATATCACCACTCCGCAAGCCATCTTGGACCGCAGCTAGAATATTTTCACGGGTGTTTTGGTTGTACCGACTCAATTTTGACGGTTGCAAGGCGGCAAAGGCCAGTCCTAGAATAGCTGAAAGCACGATGCCTTCCGGTCCGACAACAAAGAGCATTGTCTCCGCTGCTACGACGATGGGACCAACCCAGTCTGCAGTGCCGGTAGCAGGGATAATCTTCGCGGAGGGCGTGCCTGCCTTATAGAACTCCTGATCCTCCTATGCCACAAGAGTGAGTTCTCGGCGGTTTTGCTCAAGATCTGCACTGACCCATCTACGGAAGGCACCGTCTACCCAAGGATCAACGCGCGGCATGGTTGGGTAAGTGTAGGTGAAATAACGGGGTGTGATTGTCGCGCATTTATATGAGAATCCACATGGGATGGGAGATGGGCAGAGGCCGGCGCCGGAACTTGCATATGGACAGGAAACGAGCAGTTCCGACTGACAATCTCGACAGCGACTAGACTGGTGCCCCTTGATAGTTGTCGACGGCAGGTAGGTACCAACAAAACACCATACAAGACACGAGGGATGGAAGCGCTGCCGGTGATTCGGGTAGGACTAACTGCCGGTGGGAGGAGAAAGAGAGAGAGATACTGTAGGTCACTTTTTGTTTGTCGTACCAATCTTTTTGTCTTGGATCACTATACGCTTTCCGAACGTAGACTATACATAGTCACCCCACACTAGGTGCATAGAGCCCCGGGGTTGCTACTCAGCCTAACCGCTCTACAGCTCCGGCATTTTGATTTCTCCGAGCAAGCTGTCTGGTTTGTCAATTAGTATGTATCAATCACTGTCTATGCTGATTCTCTCTAGCCAAGACAATGCACCTTTCCGGCACAGGGCACAACACTTAAAAGTGCGTGGATTGAGATCGTGCGCCATATCCCATTCTTCATGTCTGGTGGTGTTGAACACCCCGTTGAGCCCCTCCATGAGCACGAGCGCCTCCACGAGAGCGAGATTCCAAGCGAAGAAGTCATTGGCAATGTAGGCCCCACAGGATATCTCGACCCTCCACCTGGCGTCCCGGTACCTACTGGCTTCGAAGGGCAACCAAACCCCGTGCTTCCGCTCAATGGCCACCTTAGTGGTCAGGAGCGTCGCAATGACCTCCAAGGGAATATCGGAACAGCTGCCGATGAGGGGGCAAAGCTTGCGCAGAACAGTCTCCATAGTGTGTTCCACATTCCACATTCTTCACGAAAAACTTGATGTTGATCTAGTTGATCTGCTCGCACGCAAAGTCGCTCCCGAAATGGCGGACAAATTGAACGTTGGGTTTGACAAGAGCTGGTTGCCATTTTTCACGGGGGAAGGGTCCAACCCAGATGCGTACAGTATTACGCGGGAGAATTTCCAGGCATATATACTGTCGCATCCTGATCCTGTCGCATCGAGGTACGCCGTGGTTGACCTTCGTAATCCTGCCAGTCCGAGCGGTGAGTGTCATTTGATTGTTCAATCAATGGCATTTTCCACTATCAGCTCAAATAAATGTCTGTAGATCTTGCCGGGAACGGCGTCAATACCCAGATCAGAGGTGCTGTTCATGAACACGTCGATGAGGGCACCTTTGCAGGAAGCTCGCTATCTGTCCCTTATGATTTTCGTAAGCTCAAGCTCCCTGTTCCGGGGAATTTCAAGGCAACCATTGAAGCGTGAGTAACTCATTCATTGCCCTGGCCTTCTTGATCTCACTATTCTCAGCAATTGGGCACAGGCTGTCTTGCGTGAGCCATGGAAGTCAATCCGAAACAAGGACATTGTCTTTTTCCACTGCCGTGAAAGTATCAACCGCACACCGTACATTGCCTCAGGATACCTTGAGTATGGGCGGCCATACAACTCCAAGCAAAAGGTCATTATCATAGAAGGTGGCTTCAACAATGAAATCAACTGGCCACAAGGAACAAGTCTGTTGATTTTAATCTAATTCTTTGGTGCTCTTGACTAACCTTGAAAATGTCCAGCTGAACCCTGGAATGTCAATGTATAAAGTAGTTGTTCTGTAAATTCATTTAAATACATTCAGCTATGTAGACTAACAACACAAGTTAGTCTCACTGCAGGGGGACTTATTTTTTTTCCGCGGAAAATGCGTGACAATCTAGAAGTTCGATTTTCACCGTTCTGATTTCAGACAGCAGGAAGATATTGCAAATAGATGTAGATTTACAGCCAGATTTGTACCACGAATAGACGTCTATTCCCCCCAAAAACAGAGCTGTAAACAGATGTTCTTTTTTCAGACTGATTCTCACTAAAAGCAGATGTTCTTTTTTCAGTGAGAAAAGATGTGAGTCGCAACAAGTCGCAATGAGTCAGCACGAGTCGTTGCATGGCTTACAAGTCATACAGTGTGCTGCTGACATTTATGAGCTGCATTGGAATAATGTTACACGACGCCGTCAACACTCACGAGCCGCAACCAACAATAAAATGAATATATTATCAGACGCCTTTGCTGTGAGTGACGGTGACATTGATGTGACTGACCTGCCACCAACACCACCAACAGTTGCCATCAACTACCACTGTCAAGCGCAAGCAAGCCACACCTGCGACTTGAACCTGACCCTCATCTCAACAGGACAAATTATCTGGCTCTTCACGACTACTCTCGACATTCACCTACCCTATGTACAGTAATACGCCCACACTGCTCTTTGATGTATCCTACTATTACCTACTTATATATGTTCTTGTATCACCTCCTACCAGTATCAGATCAGAATGAAAGCAAGCCATGCAATGGATATTTTTCAGAACGCGAGAAGAATCAGAGATTCCTTTGGTGTGCTCTCTCTCGCCTGATCTGCGCAGACCAGTCTCAATTTAGCTGCTATGTAACAGTGCATGCTTCAGGTCTATCACTTCTGATTCTCTGATCCCCTACAGACGCACAGAGATCAGAGCCGAGACAAGTGACAAAATCCCCGCTATTCCGTACCCAGGCCATTTCCCCCGACAGATGGTGGGATGGGCGTGGGCGAGGAAATCCACGCGGGATCGGGGTGTGACTCCTGCCCGAGACGGTGGCGGAGACTAGACTCGATGCTGCACATGCTATGACAACGCTGACTAATGATCCAATAGCACAGCCACCCGATTGCTCTCGCTCACCCCCAACACATGTGCCCCCCCTTCTCCTGGCGTCGTCCCAATGCCAACCAAGACCCTCGCTGCAAGAAACGCATGATGTACCGCCTCTAGACCTGACCCTATTTTCGGCGCAAACCTCTTCAACCTCCTCGCGTGGACTAAACCCCTCCGCTCGACCCCATCGACGGTTTCCAGGATATACGAGTTGAGCACCCGTGTCTTGACCCGGTATGGTGCGCCCCACGAATAGACCAGCTTCTTGTGCGCTGATAAGACGTCCAAATTGCTCCTGTGGACCTGAACCATCTTGCCTGGAGCAAAGATCACCTCTCCCGGCTTACGGCTCTCCAGCTTCCGGTCGAATGCTTGCTTCCGGCTGAGAGCGTATCGCACACGCTCCGCATACCCATCTAGACGCTGCTGCTCTATGTATGCCATGTTGACGGCCACGTCTTCCTCAGACAGTGCTCGCTCCGCTATCGACACCGGGGCTTTCGACGCGTTCACTGCCGTGCTGAAGAGAAGCTCCTTCGGAGAGAATCGGACTATAGGTAGGATGCGCCAGTTGAGAATGCTGACGGCTCGCTCCAGGAAATCGGGCCAGTAGCGTGGGAGCTTCTCCCATTTGAGCTCGTCGAATGTGTCAACACCGACGTCCGGAGCACAGAGCCGGGCTAAGATGAAGAGCAGCAGCCTGTTAGTACCTTCTACTAGGCCGTTGACCCACGGTGCATAGGCTGCAATAACATGATGCTTGGTCTTCCACTTCGCGCAGAAATTGCGGACTGCTTGATTATCAAAATGTGAGCCACCATCGGACATGAACACCCCGGAAGGTGCGTAGTCGGTGAAGATGCGGTGTAGCAAGTCCGTCGTCGTCTTTGCAGTGCCGTGGGTTCTGAACTTGAATGCCCACACGTGCTGTGAGTACGTATCAAGATAGACACCCACTGTGTGGTAGCCGCCCTTCCCTTCCGGCAGCTTCACGTAGTCCCCGACCAGCAGTTCGAAGGGCTGCCGACGCACTATCGGCTCCAGCTTTGCGTGGATCTGCTTTGGACCAAAGGCCTTGCACTGCCCGCAGTCAGATATTGCTGCGACAATGGAGGCATCGAGGCCGGGGCTGTGGTACAGGTCCATTAAAGCAACCTTGACTGCATCCCGTCCGAAGTGGCCGTGCTCTGCGTGCACTCGTGCAGCAGCCACCATGGCCTCACTTTTGGTGATGCACTCTCGCTTCGACCGTGCCCGAATGCCCGACCCGCCCAAGATCCATAGCTTCCCGTCCTGGATGAAGTATTTACTGGCCTGGTGTTGCGCTCGCTTGCGTCGGTCCGAACGTGCCTCTCCATCCAGTCCGAGCAAGGCATCAATGACTTCGAGGAATAGAGACAATGGGGCCAGGGAACAATGAGGGGCCGGATCGGGGGGAACAATGGGAGCCGGACCGTCGGAACAATGGGGGTCCGGGCCGGAGTGTCATGTGGATGCGCTTGGCAGGGGAGTCCGGACCGAAGCATGTGACGCTTGACAGATGGCACGTGCTTGGTCACATGCAAGATCCCATGATGATCGGACGAAAGCAGGGGTTCCCCTGACATCCCCAATAGGATGTCCCATGCGCCCTTTGAGTCCATGACCTCGAACTCGCCATGGGCAATGACACCGCCGACGTCTACTGGGCCTTCCCAGTGGCCCACTGACACAACCACCTTGCCGTTTGCCATGCGCAGCCGCCGTGTTGGCAGAGATAACGGCCCTAGCCGGTGTCGCCGTTTGTCAAACCAGAGGCTGTCCAATATGCCAGCTCCGGCGGCTCCATCAAAGAGTGCAGTCCCGCGGACACGCTCACCTTGGCGTCCACTTAATGAGATTGATTGTTTGAATAGGGGGTATAGGTTTTCAGGCTCATCCGCAGCATAGAGGTCGACAATTTCAAGTTCAAGAATTGAGAATACATGTTGCGTGTCAACTCTTTGCTTGGGATGCTCCAGCTCGTCCAAACAGCTAGAGTCTTGGGCTGACGTATTGCCTACTACGTCTGCCCCGCCCGAAAATCCTGCTCCTGCTCCTCGGTGGGCTGCCCAATTTCGTACCAGTCGCTGGCCTCCAGGCCCGGGGCACCTGGCACTGGCGCTACGTTGAACCATGTCCCGACATTGTTGACTGGGGTGATTGGCGGCATGGCTGGCGCAGGGGCTCTTCGAGGGCAAAGCCATCGATCGCAGACCGTTCGAAAGCGGCGTTCTTCGTCTGGAACTGGGCTCACACACTCTCTCCCACGGTGGCCCGGCATGCCACATCGCCAGCACTCTCCCGATCCCGGAATCACGGTTCCTGGCTTGAGAGGAAAGCCTGTGCTCTCAATGCGAAGCATCCCAGCAGCTTGTGTTGCATTGTTGTTGTTCTGCCACTTTGCCACCTGGCCTGCATATGTCGCGCGACCCTCTGGCGTATCCGGTTGTGCCACCCGGATGACCTGCTCTAGGATCATCCGGAGCTGGGCCAGCTCCTCTGATGTTGGTACGTAGTCACCCCCCATCTGGGGTGGGCGTGGTGAACGGGTTTGAAACGGTTGGCTGCGGAGTGGGGCTGGTGCAGCCGGGGGTGCCTGGCGCAGTTGCAGAGGTCCTGTTGTTTGTGCGGGGCGGCCCGACATGGATGTGTACGACGGCACACGCAGGGACTGGAACATCCGGGTCATATCGCTGACCATGTCTTTCCGTAGAGCGGCCGCCTGCTGGTGTATGGCGGCTGCATCACAAAGGTCTGCCAGCAGGATTGCTCAAATCTTTGCCGTGACCTCTTCCCAGTTCTGTGGTGCTGGAGTAAGCGCCTTTGTGATGATGCTTGGCTGGTTGTCTTTCCACAGGGCATAGCCTGACAGCGATGACAACACATTGGCATCCGAGGCCAGGTCCTCAATCCTGTTTGCGATGTGATCCCGGGTGTGTATCTCTAACGCTCCCACCTTGACTTTTTCCTGTGCCAGCTCCTCCATGGTAATCCTCATCTTGCACAACTCAACCTCGTATTGCTGAGGAGTCTGCTCGATGCCTTTCACGCCCGGAAACTTGCGTGTGAGCTCCACAAGGTACGCGGCGAGCGAGACCCGGTGCACCGATGCGGCCACAAGCCCCTTCATGTGCCTCTCCGCTGGGCTATTCGGCTGCAGGTGGTTGTTTACAGCGTCGATCTGTTCATCGGGCACCGTGAGCTGGTGGTCATGCATATACCGTTGCATGGCCCGGCAGAAGTCAGCTGTGGGCATGCTCAGTCCATCGCAAAGGCCCGAAAACAGCTTTATCTCGGGCAAAGACATGGTGCAGCGTGGTCGTGGACAAACAGGTGCGTTTTGGGAGTGGAAGGATGGAGGCGGCGTGGGGAGCATGGTACCAGTCGACAGCTGTTGAAGTAGTGGTGGGGAACCAATATCTGTCAGAGGTGACGTGTCAAAGACGCTCGGCTCTGAATTGCTGCGCTGTTGCTCGCGTAAACAACGGGTACACGGGTACGCGCCGGGGTCAAAGGGGCCCAAGAGGGGCGCTTGATGGTGCGTGGAGACAGGAATCTTTGCACGTGCTGATCTGCGGCACCGATTGTCCTCGGCGGCGCTGTCACGTTCCAGGTTGCAGGTTGCAGGTTGCAGGTCGCAGGGATGTCGCAGGTCGCAGGAAAAAACTTTTTTCCTTTGGAATCGTCCTAGATCGTCGAGATCGGAGGGCGTGGTGCGAATCAGACTCCAATCACCAGATGGGATGGGCGTGGGCGAGGAAATCCACGCGGGATCGGGGTGTGACTCCTGCCCGAGACGGTGGCGGAGACTAGACTCGATGCTGCACGTGCTATGACAACGCTGACTAATGATCCGATAGCACAGCCACCCGATCGCTCTTGCTCACCCCCAACACAATGGTTGGGAGGGTTTCCCGGTGGAGGGTGTACACTTGATCAAAGCTGACTGATTGCGACTCGGGTGGCTGTGTAGAGGTACAGCTTGTAGCGGGAAGACTAGTGCACAGCGTCACCATCCGAGGCGCGCAGCAGCTCCAATCCCATCCAGTTGAGAGAAGACTCTGTGATCTACGCAGAAGGTGTCGGGTCAGTGTGTTTCTGTCTGGACTGCAGCAGAGAGATCGAGAGCTTAATGAAGTACTCCATGTACCTGCTTTGCGAACCAATTCATTTCAGCTCTATATCTGCTACAGAAACGACACTACAACATGGACGGAGATGATAGAAATCCGCTGTTGCCAATACAATTTGCAAGCCCTGTATTGCTGGTAAGCACACCCGCACAAATGACAACAACACACATATGCTCCCGAGCTCAGATATCCCTTCGCAAACGAGTTGCAGACACCTAAGCTAGCAGCTGGTTTGGATCCAGATCTATCAGAGACAAAGGTTAGACAACGCGCGCAGACAACAAGAGGCGCGACGCGCCCTTACTGACCTTCGCTGTGGATTGTGCTTACTCTCGGAACGCCCACTCAAAATCAATCAGCAACAACAATGCATGTAAGTCATTGAACTGACGTCGGAAACAATATTGGGACTCTATCATGAGGGCTGAAACCTGCTCTGAAACCCGGCAACTCCCATTCAAAATTTGCAAGCAGATCAATGGTCTGAAACGCACCCAGCATCAGCTCGTGGCAATGGTTAGGGTCAGCCCACAGCGTCTAGTTCGGCACATAGAGCCACGTCCGCTTCCGGTCCTTGATCAACGCGTCCATCTCCAGGTCCTCCTCCAACCTTCCACCAGTTGTGTACGGGTCCTGGTGGGCCTCCCAATCCTCTCTGCGTCTGTTGCAAGACGTCTGCACGGTGTCCCAGCTCCGTCACCCGTCTGCAAGTGTCCGTATATGAGTATGCACAGCTCAATGGGTCATCCCTGTCTTCCTCATCCTTGTTTCCATTCTCAGCTGCACCTGCGTCTCGATCACGGTTTGTACACGGTGGCTGGCAAGCTGGTAGGCAATGGGGGTAGACTGCTCGGCATCAAGAGACACGGACTGGTTGCAAAGAAGTGCGTAAGTTAGAGGGCGAATGCGAAGGCGGATGGGAGCGTTGTCGGAAAAGAGCATGGAGTGGGCTAAGCCCTGATACGTCCTTGACAACCTTTGCTTGAGTCCCAGGGAGCTGCAGATGACGGCAATGTGCATTGGTGTGTTCTTGGCCAGTGAGGTTGCGTGAGTGAGATGTAGGGCTGGGTCATGGCGGTTTGTTGGAAAGGACGCCATTTCATCTTATCTTCCATCGGCGGTGCTGCGGTGCTGATAAGGGACAATCAAGTTTCACATAAATGTACAGGAGCTGTATGTACACGACCTCAAGCACCTGAAAATGAAGATTAGTAGAGACAGTCTGAAAGATCGCAGGGCTTACCGGTCTAATCCGCAAGTGATTTGCCAGCAGACTTGGCGCACAATCCAACGATGTGCTTCAGGCTGGCTAAGCCTCCAATGTCAGAGAGCCTCCAAAATTTGTGATGCAGTCACGTGTAGCCTTTGCAGCTGCATGAAACCTTCGCCCGCTGGCCGATCGAGTCCAGAGCGGTATGAACAATGTGCTCTGAAACGCGTCAGTAAAGTGAATTGGGCATGCGGTGAGGAGCGCACCAAAGCACATTCGTCTTGACACTCTATACAACTTCAGCCAGATGAATGCATATCCGGATCGCTCGCATCAGTGGTACTCTCTCTGTCGGCGTCGGAAGTGGACAGCATGGCCGGCCTTCACCCTTGAGACGGAGAACAGATCGGACAATGTGAGCAAACCAGAAAGGAAGTCTTCGAGCATTCATTCAGGGATGGTGACGAGTGTATACAGCCATCCGCGCCCGTCCTTCGCATACATTTTGTAAAGTTGGGAGGGAGATATGAAGCTGAGATTGACTTGTGTCCTGCACCCAAGGTAAGCATCTAGTACCAAGGAGACCATGACCACTCACACGCCCCCAGTTTCGCAACTGTGCAGACAGCGCACGATCTTCTTTTGCACAGCGGTTGAGAGAGGCATAGAGTTGGAAGCGGTGGACAATGCAGATGAGAGCAAGCGTTTGTTTGTCTTGAAGGCCCGATGCCATCGTGGACAATGCGGGTGGCAGCAAGCGCTCGTTTGCCTCTATGGCTTGATGTCATCGTGAATGATGCATGTGGAAGCAAGCACTCGTTTGTCTCAAGAGCTCGATCTCATCGAGCTCAGATTCAGCCTTCCTCTTTGCACTCTTGCATCCATATTGTGATCTGTACAGAACAGATCTAAGCTTCAGCGCACTTGCAGACCAGGATCTTGCTCTCTCCGACTTGCTTCCTGGGAGCAATAAATGGACTCTTGATTGTTGAACACAGAAAACAGATGGGAGCCGCAGGAGGCTAGGGGCACAGATGGGAGGCAAAAAGCCCAGTCTGTCACATTGATCTAGGGCTATGTACTGATGGTCACATAGCTAAGTAACACTCTTTTGTCCGAACCAAGCAAGACATCCCTGCCACACTTCAACATCAACACTCCCACCCTTGGGAGGACAAAGCAATCCAGAAAACCCAGCCACTCCCACCTAACTGAGACACTCCCACTCCCACCCAATTGAAGTCCACCAGATTCTCAAAAATCCGCACAGCCCCTGCACCCAATTCGAGTCTTCTTCAGCATCCAAGTCGATCTGCAGAGATCCAGCAGAGATCCAGGGAGATCCAAGAAGATCTGGCTAATCCACCAAGATCCAACAAGATCCAAGGGGATCCAACGCGATTTTCGGCCTTCACAAGACAGGGTAGGGTGGTGGGGACTGGTGTGTGCAAGGGGCAGCAGCACAGAGCGAAATCCATCAAAATCAGGAGAGGAGGGAGGAGTTGGAGCAGGGAGAGTGGCTGAGGAAGAGGGGTGAAGCAGGGGGCACTCCAGGGGAATGTGTGTATACAGCAGCTGTGTGGTAGCTGTGAACTCATCTCACTCCGGCAGATCGCGTTTAATGGGACCTAAAAAGAATCAACTATATTACACATATTGTTGTACCAAAAAAAGTCTTAAATATTCCAACCAATATGTAAGCTATAATGCCACCCAAAAGATTTCCCATTCTGTCAACTATTAGATGATAAAATGAGGTGATAGATAATTGCAATATTGTTGCTCATTTTAGTTGGCTCTTTTATGTACGTATTGAGGTCAATATTGGGGCCAAACAAAAGTCCAGATATGATTTGGCTTATTTTGGCTCTCAACATCACCTAAAAAACAACAAAAATAGTAACTATGATATTAGTAATATTTGCGGCCCATAATGGGAGGCCCCAATATCACAGATATTGGGGTCAACAATATCTGTTGGCCGATGATCCACCGCACGTCAGCCAATGATCCACCGTGTGTCGGCCGATGATCCACCACTTGCCTGCGCTGATTGTTTCACCCACCCTGAGGGATCGCACTTAACGTGAGCCCCAACGAATAACCGATATTGCATATATTGGGGTCCATGAAATGTCCGTGAATAGTTACCTCAATATTAAAAGAAAAAGAGTCGAATTTACCTTCCCTAATACACGAGAAATCAGTACCCAAAACAAGCTTGCTGATAAGGATAATATCAAGATCAATAAAAGCCAAGTTGTTTGTTGTCCCCATTTTAGAGATATCGGGGCCGGATATAGGATCTGTTTTAGTTTAATTTTCATGAGGTCCATCTTTTGTCTCAATATGTGTAAAAAAAGCAGGCAACAAGTGGCCCTGATATTGAAGATATTGCGGCTGATCTGTTATCAGCCGCAATATCTTCAATATCAGGGCTTTAATTATCTATCGGCCGATGGTCGGCCGATGACCCAACGCTGATTGTCTTGACGTCAATCGCTCATCGTCCAAAACGTGGAACAGACGGTAAATACACAGGTAGATTGAGATATGTACGGACACATTATGTACAGACTATATACAGATACACTCGTCGTCGTGAAAGAGCCGATGGTTGGAAAGCACTCAGCCAAGATGGGAAAGGAAATTGGCAGAAACCGCGTCAAGGTTCTTGGCAAGGCGCAAAGCGCCACTGTACCCGCAAATCCGGCCCTTCCAGCGCATGTTATTGAGAACCTCGGCTTTGTTTGCCTCCATTTCTGCTAAGATTCCCTGGAACCACTTCTCGCAATCCAATGTCCACCAACCAACGTTCATTCCTGACAAATAGTAAGCTCCTGCTTGCGGCCACCACAAAACTCGTTTTTCTTGATGTCCGCTGCGTGCCGCGGGATTCAGTTGGTCTAAAGACATATCGTTAACTTCTTTTCAGCAAAGCAAAAGAATTACTCACTCATTTTGATGCTGTACACCCCGAGAACGAGATCCTCTTCTTCTCAAGTCAAGGCATGATAGTACAGTGAGGTGGCACCGCTTCGCAGTTGCTGCTCCGCCATCTCAATGTCAACATCATCCGAACACAACTTCAAGTTTGAGTCATGGATAATCATGCGAGCAAGCCTAGCAACGACACCACCGGCTTGGAGCGCGAGTCGACCGCGCAGGGAAAGCAAAAAGCGCTTGAGTAAGTCCCAATACGTGCAGAGATCGTGTTGGTCTGGCTTGTAACCCTCTGGACGGACTCCGAGGCTGTGACAACGGAACAGTTCTGGCTGGTACGAAGACGGACCCAAAGTGGAGCCCTCGACCACAATGGTAAAGGGAGCTCCAAGGTCATGCAAATGCGAGATGATTTCAAAGTGATTCTGGCACCGTCGATGAACAAGGTACATGAGTGTGGCGGCACTGAAGAGCAGAACCTCGCGGCCGCCTTCACCTTGGTTGCGTGGCTTGAGCACGTATCCCGTACTGCGATGTGGTTTGTCGCGTATATCCTCAAGCACAGTCACGACAAGTCCACTGCTGAACCAGACATTGTCAGCGATCTCCTTGTTTCCCAAGTCGAACAGTTCGCGTGGCAGATTGTTGACGACTTTGGCCTTGTTCAATGCTTTCAGTAAAGCCCGTGACGCATCACTCAATGGCTTGGGTGTGGACGCAAGTCCGTCGCCCAGGAAATGGGTGCTGATGTCAGTCCGAAGCATCTCGTCCTCGGAAAACGAGCTCCCGGGACTGTCAAGAAGCCCGACGCGGTATTCGAGAACGGCTCTTACGGGGTTTTGAGCAGTAGCATCGAGCACAGGTGTGACCCACAGACGTTCTTCCTCCACGTTCATTGCATGGTACTTGTCGACGTGCTGCATGACCGCAGAAGCGTCGTTCAGCTTTGATTGCATTTCCTCTGAGAGTCCCGTGGGAAGGTTATTGTCGAAGTCTTGCGCAAATGCTTGGGAATAGAAGTCGTTGTCGTTGTCGTCGTCGTACGATACTTGAGCTTCGGGATTCAGTGGTGTACAGAGATCCCATTTGTTTGCAAACAAGTCGTACACACACTGCGACTCGGCGAAATTGACCCATTCGTCCTCGACTTCACCTCGTTGGACCAGTCGACGTATCCAGAAATGATCTCTCTGCTCCCAGATGAAAACCCGAGCACCCTTTTTGCCTGGGCAACTCTGTGACTTGGCATTCTGTTCACGCTGGAGGCGCGTCTGCCGGTGCTGATTGGTCTCTGCTTCAAGCTTGTGCTCATTGCGGGCTTTGCGACGGGCAAAGAAGTCCACATAGCTCTCCCCTGCTTTCTGACCGCTGAAGGGCTTGACAGGCGGAAACTGCCATCTCTCGGTCTCCAAAGCTGCGTAGTACTCCGGATTGGGGATGATGCCGAATTGACGCATGTCTGACTGGACAAAGACGTACTCCTCAGTTGCAACTGGAGTTGGAGGGAGAAGGATCATGGCATGGATTCGATGCTGGACATCTAGCCGGATGGCGTGCATTGAAGGGTAAGCCTCCAGATGAGTTGCTCGTATCACGGCCGCGTCTCCCTCTCCCAAAAAGAAGTACACAGGAAGGTGGACGTGACTTGTGCCGTTGACGATGAACGAGAAGAGCCAATCCAGTTCACAAGGATTTTCCTTCGTGCTGTCCAAAATCATTCCCGCGGGACATTGAAGAAGCCGTTCCACTACTTCCTCCAGCGAATCCATCAGTCGGTGCTGCAGTTTCAGAGACTCGATGAGCTTCACGCGCCAGGTAGCACGCTGGGAAGACCCGTCAAGAGCAAGAAAGTAAAGAGCGATGGCTCCAAGCAGGGGCGTGAAAGCGTCACGAGAATGCGAGACAGCCGTGATGAGCGCTTCTTTGGCGGGGAAGGAGTTTGAATAGCTGTAAGTTATTGGATGCGAGTGCATTGTCCCACAATTCACGGCTGGGACAACTTAGCCAATGTACGCACGCAAGGTGGTCGCGACATGGACCAAAAATCCTTCCAAACTCGACCATTTCTCGACAACAGTCGGAGATAACACCCAGCTCAATCCACTAGCCGTTTCCTGACTTTTGGTGGGCGGAAATTGTAGTGAGATGTCAAGAATACCAAGCAGATCACCGTCGAAGATGGGATACCGAGGTCCGCATGCTAGGTGCACTCGGCGGGTGTCCATCCAGGAGCTGCAGTACAGTGCAGGATGCGAGTAGAAGTTGGGGGGGGATGGGGGATCCGGGGGAGGGTGGTGCGATTGCCATTGAAGACAACAAACACGCCAATGTTGTTGCGCACGATCCCGTGGAAGTGAGCGGTGGACTGGAACAGGATCAGCACAAATACAGGACGGCAGAATGAATGAAAAACTTACCTGGAGAGTGTCCTTCTCAGAATCCTCCAGAGACGCGAGAGGGACGAGACAGTGGGGTTTCTCCTCACTTGGTGGGACATTCGAGACAGAAGCTGAAGGGCCGTGCGGCATACGTGTCGGCTCTAGCGCTTTGGGACTCGGCGGCAAACGCCTGAGTCCCCGTGTCCCGTGTTGACCTCGCTGACCACAACTGGAACCGCTCATGGCGGTGGCGGGAAGGATACCAAAGCTCCCCTCAGTCTGCAATCAGTGATCGCACGTGATCCCCACGTGTAGACTCGGCGCTCAAATCAGTGATCGCACATGATCCCCACGTGCAGACTTGGGGGATTCGACAACATCTCTTCCTCCTCCACACTACCTCAGCGTGAGCTGCCAGGCATTTGCCGCCGGCAGCTCCCTCAAGCGTGGAAGACAACTGCAACTTCATATCTTATCGACTCGACTCACTCACGGTATCTACCAGGCGTCTGCCGCCAATAGAACTAGAGCGAATTGCAGAGATCACTAGCGGACTGCGAGTTCAAAGGGCCCACCGACTGTGCCAAAGAGATGATTCGAGCTCACGGTGTACTCGGACTATGGATTAGGCACGAATGGCCCGGTCGAGCCAGCTGCTGCTGATGTTCTCGCAAGTGGGTTTCATGGGGGGATGGTCGGTCGTTTCAAGCCAATTCCCTGCACATGTTACTAGTCTCCGAACTACGTGATTTTTCTGGTCCCTGCGCTCCACAGTTGACTTGAGCGGGCATCAGGTTTGGATGCGTGGTCTGTCATATCAGTTGGCTTGGTCCCTCCTCCTGCACACCATCAGCTCCTTCGACTGTGGATGATGGCCTTACAAGGCAAGCCGGGGCCGACCTTATGCAGGATGATGGCCTTACATATGTTTCTTGTCTACCTTGTGTCTCTATCAGGCGTCTGCCGCTGATAGAACTGGATGAATTGTCTCATTGTTGGCTCAAAGAGCTCCGCGCAGGCCTCACGGATCCCCACTTTCAACTTCAAATGCCAATTTGATTCACTTCAAAACTTCTGTTCAACAAGAAGATAACAAGAAGACTCATATCATACATGCATCCCCTACAGAAGATGCTATATTGCCATCCGCTCAGTAGCGGCGACAAACAGCGCAAATGCTTCCTTTGAGACTTTTAGTTCCTTAACTTCCTTTGTGGTCAGCGACGAAAGCCAGTCAGGCTTGTACAAACATTTCGGGAGTCCTTTCGGCGGAGGTCTGCTGCCCTTCGTCTGGTCTCGCACGCGTGGAGCGGATTTTGTGCCATTGTGAAGGGCCTGGAAGCGCGTGGTCTGCGCGTCAACCATGCGCATGTAATCCGCAATGGCTGGCTCGCGCCAGACGCATAACTTGATCTTGTAAGTCTTGATCTTGTGGCCTTTGATTGTTGCTGAAGTTTCTTCCTCCTCAGACATCCCGCCTACACCGAGCAGTTCCAGCAATTCCAGCATCCTCTTCCATGTCACGATATCCTCCGCATTGTCCGCCTCCTTCAGGGCGATTGTTGCTTCCACAGTGGCACGGCGCTGGTCATATTTCTGGAAGGATCAATCAGCATCTGCATTGCATGGCCACAAGAGCATACGACATTGTGCTGCCCGTTGATAGTTTGGCTAGCCAGGCGGCGGGAGTAAAGGATCACTTTGCCACGAGCTGTAGCTTCGGCTTTTGTCTCGAAACGGCCCTCGTCCGCATCCCACTTGGGCTGACCGCCACCTCTCAGACGAACTTCAGAGTACTCGCCAGACGTTTGCCGTCGCCGAATGCCACCCTCGTCGTACTACATCTGCCAGCAATGCCCATTATTGGAACGTCGAAATCACCGAGTCGCAAGGGCCCAGCGCGTAGTTCACCAAGCGGAATTGGAAGCTCATCATGCGCAATACAATCTGACTGAGTCTGTGCTTGCAGCCGCGAATGCCTCAGATGTCGAGCTCGCAGATCTCCCTCCCGTCTCCCAGTTTCTGGAACAAGCACATTTGCCCGAGCCTGTCTTTGACGACGCAACTATCAACGCACAGCAGACTTCAGACCCTACCGACGTAGAAATGGAGAGACTGGCCAACCTTTTCACCGGTCTTGTTGTCTTGGATGATGGTGCACCGTCCGTCTGCCAGTCGCACTCCAAACTTTTCAGTTCTTGGGATGATTACCAAGCCAGTCTACCAGAAATACCCACAGAGTTCACAGCAGTGTCTCCTTCGGAGGCTCTGTCGGGCGTGGAGCATGTTCTACGGACTCAATCACTACCTCTACGGCCTACCGAAATGCAGACTCGAGAGATCAACTCGAATCTTCTGCAGAATATGCTGCGACGTGTCCAAGCTGCACGTATTGAGCTTGATTTTCAACATGCTCTTAACGCCAGTCCAGATAGCGTAGGGGCGCTAATCAGCGCTGTCGTTACCGCAACTTCCGTGGTCTTTGAGGCGGGACGTCTACTATCGAGCATCAAGCCCTCCGGCAAGGGATCCCCACGTAAGTCCTCACAGATGAGATCTCATGCGAAGCACAATGAAAACGAGATGCTGGCTGCGGCTCTTCAGGAAGAGGCTGCAATTCTGGACTCCCTGATAGATGTTGTGGGTCGGATCCTTCCCCTGGCATCAGAGAATAAAGTCGAACACAATACAGGTTCGTCGATCTTGTGTCACTTCTTTCATCCAGCGACTTACACTTCTCCAGAGCACCATTTCAACAATCCTATGGCTAACTACAACATCGTCGCTCAGCTCTCAATCTTGCTGGCTATCATCTGCCACGTTGTCGTTGGGATCAGCACAAACCCTATGGATCTCATCATTGCCTTTGTTAATGTCATTATCCAAGCAACAATGTCACTCGGCACGCGGGGAAAGCGGGCTACTCCGGTGCAGGAGTATGTGCTCAAACAGCTCCCTACGTCCCTTGAATCTGCACTTCGCAGGTTCAAAATAGATCCTGCAACCACCGTATACGCAACGTGCCCAGTCTGTCATTACACTCACGCTCCACATGAGAACCGGCTCACTGGTGAAACCTCGTATCCAGAGACTTGCCAGGGTTACGTGTATCCTCGGCGAGGCGCTTGGCATGTCTGTGGGACGGCAATCCTCGAATCGCGCCATGGAAAACTACGTCCCATCAAACCATTCGTCTTCACCTCTTTCATCGACTACATTGCCGCCATGCTCTCCGACCCGGAGATTGAGCGGATGTGCGAAAAAGCGTGTGACGATGCATTGGCAGCCGTGCGCAAAGCCCTGTCAAAGAACCCAGAGGCGTCCGTGACAGAAGAGCATGTTAACAATGTGTTCGAGGCAGCTTTCATCCGCAGCTTCAAGGGTCCCATTCCCGACAAGTTGTTCATTCAGCGTGACGGTCGCCTCCGGCTTGCGTTTCAGGTGATGCTCGACTTCTTCAATCCAAATGGGACCAGAAAACGGGGCAACCACAACTCCATTGGCATTCTTGCCGTCGTGAATCTTAACCTGACGGAGGATATACGTTACCGTCCTGAGCACATGTGGCTCAGCATCATCCTTGGTCCCAATGAGCCTAATTCTGACCAAATCGACAACTATCTCCGCCCTCTCATGGACCACTTTGTCATTGGATGGGAGAAAGGTTATCGTCTTTCTCGCACGGCGCTGCATGCCTCGGGACGTAGTATGGATCTTGCCTTGGTCATCAACGTCAACGACTTACCTGCAACACGGAAGGCTCAAGGCATGGCAGCCGCTAACTCGCATCACTACTGCTCAATCTGTGATTGTTTTGGTGTCAAGACGATGTACAATACTGCATTCAGTTCATGGACACAGCGAGACATCATGGTCCTTCGTGCTCAAGCATATGCGTGGCGAGATGCAACAACGCAAGCTGCTCGCGATGCCATCCTTGCAGAGTTTGGAGTCCGTTGGTCCAAGTTTTGGCGCCTTCCATACTGGGATCCAACTCGTATGGCAGTTGTTGATTCAATGCATTGTATACTGGAAGGACTAGTACATTACCACTGTCGTCGAGTACTTCGAATCGACACCAAATTGGCCAAGCGCAAAGAGACGATGGGTGCGGCGTGTGAGTACAACTGGCCAGAGTACAACGCTGTAACCAGCCATCCGCTCTGTCTACTGAAGAACGAGACTCGAGAGCTACCGATGGTTCACACCATCCAGCAGAAACTGGTCCAATCGTTGCTTGCAGACGAAGACGAAGACGATGAGCAAGAATCTGAAGATGGACTCGGAGACGAGGATGTGGAAATGCCCAATGCTCCCAATCCTCGCTTTGTGCCAGCAATCACTGAGGATGAGATGCACAAGCAACTAATAAAGGCAAATCTGCAACCCCTTCGCTGGGTTGTTTCATCGCTTAGTCTCAATATGGACAAGAGGCGGATTGCAACGAAGAAGACCTGCTGTGATCAATTGCTTGCATGGGTGATTCTTTTAATATTGAGGTAACTATTCACGGACATTTCATGGACCCCAATATATGCAATATCGGTTATTTGTTGGGGCTCACGTTAAGTGCGATCCCTCAGGGTGACCAGTCAAAACTTGGTAGATAGATACAGTGAGTCTAGATACAAGCAGGTGAGTTTACGTACAAGCAGGCGAGTTTATATACAAGTGCTACTAGTGTAAGATACAATATATTACAGTCACTCGAGGTTAGCTAGGAAGTCGGTGTGTACAGCGTCAAGATTTTTGGAGAGGCGCATCGCAGCACTGTATCCTCGAATCCTTGCCTTCCAGCACGAGTTGTTGAGGACAACAGTGTTGATGTGTGGATATTGTGTATGCTTGGTTCGGACAAAGGGTGTGACATTACTCCGTGACGGGTAGTATATAGCATCAGATCAATGTGACCTACTGGGCTTTTCGCCTCCCATCTGTGCCCCTAGCCTCCTGCGGCTCCCATCTGAGTTTTCTGTGTTCAACAGGTTATGGGCCCCGCTCTGACCTATCTATAACTTCTATTCTTCTCCCCCTGCCCCTCATTGGCCTTTCCCTTGCTGCGCATTTTTCCGATCCTGCCTGATCTCCATTCTGCCACCATCTGCCACCATCTGCCACCCCCAGGACCACCATTTTGACCTCATCCACCACTGCTACACTATACAACCATGTTGGAGGAAGGGATTGGGATGAATCTGTTGAAGCAGGAAATGCAGAGAGGACTGGAGTCAACAGTAAGAAGCTCTGCATTGCAAGACAAGACAAGAAAAGAATCTACAGACCTGGAGTCAACAGTAAGAAGCTGAAGAACTCCAGAGAGGGAGGAACTATCTATGTGGATGGAGCATGTAACTGTATAGGAATCATGTGACTTGGAGTCATGTGACCAGAATGATGGAATGATGGGAACAGTGATGGAATCAGATATCATCAGTGATGTGATCAGTGATAGGATCAGATGGAATCAGTTAATCATGTGACCCAATCACCAGAGAGGGATCAAGTCCAAAACCCATCACCAACACTCCCCCAGGATGAGATCAGTCTCTCAGCCTCTCCCCCGCAATCTCATCAGTGTGCGCAACCTTGCCACCTGAGGCCGAGGCAGCGCCTTGGTCAGGATGTCAGCCAGCTGGTCCTGCGTCGGCACATACTTCACATCAATGAACCCTCTGGCCACTTCATCTCTAAGCCAGTAGTGTGCCAGGTCCAGATGCTTCATACGCCCATGGTGTTCAGGATTCTTGGACACAGATATGGCAGACTGGTTGTCCATCATCAAGAGAGAAGCCCCAGACACACCATGCTCCAGCTCATGCAGCAGATTCCGCATCCACTTGATCTCCTTCCCAGCATCCACACCAGCCACATACTCTGCCTCAGTGGTGGACAGAGAGATGGTGGACTGCAGCTTGCTCCTCCAGCTTACTGGTCCACCAGCCATCATAATGACATACCCCCCAGTGCTTTTCATGGAGTCCTTGTCTCCAGCATGATCAGCATCAGTGAAGGTGGTGAAGAGGTCGTCAGGATGGATGTGGGTGGCTGGGTCATAGAGGGTGGGCGAGGATTTGGAGTAGGTGATGCGGAAGTCAAGGGTGCCCTGGATGTATCGAAGCAGGTGCTTGACTGCCTTCCAGTGCTCTTCACCAGGATTGCTATTGAAGCGCGCTAGCACCCCCACAGCATAGGAGATGTCAGGGCGAGTCTGACAGGCCAGGTACATCAGAGAGCCAACAGCAGACAGATAGTTGCCCTTGAACTGCTTGGACTCCTCCTCAGTCTTGGCTCCCATCTCCTTGGTTAGAGACAGACCAGGCAGCATGGGGGTGTCCACAGGCTTGCAGTCAGCCATGCCATACTGCTCCAGGAGGTTCACAGCATACTGGCGCTGGGAGATGCTGATGTCTCCAGTGTGCTCATCACGCTCTATCTTGATCCCCAGAAGCCACTCTGTGGGACCCAGATCCCGCACCTTGAAGGCCGTGCCAAGCTGGGCAATGACCTTGTCAATGTCAGCATCATGCTTTGCAGCAATGGTGCCATCATCAACATAGATGGGCAGGATCACGCGGACCACACCATCAGAGTAGATGTGGCAGGAGCTGTCTGACTTGATGCACTTGAACCCCATGGCAGTCAGCTTGGCAACCAACTTGATGCGCCACTGGCGGCCAGCCTGCTTCAGTCCATAGATAGACCGGTTCAGCTTCAGGACCTGGCCCTTCTCTCCCTGGGGGAACCCTTCTGGTTGAGTCATGTAGACATCTTCATCCAGGTCCCCATTGAGATAGGCAGAAGAGAAGTCGATGGAGCGCAGTTTGAGGTTGTTCTGGGCAGCAAGAGCGAGGATGACGCGCAGAGTAGCAGGTCGGAAGGTGGGTGCAAACACCTCGTGGTAGTCAATGCCATAACGCTGGCCACGACCATCTGCCACGAGTCTGGCTTTGTAGCGTTCCACAGTGCCATCAGACTTGTGTTTGATCACAAACACCCATTGAGAGCGAATTGGCTTGACCCCTTGTGGCAAGTCGACCACATCCCATGTGCAGTTGCTGAGCAGAGAGTCAATCTCCGAAGCAGCTGCAGCGCGCCATAGTGGACCATCCTCCTGCTTGGACGCTTCAAAGAACGACCTGGGGTTCCCAGAGGCTACAGCAGACAACACAGACTGCACTGCAGTAGCGTGAGCTGCTGCCAGCTTAGGATCTGAGGGGTCACCCTCACGAGCCACAATAAGGGCAGAGGATGACTTCAGAAGCAGCTCATCGTCACTGAGGTCTTCAGGGATCTCTTCAAAGATCTCTGCCATAGTGCGCCTGGGAGGAGCTGCAGCCGGAGCTGGAGCCCTCCTGGGTGGTGCAGGGACACGATGGATGCCAGCAGCAGCACGACGAGCTGCCACCCCAATTGGAGATTGGGGAGGAGGAGGCGAGGGTGGATGGTGAAGCGGGGCATCCCCAGCTGGTGGTGGAGATGGAGGTGGTGGAGCTCGACGCAAGAAGTCGATTTCATCATCACTGCTGGCTGCAGGAGAGGGAATTCGAGGTGCAGGGAGAGGACGAGCAGGCGGCTGTTGCTGCTCATCATCACCATCGTCATCAGGGACATACACCGGTGCCAGAGCACGAGGGGGATCCACCAGCATGGAGGAGGGGGGTGCCGCAGGACAGCTCCTCATAGCTTGAGGGGTACTGCCTGGGAAGTAGCGCTCATCAAACACTGCTCTCTCAGCGATCACGAGTTTCCGAGTCTCTGGGTTGAAGAACAACCATCCCTTGTACCCTGCAGGATAGCCTACAAAGATACACTTCTGGACATGATGTCCAGAAGGACCTCTCTTGTCTCTTTGCACATGCACATAGGCAAGGCATCCCCAAACACGCAGATGAGACGCATCAGGCTTTGCCTTGAACCACAGCTCATGGGGAGTCCTGGTAGGGTCTCGAGCTGTGGGGTGCATGTTGCATACATGGATGTATGCAGACACCGCCAGTGCCCTGAATGCAGGGGGCAGGTTGGCTTTGTGTAACATGGCAGTGGAGTGCTCATCAACGGTGCGGTTAGACCGCTCTGCTGTCCCATTCTGCTGAGGCCGTGCCCTGACTGAATGGCGGTGCACAATGCCACACTTGTCCAGATGTGCTCTGAACTCATTAGACATGTACTCTCCCCCTTTATCGTCCTGGAATGCCTTGATCTTGAGCCCCCAGTGAGTCTCAGCATACGCTTGAAACATCTTAAGGGCTGCAAATGTCTCACTCTTGTTCTTCATGTGGTATGCTACCTTGAAGCCAGTGTGATCATCAACAAAAGTCACCCTGTGCTTCCAGCCCTCGCGGGTGGGCACAGAATAGCTCTTGAGATCAGAGTGAATAAGATCAAGAGGCGCTCCAGAACGATGACCAGTTGAGGGAAACAGGCCAGCATTCAGCTTGCCAAAGAGGCATGGCTCACAGATGGGGTCTGGCTTCCTAGCAGAGGCAAGCCTCACACCAGTAACCAGCTCTTTATCCATGACTAGCTTGGTATCACTGTGGTGTCCAAGCCGCCTGTGCATCAGGCTGAGGTCAATGGGAAGAGTCCCAGCTGTAGAGACCAGTGCTGAACCAGCAGAAGGGAAACCAGTCTCTCTCACAAATGCCTGACCCTGCTCTGAGATGTCTGCCACAAAGTACACTTCACCATTGCGCTTGAACAGGATGTAGTTTTCCTTCATGAGCACAGTGTAGTCATGGTGAACTGACAGGTATGTAGTGGAGATCAGATTGTGAGACAAAGCAGGAACAAACAAGACATTCGTGAGAATAACAGACTGGCTACTGGACTGTCCATGGATAAGTGGCCTAAGTACTATCTCCCCCACAAGTTCGGAATAAACAACAACTCCATTTGCGACTTTGATGGGCGCCCTATGAGGGCGTGTATTTTGCAGCAGGTGCACACAATGCGTCATGTGCGATGTGGCGCCTGAGTCTGCTATCCATCGCAAATCAGTACTGGAAGTTGTGTGAGAGAGAAGACTTGCATTGGTGGCCACTTCGGACTTGGCTGCTTCTTTTCCATTCCCAGCCCTAGGAGTATTGCCCTTGAGAAGTGCAAGGAACTCTGGACACTTCAAAATAGTGTGACCACGCTTTTGACACGCAGCACACCAAGGCTGGGAGGGACCAGATGCAGCCTCCAGTGCAGCAGAAGGAGGATTGGCAGAAGTTATCATTGCAGCTCCAGACAGAGGATTGCTCTGCCCAGAGTCTCCTGCATTGCCTGCTGCCCTGAAAGCAGACCATGAGGTAAAGGCCTGTTCAATGGCAGCCACCTTGAGAGCATCATGGGATTGCTCAAAGGGAGCCTTCAGAGTTGCATAAGCAGGCTCAGAATCAGGCAAGGCCATGAGGAGAACCACAGCATGCAGCTCTTCATCAGCCTTATCCAGTGTGAAGGAATCAGGCCTAGAGCTTTTGAGGAAGCGCACAGCCTCAGATACACGACCCACAAGGCTTAGCAAGCCCTCACCCTCCTTGAGTCTGATGGAGGTAAGGTTTTTATAGGCATTGAAGCGCTGCCCAGCCTGCTTGGGTGCAAAGATTGAAGGCAATGCAGCCCATAAGGCCTTGGGATCATCCTCATGCTGACGCACTAGGGACCTAACATCAGGGGAGAGCATGCTCCACAAGATGCCAGCACACTTGTCCTTCTTGACTTCCTCATGCTTGGCTGCATCAAAGGTGGCAGTGCAGTACACAAACACCTCTTTGCCTCTGAGATAGGCCTTGGCATCACTCTGCCAATCAGAGAAGACAGTTTCCTTATGGAGAACTGGGAGAAGAGTGTGGGAATCTGATGCCATGCTGTGCTCAAAAATGCGCCCAGAATGATGTAGGGGATGTATGTAGGTAGGTACAGGCTCTCAGGAGTGTGTTGATCTCAGGCACCTAGCTGTCTCAACCTCAGGATCACAGGAATGACTACCTGGTGTTTCCTGATGGACCAAAGAGCACACCCACTTAAGGATAGAGTCCCAACTACTAGTGCCTGAACCACAGACACTATAAGAGCAGAAAAAACAGAACAGAGGGGAGCAGAGATGTCAACTGCAGTAGCAGGACTGGGGCAAGCAGGCAGCAGCAGGCAGAGAAAATCAGAGAATGGAAAAAACTCGAAAATCTCAGAATAGATGACTCAGAGGCACTCTAGAGGCAGGGGCCCATAACCTGTTGAAGCAGGAAATGCAGAGAGGACTGGAGTCAACAGTAAGAAGCTCTGCATTGCAAGACAAGACAAGAAAAGAATCTACAGACCTGGAGTCAACAGTAAGAAGCTGAAGAACTCCAGGGAGGGAGGAACTATTTATGTGGATAGAGCATGTGACTGTATAGGAATCATGTGACTTGGAGTCATGTGACCAGAATGATGGAATGATGGGAACAGTGATGGGAACAGTGATGGAATCAGATATCATCAGTGATGTGATCAGTGATAGGATCAGATGGAATCAGTTAATCATGTGACCCAATCACCAGAGAGTGATCAAGTCCAAAACCCATCCTCAACACTTGTAGTCTATTCAGAGCTTGTGGGGGAGATAGTGCTTAGGCCACTGATCCATGGACATGCCAGGAGCCGGTCTGTGATCCTCTCCAATGTGCTCTATGTCCCTGCTCTGTCACACAATCTGATCTCCACTACATACCTGTCAGTTCACCATGACTACACTGTGCTCATGAAGGAGAACTACATCCTGTTCAAGCGCAATGGTGAAGTGTACTTTGTGGCAGATATCTCAGAGCAGGGTCAGGCATTTGTGAGAGAGACTGGTTTCCCTTCTGCTGGTTCAGCACTGGTTTCTACAGCTGGGACTCTTCCCATTGACCTCAGCCTGATGCACAGGCGGCTTGGACACCACAGTGATACCAAGCTAGTCATGGATAAAGAGCTGGTTACTGGTGTGAGGCTTGCCTCTACTAGGAAGCCAGATCCCATCTGTGAGCCATGCCTCTTTGGCAAGCTGAATGCTGGCCTGTTTCCCTCAACTGGTCATCGTTCTGGAGCGCCTCTTGATCTGATTCACTCTGATCTCAAGAGCTACTCTGTGCCCACCCGCGAGGGCTGGAAGCACAGGGTGACTTTTGTTGATGATCACACTGGCTTCAAGGTAGCATACCACATGAAGAACAAGAGTGAGACCTTTGCAGCTCTTAAGATGTTTCAAGCCTATGCTGAGACTCACTGGGGGCTGAAGATCAAAGCCTTCCAGGATGATAAAGGAGGAGAGTACATGTCTAATGAGTTCAGAGCACATCTGGACAAGTGTGGCATTGTGCACCGCCATTCAGTCAGGGCACGGCCTCAGCAGAATGGGACAGCAGAGCGGTCTAACCGCACCGTTGATGAGCACTCCACTGCCATGTTACACAAAGCCAACCTGCCCCCTGCATTCAGGGCACTGGCGGTGTCTGCATACATCCATGTGTGCAACATGCACCCCACAGCTCGAGACCCCACCAGGACTCCCCATGAGCTGTGGTTCAAGGCAAAGCCTGATGTGTCTCATCTGCGTGTTTGGGGATGCCTTGCCTATGTGCATGTGCAACGAGACAAGAGAGGTCCTTCTGGTCACCATGTCCAGAAGTGTATCTTTGTAGGCTATCCTGCAGGGTACAAGGGATGGTTGTTCTTCAACCCAGAGACTCGGAAACTCGTGATCGCTGAGAGAGCAGTGTTTGATGAGCGCTACTTCCCAGGCAGCACCCCTCAAGCTATGAGGAGCTGTCCTGCGGCACCCCCCTCCTCCATGCTGGTGGATCCCCCTTGTGCTCCGGCACCGGTGTATGTCCCTGATGACAATGGTGACAATGAGCAGCAACAGCCGCCTGCTCGTCCTCTCCCTGCACCACGAGTTCCCTCTCCTGCAGCCAGCAGTGATGATGAAATCGACTTCTTGTGTCGAGCTCCACCACCTCCATCTTCACCACCAGCTGGGGATGCCCCGCTTCACCCTCTACCCTCGCCTCCTCCTCCCCAATCTCCTATTGGGGTGGCAGCTCGTCGTGCTGCTGCTGGCATCCATCGTGTTCCTGCACCACCCAGGAGGGCTCCAGCTCCGGCTGCTGCTCCTCCCAGGCGCACGCACCATGGCAGAGATCTTTGAAGAGATCCCTGAAGACCTCAGCGACGATGAGCTGCTTCTGAAGTTGTCCTCTGCCCTCATTGTGGCTCGCGAGGGTGACCCCTCAGATCCCAAGCTGGCAGCAGCTCACGCTACTGCAGTGCAGTCTGTGTTGTCTGCTGTAGCCTCTGGGAACCCCAGGTCGTTCTTTGAAGCGTCCAAGCGGGAGGATGGTCCACTATGGCGCGCTGCAGCTGCATCGGAGATTGACTCTCTGCTCAGCAACTGCACATGGGATGTGGTCGACTTGCCACAAGGGGTCAAGCCAATCCGCTCTCAATGGGTGTTTGTGATCAAACACAAGTCTAATGGCACTGTGGAACGCTACAAAGCCAGACTCGTGGCAGATGGTCGTGGCCAGCGCTATGGCATTGACTACCACGAGGTGTTTGCACCCACCTTTAGACCTGCTACTCTGCGCGTTATCCTTGCTCTGGCTGCCCAGAACAACCTCAAGTTGCGCTCCATCGACTTCTCTTCTGCCTACCTCAATGGGGACCTGGATGAGGATGTCTACATGACTCAGCCAGAAGGGTTCCCCCAGGGAGAGAAGGGCCAGGTGCTGAAGCTGAACCGGTCCATCTATGGACTGAAGCAGGCTGGCCGCCAGTGGCGCATCAAGTTGGTTGCCAAGCTGACTGCCATGGGGTTCAAGTGCATCAAGTCAGACAGCTCCTGCCACATCTACTCTGATGGTGTGGTCCGCGTGATCCTGCCCATCTATGTTGATGATGGCACCATTGCTGCAAAGCATGATGCTGACATTGACAAGGTCATTGCCCAGCTTGGCACGGCCTTCAAGGTGCGGGATCTGGGTCCCACAGAGTGGCTTCTGGGGATCAAGATAGAGCGTGATGAGCACACTGGAGACATCAGCATCTCCCAGCGCCAGTATGCTGTGAACCTCCTGGAGCAGTATGGCATGGCTGACTGCAAGCCTGTGGACACCCCCATGCTGCCTGGTCTGTCTCTAACCAAGGAGATGGGAGCCAAGACTGAGGAGGAGTCCAAGCAGTTCAAGGGCAACTATCTGTCTGCTGTTGGCTCTCTGATGTACCTGGCCTGTCAGACTCGCCCTGACATCTCCTATGCTGTGGGGGTGCTAGCGCGCTTCAATAGCAATCCTGGTGAAGAGCACTGGAAGGCAGTCAAGCACCTGCTTCGATACATCCAGGGCACCCTTGACTTCCGCATCACCTACTCCAAATCCTCGCCCACCCTCTATGACCCAGCCACCCACATCCATCCTGACGACCTCTTCACCACCTTCACTGATGCTGATCATGCTGGAGACAAGGACTCCATGAAAAGCACTGGGGGGTATGTCATTATAATGGCTGGTGGACCAGTGAGCTGGAGGAGCAAGCTGCAGTCCACCATCTCTCTGTCCACCACTGAGGCAGAGTATGTGGCTGGTGTGGATGCTGGGAAGGAAATCAAGTGGATGCGCAATCTGCTGCATGAGCTGGAGCATGGTGTGTCTGGGGCTTCTCCCTTGATGATGGACAACCAGTCTGCCATATCTGTGTCCAAGAATCCTGAACACCATGGGCGTATGAAGCATCTGGACCTGGCACACTACTGGCTTAGAGATGAAGTGGCCAGAGGGTTCATTGATGTGAAGTATGTGCCGACGCAGGACCAGCTGGCTGACATCCTGACCAAGGCGCTGCCTCGGCCTCAGGTGGCAAGGTTGCGCACACTGATGAGATTGCGGGGGAGAGGCTGAGAGACTGATCTCATCCCGGGGGAGTGTTGGTGATGGGTTTTGGACTTGATCCCTCTCTGGTGATTGGGTCACATGATTATCTGATTCCATCTGATCCTATCACTGATCACATCATGTTGATAAAATGGCTGAACCAGGAATTGAACCTGGGACCTCTGACTTGGATCGTCCAGTGCTCTAACCACTGAGCTATTCTGCCTTGGTGCTGGGATTCCCAACTCCAACACATCACTGATGATATCTGATTCCATCACTGTTCCCATCATTCCATCATTTTGGTCACATGACTTCTGATCACATGATTCCTATACAGTCACATGCTCCATCCACATAGATAGTTCCTCCCTCCCTGGAGTTCTTCAGCTTCTTACTGTTGACTCCAGGTCTGTAGATTCTTTTCTTGTTTTCTCTTGCAATGCAGAGCTCCTTACTGTTGACTCCAGTCCTCTCTGCATTTCCTGCTTCAACAAAAGATGGCTGATCAGCTCATCCCAAGTGCTGTATTGACGACGGATGAGCTGCATGACCGTGGAGGCACTGAACACGACGATTTTGCGGTTGTTGTTTGCCTTTCGAGTAGTCGGCTGGAGGAAATATCCGGTGCGATGGTACCTCTTGTTGCCCATCTTGTCGACCACAGCAACAATCACGCCACTCTTTGACCGGATGTCCTGCGAGAGCTTCTCGTCCGCAAGATCGAAGAGGTCAGAAGGCATGTCCCGAACGTGCTTGGCCTTGCTCAGTGCATAGATAAACGCTCGAGCTGCATCGCTCATCGGCCTAGCTGTGGGAGATCCGGCGTCACCAAGGAAGTGGGCGCCGACGTTCAGCCGTGTCATTTGCGCCTCTGGGAAGGATCTCTGTGTGTCGCCAACAAAGCCTGCACGATATTCGAGAACGGCCCGAGTGGGATGATGATCAGCTACAGGCACTTCGGTGGTTCTCCAAGGCTTGTCCTCATCTGCACTGCGATTGTACAGATTGACCTGCGTCAGAATGCCCTCCGCGTTGCTAAGCACTGACTGTTGAAGCAGGAAATGCAGAGAGAACTGGAGTCAACAGTAAGAAGCTCTGCATTGCAAGACAAGACAAGAAAAGAATCTACAGACCTGGAGTCAACAGTAAGAAGCTGTAGAACTCCAGAGAGGCAAGAACTATCTATGTGGATGGAGCATGTGACTGTATAGAAATCATGTGACTTGGAGTCATGTGACCAGAATGATGGAATGATGGGAACAGTGATGGAATCAGATATCAACATGATGTGATCAGTGATAGGATCAGATGGAATCAGATAATCATGTGACCCAATCACCAGAGAGGGATCAAGTCCAAAACCCATCACCAACACTCCCCCGGGATGAGATCAGTCTCTCAGCCTCTCCCCCGCAATCTCATCAGTGTGCGCAACCTTGCCACCTGAGGCCGAGGCAGCGCCTTGGTCAGGATGTCAGCCAGCTGGTCCTGCGTCGGCACATACTTCACATCAATGAACCCTCTGGCCACTTCATCTCTAAGCCAGTAGTGTGCCAGGTCCAGATGCTTCATACGCCCATGGTGTTCAGGATTCTTGGACACAGATATGGCAGACTGGTTGTCCATCATCAAGGGAGAAGCCCCAGACACACCATGCTCCAGCTCATGCAGCAGATTGCGCATCCACTTGATTTCCTTCCCAGCATCCACACCAGCCACATACTCTGCCTCAGTGGTGGACAGAGAGATGGTGGACTGCAGCTTGCTCCTCCAGCTCACTGGTCCACCAGCCATTATAATGACATACCCCCCAGTGCTTTTCATGGAGTCCTTGTCTCCAGCATGATCAGCATCAGTGAAGGTGGTGAAGAGGTCGTCAGGATGGATGTGGGTGGCTGGGTCATAGAGGGTGGGCGAGGATTTGGAGTAGGTGATGCGGAAGTCAAGGGTGCCCTGGATGTATCGAAGCAGGTGCTTGACTGCCTTCCAGTGCTCTTCACCAGGATTGCTATTGAAGCGCGCTAGCACCCCCACAGCATAGGAGATGTCAGGGCGAGTCTGACAGGCCAGGTACATCAGAGAGCCAACAGCAGACAGATAGTTGCCCTTGAACTGCTTGGACTCCTCCTCAGTCTTGGCTCCCATCTCCTTGGTTAGAGACAGACCAGGCAGCATGGGGGTGTCCACAGGCTTGCAGTCAGCCATGCCATACTGCTCCAGGAGGTTCACAGCATACTGGCGCTGGGAGATGCTGATGTCTCCAGTGTGCTCATCACGCTCTATCTTGATCCCCAGAAGCCACTCTGTGGGACCCAGATCCCGCACCTTGAAGGCCGTGCCAAGCTGGGCAATGACCTTGTCAATGTCAGCATCATGCTTTGCAGCAATGGTGCCATCATCAACATAGATGGGCAGGATCACGCGGACCACACCATCAGAGTAGATGTGGCAGGAGCTGTCTGACTTGATGCACTTGAACCCCATGGCAGTCAGCTTGGCAACCAACTTGATGCGCCACTGGCGGCCAGCCTGCTTCAGTCCATAGATGGACCGGTTCAGCTTCAGCACCTGGCCCTTCTCTCCCTGGGGGAACCCTTCTGGCTGAGTCATGTAGACATCCTCATCCAGGTCCCCATTGAGGTAGGCAGAAGAGAAGTCGATGGAGCGCAACTTGAGGTTGTTCTGGGCAGCCAGAGCAAGGATAACGCGCAGAGTAGCAGGTCTAAAGGTGGGTGCAAACACCTCGTGGTAGTCAATGCCATAGCGCTGGCCACGACCATCTGCCACGAGTCTGGCTTTGTAGCGTTCCACAGTGCCATCAGACTTGTGTTTGATCACAAACACCCATTGAGAGCGGATTGGCTTGACCCCTTGTGGCAAGTCGACCACATCCCATGTGCAGTTGCTGAGCAGAGAGTCAATCTCCGATGCAGCTGCAGCGCGCCATAGTGGACCATCCTCCCGCTTGGACGCTTCAAAGAACGACCTGGGGTTCCCAGAGGCTACAGCAGACAACACAGACTGCACTGCAGTAGCGTGAGCTGCTGCCAGCTTGGGATCTGAGGGGTCACCCTCGCGAGCCACAATGAGGGCAGAGGACAACTTCAGAAGCAGCTCATCGTCGCTGAGGTCTTCAGGGATCTCTTCAAAGATCTCTGCCATGGTGCGTGCGCCTGGGAGGAGCAGCAGCCGGAGCTGGAGCCCTCCTGGGTGGTGCAGGAACACGATGGATGCCAGCAGCAGCACGACGAGCTGCCACCCCAATAGGAGATTGGGGAGGAGGAGGCGAGGGTAGAGGGTGAAGCGGGGCATCCCCAGCTGGTGGTGGAGATGGAGGTGGTGGAGCTCGACACAAGAAGTCGATTTCATCATCACTGCTGGCTGCAGGAGAGGGAACTCGTGGTGCAGGGAGAGGACGAGCAGGCGGCTGTTGCTGCTCATTGTCACCATCGTCATCAGGGACATACACCGGTGCCGGAGCACAAGGAGGATCCACCAGCATGGAGGAGGGGGGTGCCGCAGAACAGCTCCTCATAGCTTGAGGGGTGCTGCCTGGGAAGTAGCGCTCATCAAACACTGCTCTCTCAGCGATCACGAGTTTCCGAGTCTCTGGGTTGAAGAACAACCATCCCTTGTACCCTGCAGGATAGCCTACAAAGATACACTTCTGGACATGGTGACCAGAAGGACCTCTCTTGTCTCGTTGCACATGCACATAGGCAAGGCATCCCCAAACACGCAGATGAGACACATCAGGCTTTGCCTTGAACCACAGCTCATGGGGAGTCCTGGTAGGGTCTCGAGCTGTGGGGTGCATGTTGCACACATGGATGTATGCAGACACCGCCAGTGCCCTGAATGCAGGGGGCAGGTTGGCTTCGTGTAACATGGCAGTCGAGTGCTCATCAACGGTGCGGTTAGACCGCTCTGCTGTCCCATTCTGCTGAGGCCGTGCCCTGACTGAATGGCGGTGCACAATGCCACACTTGTCCAGATGTGCTCTGAACTCATTAGACATGTACTCTCCTCCTTTATCATCCTGGAAGGCTTTGATCTTCAGCCCCCAGTGAGTCTCAGCATAGGCTTGAAACATCTTAAGAGCTGCAAAGGTCTCACTCTTGTTCTTCATGTGGTATGCTACCTTGAAGCCAGTGTGATCATCAACAAAAGTCACCCTGTGCTTCCAGCCCTCGCGGGTGGGTACAGAGTAGCTCTTTAGATCAGAGTGAATGAGATCAAGAGGTGCTCCAGAACGATGACCAGTTGAAGGAAACAGGCCAGCATTCAGCTTGCCAAAGAGGCATGGCTCACAGATGGGGTCTGGCTTCCTAGCAGAGGCAAGCCTCACACCAGTAACCAGCTCTTTATCCATGACTAGCTTGGTATCACTGTGGTGTCCAAGCCGCCTGTGCATCAGACTGAGGTCAATGGGAAGAGTCCCAGCTGTAGAGACCAGTGCTGAACCAGCAGAAGGGAAACCAGTCTCTCTCACAAATGCCTGACCCTGCTCTGAGATATCTGCCACAAAGTACACTTCACCATTGCGCTTGAACAGGATGTAGTTCTTCTTCATGAGCACAGTGTAGTCATGGTGAACTGACAGGTATGTAGTGGAGATCAGATTGTGTGACAGAGCAGGGACATAGAGCACATTGGAGAGGATCACAGACCGGCTCCTGGCATGTCCATGGATTAGTGGCCTAAGCACTATCTCCCCCACAAGCTCTGAATAGACCACAAGTCCATTAGCCACTCTGATGGGTGCCCTATGAGGACGAGTGTTCTGCAGCAGGTGCACACAATGGGTCATGTGTGATGTAGCACCAGAATCTGCAATCCACCTCAACTCAGGGTCTGCAGTGGAGTGGGAGAGAAGGCTTGTATGAGTGGCCACTTCAGACTTGACTGCACCCTTTCTAGGCCTAGGCCTAGGCCTAGGCTCAGGCTCAGGCTCTGGCTCAGGCTCAGAAGCATTGTCCTCTAGGAGAGACAGAAACTCTGGGCATTTTAGGAGTGTGTGGCCATGTTGATCTCAGGCACCTAGCTGTCTCAACCTCAGGATCACAGGAATGACTACCTGGTGTTTCCTGATGGACCAAAGAGCACACCCACCTAAGGATAGAGTCCCAACTACTAGTGCCTGAACCACAGACACTATAAGAGCAGAAAAAAAACAGAACAGAGGGGAGCAGAGATGTCAACTGCAGTAGCAGGACTGGGGCAAGCAGGCAGCAGCAGGCAGAGAAAATCAGAGAATGGAAAAAACTCGAAAATCTCAGAATAGATGACTCAGAGGCACTCTAGAGGCAGGGGCCCATAACCTGTTGAAGCAGGAAATGCAGAGAGGACTGGAGTCAACAGTAAGAAGCTCTGCATTGCAAGACAAGACAAGAAAAGAATCTACAGACCTGGAGTCAACAGTAAGAAGCTGAAGAACTCCAGGGAGGGAGGAACTATCTATGTGGATGGAGCATGTGACTGTATAGGAATCATGTGACTTGGAGCCATGTGACCAGAATGATGGAATGATGGGAACAGTGATGGAATCAGATATCATCAGTGATAGGATCAGTGATAAGATCAGATGGAATCAGATGATCATGTGACCCAATCACCAGAGAGTGATCAAGTCCAAAACCCATCACCAACACTGACTGGATTTCAGCGGACAGCCCCGCAGGAGGCTCGTCCTCGAAGTCATCCATGAACTGGCTGCTTAAGTCGTCCGAGGATCGGATCTCGATTGGGTCAAGTGTTTGTCCGCGATAGGCAACAGGGAAGTAAATGGCTAAGTTGTCGTCGTCGTCGTTTAGCACGACAGCTGCAGGATCCAATGGTCGGCAAAGATCCCATTTGTTGTGGAACGAATCGAAAATGCGCTGGGATGGCGCGAATTCATCCCATTCATCCCCGACCTCGTTGCGCTGCAGGAGTCGATGGACCCAAAACTTGTCCTTTTCTTCCCAAACAAAAACTCGAGGGCCTTTTTTGCCAGGACAACCCTGTGAAATGGCCTGCTTTTCACGTTGCAAGCGAGTCTGCTTCTGCTGTGATGTCTCCGCCGCAACCCGGGTCTCGTTTCGCACCTTCCGCCGCGCAAAGAACTCCGTGTAGGTTTCCGTTTCCCTCTGTCCGCTGTGAGCCTCCACGGGGGGGAACTCCCGTTTGCGGGGCTGCAGCGCTTCATAGAAATCCGGGTTAGGGAAGATCCCAAAATGCCTTATGTTCTCTGCAACGAAGACATACTCTTCGCTGGCAATCTGGGTGGAAGAGAGCAAGCTAAGAGCGCGGATCGTGTCCTGGACACTTGGATGGATCTGCCGCAATGACAGGAAACGTTCCAGATGTGAAGCATGGTTCACGGCCGCATCGCCTTGACCGAGGAAGAAGTAGATGGGAAGGCGAATGGAGACTGTGTTGTTGACCAGAAGCGCCAAGAGCCAGTCAATTTCGCGTGGGATCTCCTGCGTGCAATCGAAGATCATCCCCACTGGATTGCGGAGAAGACGACCAACGACGGCCTCCAGTGAATCCATGAGCCGAGGCGGCATGTGGGTTGCAGTCATGAGTTTGGTGCGCCAGGTGGCGCGCTGATCCGATCTGTCAAGAGCCAGGAATCGGAGAGCGATTGCACCCAGAAGTGACACAAAGGCGGCTTGAGAACGTGCAACGGCAGTAACAAGCTCTTCTTTCCCCTGAAAAGTATCCGCATAGCCGTGCGCTATTGGCCTCAAGTGCATCGTGCCGCAGTGCACAGTGGGGACAATTTGGTCGACTTTCGCTCACAGGTAGAGCACAACATGATTCAAGAAAGCCTCCAGTGTCGCCCAGCGCTCTGCAATGACCCAAGACATGGTCCAAACAGAACCACCCTCCGGCTGCTTTGTCTCCGTGCCTATGGAGTCTGTGGATACGTCCAGGACACCGAGGAGATCCCCATCAAAAATGGGATAATGGGGCCCGCAGGCAAGATGAACATGTCAAGCTCCGATCCACAACGTCATGTACAGCATAGAGGTCCAATGCTGCGGGTTGAGTCGTGGGGGAGGTGGGGGAATGTGGAGCAATGCATTGCGCTCAGCGTTGAAGACAATGAAAACGCCCTCCTCGTTGCGGATAGCACCATGGAATCGAGATGATGCCTTCTCTGAGTCAGTAAAAAGTAAAAAGTCCAGTCTTTGAGATCTTACCGTCAGCGTTGCCTTTTCAGTATCCATGAGAAGCCTAAGAGGGACAAGGTGGTGTGGAGCACTACCACTGAATTCAGGAGTTATGGAATTGCTGCTGGATACCAACAGGTTGAGCGGGACCGAAGACGAAGGGCCGCGCGGCAAACGCGTCGGCTCTCCTTGCCTGGAACTCGGCAGCAAACGCCCGAGTTCCCGCTGTCCCCAGTCTCGCTGACCACCTCGCTGTCCGCTGCAATTCATGGTGTCTTGGTGGTGGTGGTAGAAGGTGAGAGAGATAAGTCGAGTGGGATCAAAGTGTGATCGATCTACTTGATGAGTCGGTCATGAGTCAGGGTGTCGACCCTTGAGGGATATGCAGTCCCTCTCCACTGACAACCAGCCACCCACGAGCTACGAAGCATCTGCCGCCCGTATTTCTCTGCGAAAGGTGGTTGTCATCGCCACAACAGGCTGAAAGAGAGAGTGAGAGAGAGGACAAACAGCCGCGCGGCAAACGCGTCGGCTCTTTGTCTCTAGCTCTGTGACTCGGCAGCAAACGCCTGAGTCCTTCTCCTTCTCCTCTTCTGACTACCTGACTTGCCGCCTCGCTCTCCGCCTCGTTGTTGTTGTTGTGGTGGTGGTAGTCAGAGGCTGCCACTGCTGCCACTCTGACTATGGCAATTGTTGAACACAGAAAACACAGATGGGAGCCGCAGGAGGCTAGGGGCACAGATGGGAGGCGAAAAGCCCAGTCTGTCACATTGATCTAGGGCTATGTACTGATGGTCACATAGCTAAGTAACACTCTTTTGTCTGAACCAAGCAGGACATCCTTTCCACACTTCAACACTCCCACCCTTGGGAAGACAAAACCAATCAAACAGAACACTCCCACCAAATCCAAGGCCACTCCCACCCAATCTAAGTCCGTCTTGGAGACAGGAATGGTCCACTAGGCCCACCACCAATCTCCGCTTCATTGGACATCTGGAACTCATCCCACATCTCAAAGAAGCTCTCCCTGGTCAGACCTGCCTCCAGTGCAGCAGAGAAAGCTGCAGAAGCTGAGCTGCTCTTGCCATTGGCCACGATCCAGTCCTTCACAAAGGTGGGCATGGTGTGCATGCACTTGTGAGCAATGTGGCCAGTGCGTCCACAGCGATGGCAGCCCCTGGTGGTAGGGTCACACCAACGAAAACCTTGGGAATCCAGTGGAAATCCGTCCTGGGCAACGCTGCCAGTGATGGGGGAGGTGTAAGATGACGTGGCAGATGCTGTGCCTCGACGTGGCACCGATGCAGCCAGGGCCAAGCTCGAAATATCGCCATCTTCGATTTTGAGAACCACTCCAGGGTCTGAGCTTGAGCTGGCAAGCTGGGTGATGCAGTCTTCGAGTTTGGGCTCAGGAGAGCGTGCAAGGAGGATGGTGCGGACTGTGTGGAAGGCTGGGTGAAGATTCATGAGCAGGACATCTTTGTGGATGGTGGAATCGATGGAAACACCCATGGCAGCCAGTTTCTTCACTGCATCCCCTACAGCCCGAATGTAGACATCTATATCCTTGGTGGGGTCATGGGAAATGGAGTGCAGCTCAGCCCTGGCAGCCATCCTGGTGCTCATACTCGATTTCTCGAAATGGGCCTTGAGGGCAGCCCAGGCAGCAGTGGCAGACTCGAAATCATCCAGGAGGGGCTGGTACTGCTCCTCTATCTTGGTGTAGAGGTAGGGGAGGAGCATTCTGTCCAGAGCAACTTGGTCAGACTCATCTGCTTTTGGCCCTTTCCCCATAACCCAAAGTGCGTCCACTCCCAGCAAAAACACCTTGAATCCCTTCCCAAACTTGGCCCAGTTGTCCTTCCCCAGCATAGGAACAGTGGTGAGAACGATGGTGAGGGCTGAGGTGATGGTAGGCGCCATGGTGGTGTAGGGAGAAGCGGTAGGAGCGTCGGGGAAAACCGGAACAGAGGGGAGAAGCAAAAAGAGCGAAAAAAAGAGCGAAAAATGCGCAGAGGGAGCAAGGAAAAGGGTAGATGGATAGGTCAGGGCGGGGCCAATAACCTGTTGAACACAGAAAACACAGATGGGAGCCGCAGGAGGCTAGGGGCACAGATGGGAGGCGAAAAGCCCAGTCTGTCACATTGATCTAGGGCTATGTACTGATGGTCACATAGCTAAGTAACACTCTTTTGTCTGAACCAAGCAGGACATCCTTTCCACACTTCAACAGCGATCAAGATGGTCCACGTGACGACAATCACGTGGATGATCTGTGATGATCCTTTCGACTCCTCTCTGCTCCCAACTACTAGGTGTTTGCCGCCAGTAGTTCTTGAGTAGTTCCTTGGTAGGAATCTGGCATCCTTGTCAGTAGTTCCACAACTACCATCGCTATGCTCGAATATGATCCACGCAACACACGGACTTTGTGATGATCCACTACAAGTGTTTGCCGCCCGTAGTCATCTCACAACGAGGATTTCGTTGCCAAGGAGGTCGTTGCTGCTTTCCTCTCACACACTCGGAGATTTGACCGATTACGGACTACTAGGCATTTGCTGCCAGCAGTTCTCTTAAACAATGATCATCGTCCCCGCCTGCTCAAGCAAAAGCGGCAATGGACTACGAGGTGTTTGCCGCCCGTAGTTCTCTTGCAACAAAGATATTGTTGCTGCCTACTATGCAAATTGGTCGATGACGGACTACTCCATGTTTGCCAGCAGTTCTCTTACACGACGATCGCCGTCGCCGCCTGCTACACGCGTCACTGTCCATCAGGTGTATGTCGCCGGTGGAGCTCCAGAATTTGGCTTATAGAACAGATTCGATTATCTCAAGATTTGTATATCTATCGTATCTACCTTGCCATCCTGTTAGTCGCTGCAACGAAGAGCGCAAAGGCCTGCTTCGACACTTTCAATTCCTTCAACTCCATCGAAGACAGCGAGGCAAGCCAGCCGGACTTATAAAGGCACTCCGGGAGCCCCTTGAGTGGCTTTCCTGTTCCCGCCTGCTCGACCCGTTGACAAGGAGCTGCTTTGGTCCCATTGTGAAGAGCCTGGAAGTAATTCGTGTGTTTGTTGATAATGTCCATGTAGTTCGCAACAAGTGGCTCCCACCAGATATCGAGCTTGACAACGTACATTCTGGTCTTTGTGCCTCTGTTGCTCCTGCTGGATTCCTCCTCTTCAGACATTCCTGCTGCTCCAAGCAGATTCAAAATTTCCAATAGTCTCTTCCACGTTGCAATGTCCTCCGCGCCATCAGACTCCTTCAATGCAATAGTCGCTTCGACAGTGTTGTGTCAACGGTCATATTTCTGATATGAACGATCAGAGGATTGTTTTTCAAGACTCAAAATACGCACCATGTGCTGGGCGTTGATTGTACGGGACAAGACCCGACAGGCGAACAACGTGAGCTTGCCGCGAGCAATTGCTTCAGCTGTCGTCTCCATGCGATCTCGCTCTATATCCCACTTGGGCTTGAATTCCTTCCAATCTCCACGATAGCGCACAAGCAACTCCTCCACAATGTGTCCAAGGTACTCGGCTGATATGAGACCTTTCTCAATGTATCGCATATTGAGCGAGTCCTTCCTCACGACCTCAGCGACGAGTCTCTCCATCACCGCAGCATTCCAGGCGCTGGACTTGTAGTCCAGGCTGAAATCCCACTGATAACGTTGGATGGCGGCTTCATTGTCCTGAGCGAAGACTTCCACCTCCTCTTCTGTAGCGGGGACGTGGAAGATGAAATCTGACGCTTGCTGGACTCCAAACTTCTCGTAAATCATCTTGCACATGAGCGCCTTGAGTTGGTAAGTTTCTTGCATCCTCTGGTAAGTATTCCTTCACTCACTCGTGCCTTGTTCACTAGCTCCTGTGTCTCTGGTGCAACAGCCGCTTTTGCTTCGGACTTTTGGCTGGCCTTGTAGCGCGGTGTCGATTTCCCTGCATTCACGTTGATGTGTGCAGTGGTATTGTTCACCATGTTCATGGCCTGCGCAAACTTGATCAGCAAGTCGGCGTCCATGTCTAACTCTGCTGCCAGTTTCTTGATGGGATCAGGAGGGGCAGTGGGCGATGACGGGCTTGAGACAGGAGCGGGATCCATTGCAAGCTCTACCAAAGAGGGCCGCGCAGGCTGGAAGAACTCCCTGCTGACCCGGCCTGCTCGTCGTTTTGGCTGCCCAGCAGGGGTTTGGACACGGTCGTTCTGCCGCATTTGGAGGCGAAGACTCTCCATTTCATCCTCTCGCTCATGAATCTGCGCATTCAGTCGGTTAACGACGTCGTCCCGCGCATGCTACTCAGTGGTTAGACCGGCCGCTTTACTGAGCAAGGATCAACTCACCACAGTAGCTTGCAGGCGAACGACCTCAGCCAATGCTTCTGTCATCTGGGTTTGCGCGCTAGTGGCACGGTCCATCTGTAACCCATTCATGTATGAATCAATGCTCCTGATGCCCCACATGTACCAGCGACGCAAGTTGCTCTTGGCCCCGCGTGATCTGACTTTGGAAGTGCCCTTCATTGGCCCCCATCTGTTCAATGAGGATGCGCCCCTGTTCAATCATCGCAGATAATTGAGCAACCTCCTCCTGTTGGTCTTGGGCAGTGCTAAGAGCATGATTCAACTGACTGCGAAGCAAAGCGTTTTCTGACATCACTGCGCGGCACTGGGTTCTGGCGTCCACTGCTACTTGTTTATGAAACTGTTCGTTCTGGCGGGCCTGCCAACGTTTGACTTCAGTGTGCAAAGGAGCTCTAAGGCGATCAACGTACCTGGTCCAATGTCTCTCGCTCTGGACCAGGGGCAGCAGCCCGTTTGTGCATGCTAGATCCTTGGTCGTTCTGATTCTCCATGGCTATTCCTGCGGCAAACGCGTGGAACAGGTTTAGGATGTAGATTGAGAGATTGAGGGGCGGTGGGCGGTGGGCGGTGGTATTAATATACAGAAATGTTGATATGTGGATATTGTGTATGCTTGGTTCGGACAAAGGGTGTGACATTACTGTTGAAGCAGGAAATGCAGAGAGGACTGGAGTCAACAGTAAGAAGCTCTGCATTGCAAGAGAAAACAAGAAAAGAATCTACAGACCTGGAGTCAACAGTAAGAAGCTGAAGAACTCCAGGGAGGGAGGAACTATCTATGTGGATGGAGCATGTGACTGTATAGGAATCATGTGATCAGAAGTCATGTGACCAAAATGATGGAATGATGGGAACAGTGATGGAATCAGATATCATCAGTGATAGGATCAGATGGAATCAGATGATCATGTGACCCAATCACCAGAGAGTGATCAAGTCCAAAACCCATCACCAACACTCCCCCGGGATGAGATCAGTCTCTCAGCCTCTCCCCCGCAATCTCATCAGTGTGCGCAACCTTGCCACCTGAGGCCGAGGCAGCGCCTTGGTCAGGATGTCAGCCAGCTGGTCCTGTGTCGGCACATACTTCACATCAATGAACCCTCTGGCCACTTCATCTCTGAGCCAGTAGTGTGCCAGGTCCAGATGCTTCATACGCCCATGGTGTTCAGGATTCTTGGACACAGATATGGCAGACTGGTTGTCCATCATCAATGGAGACGCACCAGACACACCATGCTCCAGCTCATGCAGCAGATTCCGTATCCACTTGATCTCCTTCCCAGCATCCACACCAGCCACATACTCTGCCTCAGTAGTAGACAGAGAGATGGTGGACTGCAGCTTGCTCCTCCAGCTCACTGGTCCACCAGCCATTATAATGACATACCCCCCAGTGCTTTTCATGGAGTCCTTGTCTCCAGCATGATCAGCATCAGTGAAGGTGGTGAAGAGGTCGTCAGGATGGATATAGGTGGCTGGGTCATAGAGGGTGGGTGAGGATCTGGAGTAGGTGATGCGGAAGTCCAGGGTGCCCTGGATATATCGAAGCAGGTGCTTGACAGCCTTCCAGTGCTCTTCACCAGGATTGCTATTGAAGCGCGCTAGCACCCCCACAGCATAGGAGATGTCAGGACGAGTCTGACAGGCCAGGTACATCAGAGAGCCAACAGCAGACAGATAGTTGCCCTTGAACTGCTTGGACTCCTCCTCAGTCTTGGCTCCCATCTCCTTGGTCAGAGACAGGCCAGGCAGCATGGGTGTGTCCACAGGCTTGCAGTCAGCCATGCCATACTGCTCCAGGAGGTTTACTGTTGGAGTTGGGAATCCCAGCACCAAGGCAGAATAGCTCAGTGGTTAGAGCACTGGACGATCCAAGTTAGAGGTCCCAGGTTCAATTCCTGGTTCAGCCATTTTATCAACATTTACTGCATACTGGCACTGGGAGATGCTGATGTCCCCAGTGTGCTCATCGCGCTCTATCTTGATCCCCAGAAGCTGTTGATAAAATGGCTGAACCAGGAATTGAACCTGGGACCTCTGACTTGGATCGTCCAGTGCTCTAACCACTGAGCTATTCTGCCTTGGTGCTGGGATTCCCAACTCCAACACTCCCCCGGTATCACAGCACCATTGGCACTGTGCCTGTCAAGGACGGGGTGGCACCATTTATCATGAGGCACTCATCAGACTGCAGTGGTCCACGCCAGTGTGTTCCAGGCCGACTTATGTCTGTGAGTTGCTGCTACCATGTGGATAAAATGGCTGAACCAGGAATTGAACCTGGGACCTCTGACTTGGATCGTCCAGTGCTCTAACCACTAAGCTATTCTGCCTTGGTGCTGGGATTCCCAACTCCAACAGAAGCCACTCTGTAGGACCCAGATCCCGCACCTTGAAGGCTGTGCCAAGCTGGGCAATGACCTTGTCAATGTCAGCATCATGCTTTGCAGCAATGGTGCCATCATCAACATAGATGGGCAGGATCACACGCACCACACCATCAGAGTAGATGTGGCAGGAGCTGTCTGACTTGATGCACTTGAACCCCATGGCAGTCAGCTTGGCAACCAACTTGATGCGCCACTGGCGGCCGGCCTGCTTCAGTCTATAGATGGACCGATTCAGCTTCAGGACCTGGCCCTTCTCTCCCTGGGGGAACCCTTCTGGCTGAGTCATGTAGACATCCTCATCCAGGTCCCCATTTAGATAGGCAGAAGAGAAGTCGATGGAGCGCAGTTTGAGGTTGTTCTGGGCAGCCAGAGCGAGGATGACACGCAGAGTAGCAGGCCGGAAGGTGGGAGCAAACACCTCGTGGTAGTCAATGCCATAGCGCTGGCCACGACCATCTGCCACGAGTCTGGCTTTGTAGCGTTCCACAGTGCCATCAGACTTGTGTTTGATCACAAACACCCATTGAGAGCGAATTGGCTCAAGTTGAGCCCTTGTGGCAAGTCAACCACATCCCATGTGCAGTTGCTGAGCAGAGAGTCAATCTCAGATGCAGCTGCAGCGCGCCATAGTGGACCATCCTCCTGCTTGGACGCTCCAAAGAACGACCTGGGGTTCCCAGAGGCTACAGCAGACAACACAGACTGCACTGCAGTAGCGTGAGCTGCTGCCAGCTTAGGATCTGAGGGGTCACCCTCGCGAGCCACAATGAGTGTTGATAAAATGGCTGAACCAGGAATTGAACCTGGGACCTCTGACTTGGATCGTCCAGTGCTCTAACCACTGAGCTATTCTGCCTTGGTGCTGGGATTCCCAACTCCAACAATGAGGGCAGAGGATGACTTCAGAAGCAGCTCATCGTCGCTGAGGTCTTCAGGGATCTCTTCAAAGATCTCTGCCATAGTGCGCCTGGGAGGAGCAGCAGCCGGAGCTGGAGCCCTCCTGGGTGGTGCAGGGACACGATGGATGCCAGCAGCAGCACGACGAGCTGCCACCCCAATAGGAGATTGGGGAGGAGGAGGCGAGGGTAGAGGGTGAAGCGGGGCATCCCCAGCTGGTGGTGGAGATGGAGGTGGTGGAGCTCGATGCAGAAAGTCGATTTCATCATCACTGCTGGCTGCAGGAGACGGGACTCGTGGTGCAGGGAGAGGACGAGCAGGCGGCTGTTGCTGCTCATCGTCACCATTGTCATCAGGGACATACACCGGTGCCGGAGCACAAGGGGGATCCACCAGCATGGAGGAAGGGGGTGCCGCAGGACAGCTCCTCATAGCTTGAGGGGTGCTGCCTGGGAAGTAGCGCTCATCAAACACTGCTCTCTCAGCGATCACGAGTTTCCGTGTCTCTGGGTTGAAGAACAACCATCCCTTGTACCCTGCAGGATAGCCTACAAAGATACACTTCTGGACATGATGCCCAGAAGGACCTCTCTTGTCTCTTTGCACATGCACATAGGCAAGGCATCCCCAAACACGAAGATGAGACACATCAGGCTTTGCCTTGAACCACAGCTCATGGGGAGTCCTGGTGGGGTCTCGAGCTGTGGGGTGCATGTTGCACACATGGATGTATGCAGACACCGCCAGTGCCCTGAATGCAGGGGGCAGGTTGGCTTTGTGTAACATGGCAGTGGAGTGCTCATCAACGGTGCGGTTAGACCGCTCTGCTGTCCCATTCTGCTGAGGCCGTGCCCTGACTGAATGGCGGTGCACAATGCCACACTTGTCCAGATGTGCTCTGAACTCATTAGACATGTACTCTCCTCCTTTATCATCCTGGAAGGCTTTGATCTTCAGCCCCCAGTGAGTCTCAGCATAGGCTTGAAACATCTTAAGAGCTGCAAAGGTCTCACTCTTGTTCTTCATGTGGTATGCTACCTTGAAGCCAGTGTGATCATCAACAAAAGTCACCCTGTGCTTCCAGCCCTCGCGGGTGGGTACAGAGTAGCTCTTTAGATCAGAGTGAATGAGATCAAGAGGTGCTCCAGAACGATGACCAGTTGAAGGAAACAGGCCAGCATTCAGCTTGCCAAAGAGGCATGGCTCACAGATGGGGTCTGGCTTGCTAGCAGAGGCAAGCCACATATCTTGCATTGTCGCAGACGTTTGCCGTCACAGCGTATGTTATCCGTGTCCTTTATCCCAGACATTTCTCACTATCTATTACCATTTACAAACTACTCAGTAGCCCAGTTATGGGCCCCACGACCTTCTCGTAGCCAAATGCCAATGCTGCCAATATCACAACGGTCCAGCTCATCCACTTCAACACGGTTCCCAGTCTGGCGATGAGGTCGAGAGTGATGATTGTCTTGCGGTATACAAAGACCTCATTCCTCCTGCTCACTTCAGCAGACTTGGCCACAAATATTGTTGGGACACCTGCGACATCCGCGGTCTGGAGATTGTCAGTGTTCTGAAAGACTGCCCAGAAAACGCGCTGTACGTACTGCAATTTTTTGCACCCATGCATTCGGATCGACATGAAGTTTCGTGAGCAAGGCGTCCCACCGAGTGTATACGTATACAATCCCGTGGTCGCTGCCGCTGACAATAGCGCGATTGGAGTCGAGCAATGCCACCTGGCGAATACGCTGTGTCTTGCCCGTGGGCACAAGGAAGCTTTTGACCAGTTCTCCTTCCATCAAGCAATACAGATGGACGCTGCTGGAAGGATCGCTTACGCACAGGATGCCGTTTGTCTGGTTGACAGCAACATTGGAGCTTTGGCGCTCTTCAGTGGGTGTTGAAGCAGGAAATGCAGAGAGGACTGGAGTCAACAGTAAGAAGCTCTGCATTGCAAGAGAAAACAAGAAAAGAATCTACAGACCTGGAGTCAACAGTAAGAAGCTGAAGAACTCCAGAGAGGCAAGAACTATCTATGTGGATAGAGCATGTGACTGTATAGGAATCATGTGACTTGGAGTCATGTGACCAGAATAATGGAATGATGGGAACAGTGATGAAATCAGATATCATCAGTGATGTGATCAGTGATAGGATCAGATGGAATCAGATGATCATGTGACCCAATCACCAGAGAGTGATCAAGTCCAAAACCCATCCTCAACAGCGGGTGCACCAGAAAACAAAACACACGTACATCCGACATCCCAGGCTCCATGCAGCATCCGGTGTGCAGACCTTTGTCCCACGGACGGTATATCTTGAATTTGGTAAGCCTTCGTTTCATCAGTGGTTATGACGGTCACTCACACAAGTCCACAGTAGAGCCCAAATACAAGAAGGTCCCGTTTGTTGCCGCTCATAGCTCCAAATGCTAAAGCTCCGGGAACGCAATGGCGAATAACGACAGAGAAGATCTCTTTCTCAGCCATTACTGAGTTCAGTGTGAACACCTGGAGGGTCCTGCCTCGGTGAGATGCGGCGAGGCGGTTTGTGGCCAAATCAAATGCAAGGCCCAACACCTCACATGGGGCGCTCATTTGGCGGCTCCATATTTCCTGGAAACAAGGTGGTGCCTTGCCCTGGACACACGTCACATGTGTAATCACTCACAGATAAGAAATGTACCGTGTCCTTCAGGCGGCAGCACACTATGAAGCCATTTTGCGTCCCATAGATCAAGGCCTCGCCGATGTTGTCCTCGCGCTTGATCCACTGCAGTTTTGTGATCGCGCCGCGGAAATCAGTAGCCATCGTTACAACTTTTGTTGAAGCAGGAAATGCAGAGAGGACTGGAGTCAACAGTAAGAAGCTCTGCATTGCAAGAGAAAACAAGAAAAGAATCTACAGACCTGGAGTCAACAGTAAGAAGCTGAAGAACTCCAGGGAGGGAGGAACTATCTATGTGGATGGAGCATGTGACTGTATAGGAATCATGTGATCAGAAGTCATGTGACCAAAATGATGGAATGATGGGAACAGTGATGGAATCAGATATCATCAGTGATAGGATCAGATGGAATCAGATGATCATGTGACCCAATCACCAGAGAGTGATCAAGTCCAAAACCCATCACCAACACTCCCCCGGGATGAGATCAGTCTCTCAGCCTCTCCCCCGCAATCTCATCAGTGTGCGCAACCTTGCCACCTGAGGCCGAGGCAGCGCCTTGGTCAGGATGTCAGCCAGCTGGTCCTGCGTCGGCACATACTTCACATCAATGAACCCTCTGGCCACTTCATCTCTAAGCCAGTAGTGTGCCAGGTCCAGATGCTTCATACGCCCATGGTGTTCAGGATTCTTGGACACAGATATGGCAGACTGGTTGTCCATCATCAAGGGAGAAGCCCCAGACACACCATGCTCCAGCTCATGCAGCAGATTGCGCATCCACTTGATTTCCTTCCCAGCATCCACACCAGCCACATACTCTGCCTCAGTGGTGGACAGAGAGATGGTGGACTGCAGCTTGCTCCTCCAGCTCACTGGTCCACCAGCCATTATAATGACATACCCCCCAGTGCTTTTCATGGAGTCCTTGTCTCCAGCATGATCAGCATCAGTGAAGGTGGTGAAGAGGTTGTCAGGATGGATGTGGGTGGCTGGGTCATAGAGGGTGGGAGAGGATTTGGAGTAGGTGATGCAGAAGTCAAGGGTGCCCTGGATGTATCGCAGCAGGTGCTTGACTGCCTTCCAGTGCTCTTCACCAGGATTACTATTGAAGCGCGCTAGCACCCCCACAGCATAGGAGATGTCAGGGCGAGTCTGACAGGCCAGGTACATCAGAGAGCCAACAGCAGACAGATAGTTGCCCTTGAACTGCTTGGACTCCTCCTCAGTCTTGGCTCCCATCTCCTTGGTTAGAGACAGACCAGGCAGCATGGGGGTGTCCACAGGCTTGCAGTCAGCCATGCCATACTGCTCCAGGAGGTTCACAGCATACTGGCGCTGGGAGATGCTGATGTCTCCAGTGTGCTCATCACGCTCTATCTTGATCCCCAGAAGCCACTCTGTGGGACCCAGATCCCGCACCTTGAAGGCTGTGCCAAGCTGGGCAATGACCTTGTCAATGTCAGCATCATGCTTTGCAGCAATGGTGCCATTATCAACATAGATGGGCAGGATCACGCGGACCACACCATCAGAGTAGATGTGGCAGGAGCTGTCTGACTTGATGCACTTGAACCCCATGGCAGTCAGCTTGGCAACCAACTTGATGCGCCACTGGCGGCCAGCCTGCTTCAGTCCATAGATGGACCGGTTCAGCTTCAGCGCCTGGCCCTTCTCTCCCTGGGGGAACCCTTCTGGCTGAGTCATGTAGACATCCTCATCCAGGTCCCCATTGAGGTAGGCAGAAGAGAAGTCGATGGAGCGCAACTTGAGGTTGTTCTGGGCAGCCAGAGCAAGGATAACGCGCAGAGTAGCAGGTCTAAAGGTGGGTGCAAACACCTCGTGGTAGTCAATGCCATAGCGCTGGCCACGACCATCTGCCACGAGTCTGGCTTTGTAGCGTTCCACAGTGCCATCAGACTTGTGTTTGATCACAAACACCCATTGAGAGCGGATTGGCTTGACCCCTTGTGGCAAGTCGACCACATCCCATGTGCAGTTGCTGAGCAGAGAGTCAATCTCAGATGCAGCTGCAGCGTGCCATAGTGGACCATCCTCCCGCTTGGACGCTTCAAAGAACGACCGGGGGTTCCCAGAGGCTACAGCAGACAACACGGACTGCACTGCAGTAGCGTGAGCTGCTGCCAGCTTGGGATCTGAGGGGTCACCCTCGCGAGCCACAATCAGGGCTGAGGATGACTTCAGAAGCAGCTCATCGTCGCTGAGGTCTTCAGGGATCTCTTCAAAGATATCTGCCATGGTGCGCCTGGGAGGAGCAGCAGCTGGAGCTGGAGCCCTCCTGGGTGGTGCAGGGACACGATGGATGCCAGCAGCAGCACGACGAGCTGCCACCCCAATTGGAGATTGGGGAGGAGGAGGCGAGGGTAGAGGGTGAAGCGGGGCATCTCCAGCTAGTGGTGGAGATGGAGGTGGTGGAGCTCGACGTAGAAAGTCGATTTCATCATCACTGCTGGCTGCAGGAGACGGGACTCGTGGTGCAGGGAGAGGACGAGCAGGCGGCTGTTGCTGCTCATCGTCACCATTGTCATCAGGGACATACACCGGTGCCGGAGCACAAGGGGGATCCACCAGCATGGAGGAAGGGGGTGCCGCAGGACAGCTCCTCATAGCTTGAGGGGTGCTGCCTGGGAAGTAGCGCTCATCAAACACTGCTCTCTCAGCGATCACGAGTTTCCGTGTCTCTGGGTTGAAGAACAACCATCCCTTGTACCCTGCAGGATAGCCTACAAAGATACACTTCTGGACATGATGCCCAGAAGGACCTCTCTTGTCTCTTTGCACATGCACATAGGCAAGGCATCCCCAAACACGAAGATGAGACACATCAGGCTTTGCCTTGAACCACAGCTCATGGGGAGTCCTGGTGGGGTCTCGAGCTGTGGGGTGCATGTTGCACACATGGATGTATGCAGACACCGCCAGTGCCCTGAATGCAGGGGGCAGGTTGGCTTCGTGTAACATGGCAGTGGAGTGCTCATCAACGGTGCGGTTAGACCGCTCTGCTGTCCCATTCTGCTGAGGCCGCGCCCTGACTGAATGGCGGTGCACAATGCCACACTTGTCCAGATGTGATCTGAACTCATTAGACATGTACTCTCCCCCTTTATCGTCCTGGAATGCCTTGATCTTGAGCCCCCAGTGAGTCTCAGCATACGCTTGAAACATCTTAAGGGCTGCAAATGTCTCACTCTTGTTCTTCATGTGGTATGCTACCTTGAAGCCAGTGTGATCATCAACAAAAGTCACCCTGTGCTTCCAGCCCTCGCGGGTGGGCACAGAGTAGCTCTTTAGATCAGAGTGAATGAGATCAAGAGGCGCTCCAGAACGATGACCAGTTGAAGGAAACAGGCCAGCATTCAGCTTGCCAAAGAGGCATGGCTCACAGATGGGGTCTGGCTTCCTAGCAGAGGCAAGCCTCACACCAGTAACCAGCTCTTTATCCATGACTAGCTTGGTATCACTGTGGTGTCCAAGCCGCCTGTGCATCAGGCTGAGGTCAATGGGAAGAGTCCCAGCTGTAGAGACCAGTGCTGAACCAGCAGAAGGGAAACCAGTCTCTCTCACAAATGCCTGACCCTGCTCTGAGATATCTGCCACAAAGTACACTTCACCATTGCGCTTGAACAGGATGTAGTTCTCCTTCATGAGCACAGTGTAGTCATGGTGAACTGACAGGTATGTAGTGGAGATCAGATTGTGTGACAGAGCAGGGACATAGAGCACATTGGAGAGGATCACAGACCGGCTTCTGGCATGTCCATGGATCAGTGGCCTAAGCACTCTCTCCCCCACAAGCTCTGAATAGACCACAAGTCCATTAGCCACTCTGATGGGTGCCCTATGAGGACGAGTGTTCTGCAGCAGGTGCACACAATGGGTCATGTGTGATGTAGCACCAGAATCTGCAATCCACCTCAACTCAGGGTCTGCAGTGGAGTGGGAGAGAAGGCTTGTATGAGTGGCCACTTCAGACTTGACTGCACCCTTTCTAGGCCTAGGCCTAGGCCTAGGCTCAGGCTCAGGCTCTGGCTCAGGCTCAGAAGCATTGTCCTCTAGGAGAGACAGAAACTCTGGGCATTTTAGGAGTGTGTGGCCATGTTGATAACAGGCATAACACAATGGCTGAGCAGAAGCAGGTGGAGCTGCCAGAGCAGCAGAAGGAGAAAAGACTGATGGATGAGAGTGGGAATTTGATGCCATGCTGTGCTCAAAAATGCGCCCAGAATGATGTAGGGGATGTATGTATGTAGCTACAGGCTCTCAGGAGTGTGTTGATCTCAGGCACCTAGCTGTCTCAACCTCAGGATCACAGGAATGACTACCTGGTGTTTCCTGATGGACCAAAGAGCACACCCACTTAAGGATAGAGTCCCAACTACTAGTGCCTGAACCACAGACACTATAAGAGCAGAAAAAAACAGAACAGAGGGGAGCAGAGATGTCAACTGCAGTAGCAGGACTGGGGCAAGCAGGCAGCAGCAGGCAGAGAAAATCAGAGAATGGAAAAAACTCGAAAATCTCAGAATAGATGACTCAGAGGCACTCTAGAGGCAGGGGCCCATAACCTGTTGAAGCAGGAAATGCAGAGAGGACTGGAGTCAACAGTAAGAAGCTCTGCATTGCAAGAGAAAACAAGAAAAGAATCTACAGACCTGGAGTCAACAGTAAGAAGCTGAAGAACTCCAGGGAGGGAGGAACTATCTATGTGGATGGAGCATGTGACTGTATAGGAATCATGTGATCAGAAGTCATGTGACCAAAATGATGGAATGATGGGAACAGTGATGGAATCAGATATCATCAGTGATAGGATCAGATGGAATCAGATGATCATGTGACCCAATCACCAGAGAGTGATCAAGTCCAAAACCCATCACCAACAACTTTGACTTCATGCATATTTCTCAAGTCCCATACTTTGGGTCCGTTAGAGTTCATCGCTAGGACAGGTTAGCATTTCCAAACTAGTCAGTACTTCTTGAAGCTTACCACCACTAGCTAGATATTTGCCGTCATCCCGAGCTTTCAGGACCAAAATGGCGCCCGTTTCTCCAGAGAGTTTGCACTGCAGGCGGTAGTCACATTTTGCAGACATGGAAAAGGATGGGACTCTCTTTCAATGCGCGCCTTGCATCTTTAAGTGCGACAGACAATAGAACATCGTGGCAAAGACCCATTCATATCATTTCCCAAACGAGCATAGACATCCTTTGTGCTTTGTAGAAATGTGATGGAATCGCCTGCTTTTTTCCTTTGTTCGGGTTAGATT